ATTGTTCCAATCATTACTAGTCACTTGGAAATTTTATAAGTCATACAGATGACTTCCAAAAGTTTTGCGCTAATTTCTGGGAGGAGGCGGAGAAGCATGGGAGGTGGGAGAGGGTCTCGCTCCGCTATTTTTATAGACTATGGTATCGGATCATCTCCCCTTCGTCGGTCCTTTCCAAAAATCATGTCGCATTTGTTACCAGCTTCGCAGGATGTTTCGGACGATGTTGAATGGATTTCAAAAGTTATCAAAAGACAGATTTTCGGAGCGACCAATCTTCAGCTCACAGCACCGCTAGCCAATTTAGTGATAAAGCCCCAACCAAGGCCCAGCACGAGGCGGCATTTGGAAATCTTAAAAACGAAGTCCCATTTGATGCTGCAAAAAATTTAGAAATAACCTTTTGTGGATCTATGGAAGTAAGGCTTATAATGAGTGGATAAAGCTGAAAAAAAAACCAGAAAATTAAGGATGATCAACAGAAGGCGGAAAAGAGGAAGGTCTTTTATATCGTTAAGTGCCGTAGGAAAGCAGTGAGATTTAAACTTGGACTAAAGTGAATAATCGTAGATAGAACTTTAACTGAAGAATCTATTTATGTAAGAAATTCCGAAAAATTATGTGAGGAAGTGGGTAAATTATGACTCTGTTTGGTATCGCGCAACCTCAGGGTGCTCCCAGGTTGCGCAGGAGCAACCTAAAAAAGAAAAACTCTTATAACTTCTTTCATTCACATAATTTTTTCATAATTCTTCATACCTATCTTTTTCTCATCATCGCAGAGCTATATACCAAATTTGATGGCTCAATATTGCCTAGTCGTTGTAAACAAACTGTTTGTTTTGTTTATCTTTTGTGTATAAAGATCATGTTTTAACAAGTTGGGAATTGTAGGAACACAAGTTGGTGCACTGATCGTGTTTGTAACACATTAATTGACCTGTTAGTTCTTGAATGACGTTAGAGGCTAATGGTTTACTATGTGTAAGAATTGTGCTTGCTATCCTACCAGATCTGGAAATCTCCTTTAAAAACGTTACTTTCCCTTTTGCTTCTCCCCAGAAAACGATATCCAGCGTGTGAAAGCGTCACCTCTGCTGAGCCCTGGCCCCAACACTACGGCAAATAGCTATGTTCCTCTTGAAAATGAGTTGATGTAAAGAATTTTCTTTGTTGTACAATCTATCAAGAATTAATTCATGAGAATGTTTCTAACTTTAGCTAAGTATGAATGCGTTGCGAGTTTTGCCCATAAGTACTGTAACGATCATGTAGTCCTTGCGGGAACATGCAAATCGAAACATTGCCAAAAAAGGCGAACGCTAATAAGTTACAAAGCTCATATGACTGAGTCAGATTTCAGTATAAGATTGGCAAAGAGTAAATGAGTCTAATTAGATAAAATAATGGCACATATGTGAACCCGAATTCAAGCCAAGAGAGCGATTATGTAAGGATTAAAAGTTGCATTTGGAAGTGCAATTCGTGCGAACTTACAAGGAAAGGATACTCGATGGCCGTGACCATTTGGAATAAGATGCATACCGTAAGATGCATCACGAAACGCTGGTTCTAAATCTGTGCTCGATAACTGCGAAACAACCTTCTGAAGAAAGCTATGAACTTTTTTTGTTGAAAATTTGCGTATTTTTTGTAGCTAAAGCCACCAGATTTGTTCTAGGTTAAGTTTAAGCTACTGAAGAAAATCTCAAAAGGAATACTAATGTATTATTTTATGAATCAGTATGCCGAACCCAAGTTAGTACGGCATACTGACACAGTGTCGTCCGTGTCATTTGTGCGGACTGACTTCTCACTAACACCGCGGTGAATCAAAGACCTCCGAAGACGACGACTGTGTCGAAACGTAAGGTGAATAAACGATACCACCGTACTAACCTGGGTTCGGCATACTGACTCATAAAACTACATCAGAATGCCCAGGTTCAGAGAAGAGAGAACTTGGAACTTACTAATGTATTATGCCTATATTAATCATATTCAGCATCTAAAAAAGAAGAAAATTTCTTGGATGATTTTTACCCGCTGCAGTAGCGCAATTTATTCATCTTATATATAAAGCTGAATGTCTGTTTGTATGTATGTATGTATGTCTGTCTGTATGTATGTATGTGTGTACGTATGTTCCGAATAGAAAATTCCATTTCTGAACCGATCCGGACCAAACTTGGCACACATACACTACGGGCCCCGGCGGGTGTCATAGGCTACTTTTCGTCATCGATCGGTATCGATTTTATCGATTTTTATCGATTTTTTTGCTGAGTTCACCTACGGGGCTGGGAGTTGGCACAGGGGGGTAATCGAGCATGGGGATTCCGAATACAATATTGGTTTTCAGGATTATCGATTACTTTTATCGATTTTATCGATTTTTTTGCAAAGTTTGAGCTACGGGGCTGGGAGTTGGCACAGGGGGGTAATCGAGCATGGGGATTCCGAATACAATATTGGTTTTCAGGATTATCGATTACTTTTATCGATTTTATCGATTTTTTTGCAAAGTTTGAGCTACGGGGCTGGGAGTTCGCACAGGGGGGTAATCGAGCATGGAGATTCCGAATACAATATTGGTTTTCGGGATTATCGATTACTTTTATCGATTTTATCGATTTTTTGCAAAGTTGGAGCTAGGGGTCTGGGAGTTGGCACAGGGGGGTATTCGAGCATGCTGATCATCCCCAAGGGGGGTGATCAGCATGCTCGATTACACCCCTGTGCCAAATTCCAGCCCCCTAGCTCAAATTTTCAAAAAATCGATAAAATCGATAAAAGTAATGGACGATCTTGAAAACTAATATTGCATTCGTAATCTGCATGCTCGATTACCCCCCTGTGCAAACTCCCAGCCCCGCAGGTCAAACTTTACAAAAAAAATCGATAAAATCGATAAAAGTAATGGACGATCCTGAAAACTAATATTGTGTTCGTAATCAGCATGCTCGATTACCCCCCTGTGCAAAATCCCAGCCTCGCATGTCAAAATTTACAAAAAATCGATAAAATCAACAAAAGTAATCGATAATTCTGAAAACTAATATTATATTCGGAATCCCCATGCTCACTTCCCCCCTGTGCCAACTCCTAGCCCTGTAGGTGAACTCTGCAAAAAAATCGATAAAAATCGGTAAAATCGACATCGATCGATAACGAAAAGTGGACTGTGACACCCGCCGGGGCCCGAAGTGTATGTGTGCCTAGTTTGGTCCGGATACGGCGGAGCCGGGTAAGCCAGCTAGTGCAAAAATAATCATAACTCCATCCAGGTTATCGTCTCGCAGATATGGAAGACAGTATTCGACCAGCATTAAAAGGCGCATTTTTTGATATAAAGATCATTACGGATAGCCACGGTGACCAAGTATCCTTCTCTTGTTAGCAGTAACAGCTCTAGCCTTCATTTCGCAATAACTCTTCAAAAAGGTAATATTCTATACGTTCTCTGATCATGACGTTAGACCGAAATAAAGAACTTAACAAACCTGCGTGGCTTACAACATATCTTCAAAAAGGATTCTTCTTCATACAAAGTCAGTAGTGAGGCGCTCCGAATCTTCCAAGATATTGCCCAACAAATCTATTGTAACTTTACATATAATTTCCATTTTTTTTCATGTTTTCTCCCTTCTAGCTTTATAGAAGTTTTCCAAATTCATATTAGCTTAATCGGAGTAAAGACTAACAGTAAAAGATATCTTTGAGCATCTAGATGGTGAAAGAGTGAAATTCTTCTAACAGGAAAAAAATCAGTAGAACTTTAAGACACAGAGAGAATGGAAAAAGAATAAAAAGAAGTTCGAATTCAGACCAAAGTTTGGAAGATATGCTTGAAGACACATTGAAGTACTGAATAATGTTTGTGTGATTCGACAAACTGATTTCAAGAAATACATTTTTTGTAAAGCTATGCGGTTCGCATTTCAAGCAGAAGCGTTTTCATACTATTTGCTGAATAAAACTGGTGATAAGAAGTGTCTCATGAGATGGCGATGTCGCATTCTTTTTTGTAACACAAATTTGCACGAGTAAAATTACACTTTCTCAAAAAATTTGATTGAAGTGGCATTGCTAAGATCACTCACAAAGTTTTTGTGGCAGGTAAGGAAATCGCTGTTTGTCAAGCAGCAAAAAAGGTTTTTTCAAAGATGACACTGATATTTGATTGATAGTAAAAACAGATACAGATCAAACATCTTTCAATCTCGTATGCTTACATCAGGATTAGAGTGATAAAAAAGCTCAAGATAAAGTCACATCACATCATATCGACAGAAAAAACAGCAGAGAAAGCTGTTTGAGCCATTTCTCAGGCCCACCAATCTGAAGCATAGCAAATACAAACACAACAATTTTCAACAATTAAAAAGATGCATTCGAAATGACATTCTGTGGGAGCTAAAAAGTGATTCGACTTGCTTTTTATTGAAAGTGCAACAGATCAACGCCTATTCGCACTAGCCACGTCATGGTGCGATAAGCGTTTATATGTGAAAATTAATTCCAAAAGATACTGGTTTAATTTGCATTTTTCTACTAGAGAGAAAGAATTAGATGAATAAGGTATGCTGTCTTAAGTATTGCTACAGCTTAGTGTGTGAAGACTCGTAGATATTCCAGATTATCTCCAGTTAGCAAAAACTAGTGCAGCAAAACCCGCGTCCAGAGCAAATATAAAGAAACACATCTAGAATCATCTCTGCAATTGAACAGATGACCAAATATTATAATTTTGCGATTAATTTCATTGATGATCACCCACGAGCTTCATTGCGCTCTCATCCACGTTTTTTCCACTCAGAAAGTATATATCTTATAATATCTATATCTACTTATCTATCGACTTATATCTCCCGCCTTGTACGCACAATCCAACAATTCTCAGTCATATACAGAGAAGAACTTTTCACGTCCGAAACCTTTTGGATAGTGATTTATGACCTATAGGGAAGAAATTTTTCTTCTCAAAATTAACAAAAAATGCACAAAACAACATAGAGAGCAATGCAATAAAACAAGGGCAGTTATAGTGGTGCATATGAATGAACGGAACACTCCTTCCAGGAAGAGACCTCCACCATCGACACGAAGATGAAGTACGAGGCTGGTCAATCTATAATTTAAGCATTCACAAGCTTCCTTAGAGTACCTTGACAAGATGAGTAGATCAAATCTTTCAAATGCTTGAACCAGACCATCTTTTCTTACAGATCTTATCCGGCTCAAATTTTGGAGCCTGGGAATGAAAATCTTGGATTTCTTCTCACATGCTCTATGAAGCGAGTTTATTGATGAGTTGAGCACTTTATATGACCGTACCGAGATGTAGCAGCTCACGTTGACTAAACTTTGAAGTTAGATCGTTACCAATTACTTCTGCGCGCTAAGAATGGAATAAGCAGCTCTGCCTTAGGCCTCGGGCAAAGTTCACGCGGTTTTGTCGCCGCGATTCTCCTACAGGACAACGTTACGAGTTCATTGAATGCCAATCAACTTGCATTCCGATTGTGGTAGTTTCGGACGGAACCAATCATGAGTAAATATCACAAAAGAAATGCTCGACAACATGGAACGTAATAGTTGCCTTTTTGGAAGAATCGCGAGAACTCTGTCTGAGGCCTTGGGCAAATATGAATCATATCCAATACAGTTCCAAAATGCGCGGGTTCATTCGTAAGAGGGGGGGGGGGAGGGACAAAGAAACTTTTCGGAGCTTGTAGCTAGGGATTCCGAAGATAAGTCCATGCTTACAATTTGTTCGAGAATGTATACCGATGGGTCTTTACGAAGCTAAAAAATTCAAAAAAATATTTCTATTCGTAAGTGAAGTCGCTTGCACAATTTTATATCCCTTGTTGGCTACTTCCAAAATTTTCGTTTTCAGAAGGCATCATTTAGATCGCGGCGCCCGAAGAAGCGTTGTCATCAGGGTAAAGCGGGAGGTGCGGCACGCCGCAGGAGGGGGTCGTAAGGGGGGGGGGGGGTGGGTAGGGGGGGGGGGGTCGTGCCAGGGTCCGGCCCAAGGGGGGGGGGTCGTATCCGACGGTCGTGTGCCGCACCCCCCGCTTTACCCTGGTTGTCATTCCCCTCCCGCCCCTCCCCTCGGCTCACCACTGTCATAGCTATATTTTATTTTAATTTACATTCTAGTTCCATCAAAAAAACTCAATCAAGCAACTCCAACAAAAAAAACAACTAAATCCGAGTCAGAACACAACTAACGTGACAGAAGCCTTGCCACCTCTAAAACTGTAATTCCTCTTTCTAGTCATTTCATCTTAGGATAGTTGAATTAGCAAGTTTCTAGTGTTTCTCTAGCGCGGCCTCATTCGCAAAGGAAGTGAATGTCAAACCAAGCCAAGGAGAGCTGCTTGCCTTAGCAAAGTTCATGTGTTGAAAACGAAATTTTTGATCTCTACGACTTATGATTTTGCACAGATTTATAGACAGAAGGATGCTGCAGTTAAGATTTGAGCTATTACATGAGGTGAACTGATAGCATGTATGACTGAAAAGACTCTTATACTCTTATCACTCTTAATCCTCCAATGAAAACTATCGTTATCATCAGTGAATAATATACTGTAACTCCTTCGCAAAAAGCTCAAATTTGGAAATGCAACACAGAGACTAATCCAACTCTTCCACTTTTATTTATCTTAAAGCAAACAAAAAATGTGCACTAACGAGAAAGGCGATTATAAACGCTTGGTCGGACTTCCTCCACATATTCAACCTCTTCGTACTGGTCATCGCCATCATCCCACATTGCATCTTCGGTAGAATACTCTTCGTCATCCAACGACATCTCTTCATCATCAACATCAGCTTCATCTAAGTCTGCTCGCACAAAAGGTCTCTGCAAACAAACCGTATAGCTGAGATAATTGCACAGAAAAAATTCTTTGCTACGAACCTGTACAACGCGAGGTCTGTCTAAACGTCCTGCTGTTGCCACTTTACCCAGTCTCGCTTGCAATGGTTTCCGAGCCACCACGCGAGGACGTACAATCAGCTTCTCTCTTGGGGCTGCACCGCGCAACTTAACAGTTACGCGAGGGAGTTCGGACGAACGATTCTTCGAAATGCGGTTGACAATTGATGTAGAAACTCCAGTTCTTGGCTGAATGAAAGCCAATGTACGAACTTTAACGGTGATGTGAATACGTTAGGTCGTTTACATACCGCTAATAACAGGTTTTTATCATAAATTTAGAAAGCGAAAAATTTTCTGCTATGACGTTGTGATCGACCGCACTTTTTATCTGATCAGGGAAACATATGCGGTTTCCGGAAACCTTGATCAGAACCCACGACTGGCAATTTTCAATTCAAAACTTGTGAAAATTAGCGCAAGCTTGTTCAAATGAAGCCACCATAATTTTTTTAAATGCATACCAACATCACATATATGATAGCTGAGATGTTGAGCAAGAGAGTATAGAAAGGTACGTGCACGAAAGCAAAAAAAGACTACATAACAAACTTAATTGCTTCAAAAAGGATGCTATTTTTACAATGTGCATAGCTGACGAATTTACTTTGACTCCAGTTCCCGTATCCAGTAGAAAAGAGAGAATATATATAAAACTATTTATTACCGCCTTGGAAATCCTTCGCACCACTCCGCCACTCCTAGAGGGAAGCTGAACTCGCACAGCAACGTCATCACCTACTTCAGGCCAACGAGCATTGCGGATACTGAAATGCCAAAACCTCAGTAAGTTTGCATGCTAATATTGAGATAAGTAAAATTCTGCTGACCTTTGCTTGTGGGACTTTGTGATGGCAGGTTTCTCACCGATATCTGAATGCAGTCCTCGCACACCAAGACGAGATATTATAGGATCGTCCACCAGCATTTCTTCTGCAAGACGCGGATTTTTCTCCATAAGGCAGTGATCACTTATTTTTGAAGTAATGGTATCATTCAAAAGTCTCTCAAAATCCAATCAGAAGTTCATTTTTCCGCTTCAGTTACATATAAAAAGTTCTCAAAAGCCAACAGAAAACCATGCGATTCAGTTCGAGAGCATGAGATTGTATGGGCGGATACCGCATGCTTTTGAGGTGTGGAAACATAGCTTGCAGTTGATAATCAAAACATGCACTTCTCAAACACAGTCTTCTGTGGCCGTATTCATCAACGAAACCCGTGGGTTCCGGAACCCACTGGATTAGTGCTTATGATGAATATTGATTCTACTCCAGGGAAGAATCGATATTCATCAAAAGCACTAACCCAGTGGGTTCCGGAACCCACGGGTTTCGTTAATGGATACGGCCACTGGAGAAGAGGAACCAAGACAGCTCCCTTGAGAAAGATCTGGCACAGCACAACTATCGCTTATACATCAACTATAGCCTGACACTACAGAAGAAGAACCTATTAACAAACAACCCTGTGGTGGGCGAGACGAAATCTGGTTTTTGTATTGTCAACGTTGAAAAAATGAACTTCTGTCGGTGTGAGCAAACACTCGTGCAAAATCAGATATCTCTTGAGCGCAACCAAGCAAAGCCACAGTCAAGTTCAGGTGATAGGAAGCAGAAAACTTTTTGAGAGGTCATATAAAATCATATTCAGAAAGATAACGAGATTACTTATGATGAGGTATTTGCAAAACCTACCTCGCTCCTGGCGCATCCGGACTACAGCCGCACTCTTTTTATCAATCGGGCTCACCGATCTGCCACCTTGGCGGACACCACTAGTACCCCGCACAGCCAGCCCTGAAACACTACTGAAATAGCAGTGAGTGGGGGGAAAGAGTACAACAAAGAAAATGGCAAATCATAGTCAAAATTGCTTATTTGCGAGCTTCTCACAGAACAAATTTGGAATGACATGATCTCGAAAATCTTTAGCGTAAGTAGGATGTCCGAAAAAGAAAACCGATGTTTCAACAAAACTCTCGTCTTCACTGCAAAATCAGGACAGCACTTCGATGATTTTGCAGCGAACTACAGCTATCTTTCAAAGCCTTGAACTTTCAAAAATGTTAATTTAAAAGTTGTATTAATCAGCCTATTCGCATTCATTTCATTTGATGACCGATGTCACTTTACTTCGGCTAGTAAAGGTTCGCTTACTATACTTTTTAGAGCTAAAAAAGTCGTAACTCTCCCAATTTCATACTACAGTGCATACATACAGCATAACTTATTATCGTTACGATGATTGATATCATAAATGGGCTTGACTGAGCCGATAATTACCGGATTCACTTCCGGATATCCGATCTTTTTAAAATAGAAATTTGGATGTCATAAGGGGCAAGCTATGCCTTTGACGTACTGGGCATCTAATATTACCGGGAAAGAAAAATCCATCGGATGGATGACGAAAAGCAGAATGCAGAATGCACTATGATAATCAGAATATGTAACCTAACAAAACAAACAATTAAGATGCCCCCATACTGATTTCAAGAATAAGAAAAAACCCTCTTTTCAAAAACCGCACTGAGTCAGAGAAAAAAATTGTTACTTAGAATAAATGACTACAAGACAAACAAACCGTGTTTGCGCATCATAATTGCATTCTGCATGATCTGCTTAGTGCGATGGGTGTTACCCTCGGGCATTTTGATATGGTAAATCTCATGTCGATCGGGAGGAGGTTTACCTCTGCGAGCCTCTCCATTGCTCACTGCGGTAGAACTTGAGGACCCCTCAGAATCTGTAAAATAGAGAATAAAATGCCGCAAAGTTGTTGAATTCTTCGCGGGACATTATTACTGCAAGATGTAACAACAGAAGGAACTGGATAGGGGCAGATTTTTTGACAGCAAGACAAAACGACATCAAATATCCTTGAGAGCGCCGACACACGAGTCAAGCAAGAATATCATGAATTTGGGTGATGAGGCAGAAGAAGGATCAGCTAAATGAGGCGAAAGTAAAGTTTGCAGTAGATTTATGAAAAACATGACCAGATTGTCCGCTCACTAGCATATCTAAGAATGCTAAAGTTGTTGTTTTACTCGACGTTTAAAATGGAAACTTACTTGATCCAGGTCCACTTATTCGCACACGAAGCTTCGAGGGTGTAATTGACCCCATGTCTAACGACGCATCCTTTGCACTGCGTAGTATGGCTAACTGAATTCAGAGCATATAAAAACACATCATGAAGTGAGAGCTGTTTTATTCTAACCTGATCACCAACTGCTGTCACCCCCAAATCGGAAAGAGTTGCTTTATCGAGATCCGGGAGCATATCCTTCGTAACCCTATTACAAACTTGTTGAACAGAAGAAATCAGCATAAGTCTATGCTTTAAATTGCTGGAGAAGTAGTTAGATACCTGTTCTGCCGGAAAACTTCAGCATATCGCGAAGATACCCCTGCTGGTATGCCGATTTTGGTGAAAAACGAGTGCCAATCCCACATGCTCTCAAATATCTTCATTAACATTTATGTTTCCACTCACAGCAAATATTCCATTCTAAAAATAAACGACGCGCAAGAAAAGGGTGTGTTGGAATACCTCTAACAAATAGGAACATATAGTAGCATATTTACGAGAGTATTTATAGACTGAACAGACGACACATCAACCTAACCTAAACAGATGGTGTGACGACGACACTAATGCAACCTTTTGTAAAAGGACGCCTAATTTACAAAATGTGGAATGCCGTGATCGCACAAATTCGGCGTTACAGCGGTTAAAATCCTCGAGTCATTTTGGATCATTCTCGGATAAACTTATTGAACCTTCACGTTATAGCATTGCTTTCCATACTCTACCGATGCCAAACAATGAAATAAAGTAGGCCCGCACTTGCATATGCTGAGATTGAGTCGCGGAATTCTTGAAAGTTACTCACTCAAAGTGTGCAAGTGACTTGTTTGTATTCTGCAAGTGACTTGTTTGTATTTGTAAATAATTAAAATATTTTTAAAAATTTCTTAAAAATTCATTTTAGCCTTACAAAATTTTTTTCGGGAACCTGCTGACGCCACGCCCCTTTTTCTTTAATTTCGTGTAGGAAGCATGCCGAAAAATTATTCGGAGTGCCTGGCTGACCCACGCTTCGTCAGGAAAATTTTTTTGTCGCCTCCCCCCGAACGGAAATCCTGGGTACGCCGCTACTGTAATGTAACGTTACGGTAGTTACACCGGAGATAGGGACGAGGCACAAACTTTAGCTTGAACTCTTCGAAAAATAATGCCTTCTAGAAACTCGAGTATGAAGAGACTCATGCTAGCCCATCAGAAGATTATCGATTTCACCGAGTTTACAGATCTTTTGCATTTTTCATCTTGGAGGCTCAAATCTTACATATATAGGGTTATGCTGATTACGGAAATGATAGTCTTGGCTTCTAGTGTCGTCGTATTACCTCAGTTACTTGACTTTTGTAAATTTCACCGTAGTACTACCGTAGTTCTACTGTGGGACAGTATTAGACAAAATCACCGCTATAATCATGACCACATGAGCTAATAATCCCAAAATACAATTTTTCAAGTTTATGATGTTGGGTTCGTACAGAATGGTTACCGTAACCATACGTATGATGCCAAAAATCGAAATAAATCACAGATGATTAGATCCTTCCATATCTCGCCGGGGAGAGACTTGAGGAACATGTTTTGGATTTTTTCAAAAAGACTACCATTTTACACAATATGAACCACCCATGGGTGGGTCGTAAGATTGAAAGAGCGAAAAAGGCTCTGGTCCGAAATGGCAGCGATTGAAAATCTGGCTTCGTCGTGAATGTGTTAACTGCCTGAAAATGGAAAATCGTATTTTCGACCAATCCCTACGGACACCCACTCGCACACGTTCACCCACTCTACATCAGATACAAAGTATGTGCAGTTCCGTAATTTTCCCATGGATGGGAATGAAGGAAACAAATTTGACATGGTTTTGCCAAAGCAATCGTGAGCTTCTCACATAAGGATGAATCTATACTAAGAACCTTTGGAAGTATAACTACGAAACTGCAGCTTTGTATAAGGCCAGACATAAGGACATAAAATTTGACCGCAGAAAAAAACTCGAAAAACGCGACATATTTGCGCTTTTGTGCTTTTTTCTTGTACTCTACTTATAGAAAAACATCAGTATCGTTAAGAGTATGTATGTACATAATTGCCTGTGCGGAGATCCCTAAGATTTTTGTGGACGGAGTTACGACTCGGGTACTTGAGTTTTTTTTATATTCTGCTCAGAAGTTAAAAGTCTAGGTGGAAACGTTCCTGCGGATGTATGTATGCAGATCTAACAGTTGGTACCCTACTCACTTTTTTAACCTGCGCCTGCAGCGGTAGGACCAATGCGACAATATTTTACAACCTGTCGGCGATTCATAAACCGCAAAGACTGGGCGCCGTTACGTCCGATCAAGATAGCTCGGGCTTGGAAGAAACAACAGATAGAATGAGAAACGAAAGCGCGCTTGATGAGGGAGACGCCGATACGTCCGCAGTCTTTGCATGCGATGAATTGCCTATACAACATGATCGTTGTATGGTACGTTCTGTCTCACCATCTTGCATAGATTCTACACCTTGTAAGTTACAAATCCATGAAAATGCAACGCACTGAACTGCTGTGTTGTTGATCTCACTTCATAAAAAAAGGAGCTGGCAATGATTTGAGGCCGAGAATTCCACTCTAAAAAAAGCTTCGGCACCTGTAAAATTTGCCAATCAATGCAATTATACTGAAGGATAGAAACACAGTCGAAATGTTTAATTGTCCTCAACCTCAACAGTAGTGGTTAGACATCTTTTAAGCAATGTCACGGTTAGACCCCAAGAGGCCGTATTCTTATTGGATGTGAGCACCTGGACGCTACCTTTGAGGCGGAACATCAGTAGAAATTCAAACATCAAACTTGTAACCTCATTCGATGGGTGATGGAATCTTATGTTTGCAAATCTTTATGCATGTCATTATACAACAATCTAAGCATGTTTACACTTTTCTCTCTTCATTTTTTACAAACCTCGTATCAAGTGAATTATCAAACAGAAAATACACTGAAGTGATAAAGCATGATGACTTCAGGAAGTTGATAGATGCAAGACAGAAGCATTATCTCGTGACACCAGTGGCGTACCCAGGATTTCGGCTCGGGGGGGGGGGGCGACAAAAATTTTTTCTGATGAAGCTGCGTGGCGTTAGCCACGCACTCCGCAAAAATTTTTGGTATGCTTCTCAAAATTTTCGGTGGCCCATAACCCCAAAATTTTAGAAAAAGGGGGCGTGGCGTCAGCCACGCCCTCGAAAAAAATTTTTTTATAAAGCTAAATTGAATTTTTAAATAATTTTAAAAATTATTTTAATTACTTACAAGTATAAATAAGTCCTTTACACATTTTTATACCTCATGTAAGTAACTTTCAAAAAGTTCGCGACCCATTCTCGGGGGGGGGGGGGGCGCGCCCTTCCCGCCCCCCCCCCCCCCGGTACGCCACTGCGTGGCACATAATTCAAGAAGGGAGTTTTCATAGTGATGGTTGACGTCTACAATAGAGGACTCTCCTTCTTTTCATGATGTCGACTATACGCCTTTTGGGTATCTCAGCTTCAACCATGGAGAAACCAGCCGCTAGAGTTATTTGAACATGAAGAAGTGTCTCTTTGGGAATGAGGAGAGCTGCTTCTCCTGGCTTGTGGACGCTGAAAAAGTTTTGATTGTACAAGATAAAGACGGCAACGCGGCGTTTGTAACTTCTTTCTTGCAAAATCTAATATGACTATGGTTGCATTCAATGCCTCTCCTCGTGATTCCTCTCGCACTACACTGTTTTACCGGGCGGTCGATGTATCAGATATGATTGCATTGAATAGCACCCATGCCCTCTCTCTTTCAAAACTAAATAAACATGACAAACTTACGTAACTCCCAAAACAAGTCTGACTGTGTCGCACATTCGTAGTGGATCGGTGGGTAAATCGGCACCCATGTTGTAATCAGCATGCAACTCGCTGAAAGTATGTGCAATCCATGAAGGTCTATTATTTCATATCTTAGGCTTGAGATATACCTGACGATGGAGGTATAGCGGGTGTTGGCGAATCGCTGATGTCTGCGCTGCTCTTAGCTGCTTGGGGCTGCTGCGCTGGGTACGCTGTGGGTGCAAGAACAAAGTAGCTTTGCCCTTACTACGCTTAGCTTAGGTCATTAAGGAAAGTAAGTCTTGACGATTACCAAAACTGAGAAATAACATGAGACCCAAAAAGTCGTGCCGTTTTCATCAAGAAATTTTATTTATAACAAGTATAAAATGGCAAACTAAATGTTGCATATACTGAGAAAATTTCAAACATTTGACAGACATGCGAGTATCACAGTAGAACCTTGATGTGTGCTTGAGGCAACATCTTAACTATCTAGGTCATAGCAGACGTTAATCTGTTGAGGAGTAGTGGTAATATCCCACTGAATCGTTTAAATCCTTTAGCTTTTCATCGTTACTCTGATTTGATTACGCAGTTGATCAGATTTCATTCTTTGTCGACTTTGTCAAATCTTTATCGATTTTCTTATCGATGCATTTTGCGTTTCGGTCTTGAAAATTTGTCATAGTTCATCAGTATCGAAACTGCTCTAGAAATGCTTCAGAAGTTCAGAAATATGTTAAAAAGGGGCAAATCCGAGCAAAATCAGCGTTAGCAGCTCGAAGCAGCTGAGAGAAGCTCACAAAAAGTGAGCTTCATATCGCGTAGCAGCGAGGAGCAGCAACGAGCAGCTGGGAGCAGCAGGGAGCAGCAAGAAGCAGCGCAGCATCGCTAGCTATAGCGGGTCTGTTTCGCGTTGGCTGCAGCAGCTAGGAGCAGCAGCGTCGCCTGGCGTCAATCGATACGCACAAAAGACGTTGCTCGCAGCGTCTTATCGTCAGCTATAGCCACCCATCGTCAGGTATATCTCAAGCCTTAGAGTGACATCGGCCTCCAACTTTTGGGTGAAAAGAATATGAGAAAAACGCTAATGACTAGACTGGTACGCTGGTGCTCCGCGACCGTTATTACGATCGAGATGGAGACACTCACCCACAATCGCACAATAGCGCACATGACCACTTTATGTCATCATGACTGCACAGACCTTGTCCGACCCATGAATTCGGTCCAAGATCATCAAAGGTAGGCAAGTTCCTGGGATAAAGACCAAAATAGCTGTAGTTACCAAATCTTGTTGAAAAAATCAAAATAAAAAGTGTGTGCTAGATTAATACCTTGCTATAGCGTGGATCAAAGTCTTCGGTAGCCTGTAAATAGTGATAGATTCTCGTGTATGGTGAGGTACAGCAATTAGCTCCTGGAAATTTAATCAAAGTCATTCCCTACAAGCAGTAAAGTCAAAGAATAAGCAAATCAAGTGCTGCGAAAACCACAGCAGATGCTTGGAAGTGCTTTCCAACACTCATATCATGCCATTGTGTTTCCAAAATTACAAATCAAATAAATCTCGTTCAAGCAGATTCTAACAATTTGAGTGCCACAAGAAGAACAATGATATATAATTCAAGCAATTATGACTGGGAAGCGTAGTAGCTGCAGAAAGATCGAACCGCCGGTTCCCCGGCCAAGACCTTTTTTGAGCCTCATAAAAGAACAGCGAATACCCGTGACATAGATACCCAAAAGTTCAAGACTATGAATAGAACTTGAAACCTAACTTTAATGCGCAATATAACGCCAACTTGGATAGTGAAACGTCGTACATGCGTTATATTTCGCGATCTACTGTGCATTTTGATCGAGAATGTTTGCCGTTAACTCAAAACTTGGGTTACAGCCAATTAACACTCACTCAGGTTAAGAGGTAAATCCCAAACAAAGTAACGTAGATCTCAAATGTGCAGAATATGACAAACTGCGGAATGTAGTCTAATACCAAAATGGCATAGTTGGTATCCCTGAAGACATCTCATCTTTTGAGTTATGCACCATAGCGCGGGAGTCAAGAGCAGACATTCTTGCATAAATCATACTAGAAAGACTTGGTACTGAAGGAATCGAGAAAAAAACAGATGCTTAAGGTGTGCTGGAATACAATTGATAAACGCTTGTAAAATTACTGTCTCAAGATACTTTACCCTTAGAAATGCGAAGAACTCGTTGTAATCCAGATCACAGTCGGGCAGAACAATAAGAAAGTCGTGTTTTTCATAATCCACGCAACAAGGTGCACTAAAAAGCATAAATGATATTTCGTATGCGCCATACCACAAAGAACCAATGCTTCAAATAGATGCGACAGTGCATTTCAGTCAAGTCTATAACTGGGAGAGGAGAATCCAGACTGAGTGAGACTAGTTATGCTGTCCACATTGCCGAGCAAGATTTGGGATTAGCAGTTACACAGTTAATCTTTACTAACATGGATTTGTTTTTCAAACATAACGCTAAGTAGATTGGGATCGCGGAAGCGTGTTTGCACAACTACGGGAACAACCTAAGAATACACGAGAACACGAGGAGGAACTAACGAAATCATTTTCCATTTTACAGTGTGTTGAACTAGGAGTGCTCTTGGCATCGATTCTAGAGCTCAAACAAGTATTAGGAGTCCAGATTATATGTTAACCACCTTCATCTTCAAGCGATAATGTAGGCTTATATTCATTCAGCGACGCCTGGTACAGCAATAAATACCGAGCAAGTTTTGAGCACTGGTCGGCTAGATGTTGGAATTGCAAAAACTGAGACATTCTCACAAAAGGACCTATCATACTTCGCCCAAAGGCGCTCAAAACAGTGCAAAAGCGCCCAAAAGCGTCAGAGCGCCCCCTTTCTCGACGCAGCTCTTTGAAAATACCAGTCAACACTACAAATGACCGCTATAGTGCAATAGGAACTCGCTGTCTCTCGAAAATATAGATTAGAAATCATGACGATGGCACCAGCCAGAGTTCAACCAATTTACATGTTATCTCAGCAAACTGTCGAAAGGCCTTTGCGAGCAACGATTACGAACGATGCGTCAAAGTAATTTGTACAGGTAGATAGCCCCTCAGCGGTAATGAGGTGTAACCTAGAAGTGAGCATGCAAACGGCATTAAAGGCAATGTCCGGGTAAAAACTCGATCTTGAGATTTTTTGCTTACCCCGGTCTTTTCGCTATGCTGAATCCGAAAATGCACACTGGAGAGCGCGAAAACCGCGAAAAACGGCTCTAACACGGGACTGAAATCAGCAGGTGGGCGGGGTCCTCCACACTGCCAACTCACGCTCCCAACTTCCAAAGCGATCTTCTTGGTTCCGATTTCAAGTCATGCATTCGCACCTGGCCGGTGGAGATCTCAGGGCGCTAGAGGAATTGGAAAGATCGCTCCAGAAGCTGGGACTGCGAAATTCACAGTGGGGAGGACCCCGCCCAGTTCCGATTTCCCTCCTGCGTTAGAGCCCTTTTTTGCCGTTTTCGCGCTTTCCAATGTGGAATTTCGGATTCAGCATAGTGAATAGGCCCGGGTAAGCACAAAATTTCAGAATCAACTTTTTGCCTGGACACTGCCTTTAAGTCACATTTAGAAACCAAGAACAGTTTCATGGTGAAGCAGCAACATTGAGAGTGACGCAACATGTGTCATGATAAATGTGAATGAACGTAGTTGTGCTGGTAGAACACAAACGGTCCAGCGCCAATCGTAGCTCTCGTGAAAGGGGCGCCCTGGCGCATTTGGGCGCGCGAAGCAGATTGTCAGATCCTGGATATATCAGTACGACTTTACATCAATTAAGGAACACCCAAAGTATAGTCGCACGCATATTCAAGGCTAGGTATTAGCTATTCTTCGTTGGACTATCATGTATTTATAAGCACCCGAAATAAAATCAGCCGCTATTTAAAAAAGAGGAAGGAAAACAACAGCAACCACAATTGATAGCATATGAGCAAAAAGCATGCAAAAATCAACTAATGAACAAGCAAAATAAATTCAATCAAAAGAACCCACGGATTTTTTGAATCAAGCTGTGATGGGTAATTCTGGAACCAATTATTGACAATTTTGCGCACTGTGATACCAGAGATCCTTGTTCGCGCTTCGACATCCGCACGATTTGTACCAATGTACAGACTATACAAACTTGAGAGAGGTAGAATCTAAAAAAATACACATAACGACCAAATAATTAGATGTTTTCAAACACCCATTTGTTACAAGAGTTAAGCGGTCTTCTCTTCAAGCCAACTGAAGCCGTACGGGAAAAACAACCACCATACCACCAAAAAGCAGTCAAAGCAAGAACAGTCACATCAACCCACCTGATCCGACAAAAGGCTTCTATCGAAGTGACCACTAAGGTGAAGTGAGAACGGAGATAGATATCGCAAAAATGATGCAAAATCATCATCAGGCAGCTGAAGGAAAGATCATTTGGTCTGACCACGAATAGGCAAAAAAGAACTTACGGAGCATTTGTCCATTTCGAGTGCAAGCGTTTTTCCCGATAATTTGCCAACACATCGCTTGATGACACTTGTTATATTCACATCCAGATCTTTACACTTCAAGATCAAAGTTTCGGGCGACAGCATTAAGAAGAGGTCGACAAAGTCCTCAGTAAATGATTCTTCCTGAAGGTAGTAAGAGGTTATCAAGAAATACCACGCAGTCATTCAGTGGAGCTTACCGTAAACTCCCATTGCGCAGATATATCTGAGCCTCTTATTCGGCGTCTTTTGTACTCGTGTTTTGCATCTACTCGCAAAAGAACAATTCTTCTTCCGAAACTGAGGTGAGCCTCCTTCCATGAAAGCTGAGGGCAGGAAAGCTTCGATTTATTCGACAGTAGTAGTTGCCTATATAGCCAACGTGAGACTGCGAAAAGGACTGACAACATTGAGTGGGTGCTGGTTACTGTTCTCTCTCTTCAACTGATTATCTCAAGGAATTTATAGTAAGTTTAGCTAAGCTGAGTTAACGTATAACAGGGATGCCGTCCTCTCAAGAAGCTGGCAGAGTTTTGCACGTTCGATAATGTTTACTCAAAGGCAGCGTCCAGGCAGATCTGAACCTATGAGGATTTTACGTGGAGTACTTTCAGGGCCCTAACTAAGGCACTGCTCAAGCGCCAGCGCAGGTAGTGCTCTAACGGCTGAGATATTCCCCTCGAAACTGGACGCCGCGATCGTATTCGCATGGATTCATGACATTTTCGCCCCAGGACACACACTTTGTGCCATGAATCCATGCGACGATTGCGGGGTCCAGTTTGGAGGCGAATATGTCAGCCGTTAGAACACTATCTAAGCTGCCAGTTGGGCAGTGGAGTTGGGTCCCCAAAATTACTATTTACGTGAGATCCCTATGTGTCCAGGCTTGCCTGGACGCTGCCTTTAACGTCTTGATACAAGATGTACTTCTAGTTCCGAAACCTTTCAAATCCGGGAGAAAGATGTAACCGTCAAAAAAGTGTAGGTCGTTCATAAAACAGTTGCGAAGGAATACACGGTCTTTGTCCCCACAGGAGCAGAACACACTCATAGTATATACAAAAGGCATCATCTCGCTTTCAGCTCAGTCACTTCCAATGGTTAAATACTGTCATAAGCATGAAATCTGTTCGAGTAAAGATGAAATGAAAACCAAGAAAATGCGGTTGCCGGGAGGTGCGCGCGTGTCGCGGGCGGTTGCGCCATCGCCACGGTCTTTCGAATGTCCTATAGTAAAGCTCGTTTCCGACCATACAGGGTGCCGAATAGGCGTGGAGCGAGCGCATTACTCTTCTGGTAGCGATTGAATGGCGTCAGACAACCAATCGCATCCCAGGGAGTTGAGGGGCTAAACCAACACTCACATCTTTGGTTGTCGATAGAAGTATTCCATATTGAGCGCCAATAACATCGTGCTACGAATTAAGTATAACGAAAAAAACAAGTGAAAAGCTTACCTCAATCTTTTACAAGTGTTGCCCAGAGATCTGACATCTGGCGCATCAAGATTTCGCATTAGAATCAAAAGTATTTCATTGGGAATAGGTAGACCATCCTGTTTTGACATACTGAAATTATTTGAAAAGAAGTACCCAGTACACTCAGACCGAGTAACGGCGACAGTCAGTTCCGAGTACTGCAACCGCAACGATAAGCGCGCGATCTAGCATCTTACAGGGGTCTTTAGAGCTTTTCTATTTTTTATGTTTGTTTCATATTCTTTTATGGATAAGAAGAGGTATGGTTGTTAATTATCTATAGGCATATAGGAACGCTCTTAAAGGCAACGTGTTGAAACAGGCGAAAGCCAGCTACGTTGATGGTTCAAATGGGAACAATTCTGGAAGATGCAAATTAAGTGTCTAGAGATAGCGCGCTCCAGTTAAAAAGACGTTGCTCTGATCGACTGACGATGAAGCGCGCCATCAGCTTCTCCTTTGGGACTTCTCGCACTGCAGCTGCGTGCCCTATTAAAGGCAGCGTCCGGGCAAATCTGAACCTATGGTGATGCTGGGGTCCAGTTTCGAGGGAATTAGTCGTTAGAGCACTACCTGAGCTGCCGGTTGGGCAGTGGCTTAGTTAGACCCCATATTTTCCACGTAAGACCACCACAGGTCCAGATTTATCTGGACCCTGCTTTTAAAAGAGCACGCGACTGCAGTGAGGGAAGTCTCATAGGAAAAGCCGACGGCGCACATTATCGTCAGTCGATCAGAGCAACGTCTTTTCAACTGGAGCGCGCTATCTATAGACACCTATCGTGCATCTCCTAGAATTGTTCCCATATGAAAAAACTTTTGAAATGCGATCTTTTGAAATTGTTAGGTATTGACGAATCTGATTACTTTTAGATGTAGAACCTCATTTACAAAATATGTGTTTCTTTTATATTTACTCTGCCTTTTTTCTTCTCCTTTTTCTTTTCAGACGATGGTTAAAATCGGGCTGCTTCACATCTTCTTTCCTGCCATATCTTATGATCTGCGACATGCTTGGGAGTTTGGCTCGATCTCTTTAGTTCGTAGTTGTTTCTCGGTTTTTTTTTTCAGGTCCCGCTTTTCGGCTGACTCTTGTTCTGTCGTCCAATATTTATTAACAACGCATGATCGAGGAACTTTTCTTTTTAGAAACTGTATTTTGTGATAATGTGGTGATAGACGTCGTAGTCTTTTGCTTGGCTTTTTGTTTGATGATGTTTCAGTTCAGCTCGATTAGAGACATATTTGTCACATTCTGGGTCTATTTGTTCCTCCTAGCTCCTCTGTTTGCTACTACAATCTATATTTGAACGTAATTGATATCCAATTGATCCTTTCTCTTACAAAATATATTCCTTCCTTCGATGGGTGACTTGCTCGTGCATTCTGAACTTTTGTTTCATACCACGTTTCATATCTTCTACTGACAGCGTTTCAGTAATAATTCAGTCTAGCACCCGCTGAACTATAAGAATTCTAACACTTCATCTCAAATGATCTGCTACAAAAACACATTGTTGATAGCTCTTATCTATATATCGATCTGCATTTCGTTCTTAACGCAGAGAAATGAAGGAAAGAAGTAACTTCTGTATGTATGTATGTATGTATGTATGTACGTAATGATGGTTTGATGGACTGATGGATGGTGGATGGATGGATGGATGCATCGACAAATGATCCAGTAAAAAAAAACTGCGGCCACTCGAAAGCGATTGATTACATCGAGTACTTCATCCTACTCTGCTGTTCAGAACAAAAGTAGCAATTATGCCGATTGATATACATGCGTTTGGAGCTCTTGATAATGTGTAAGAGGCATATTTGTGTAACTACCATTAGAATTTCTATAAACAAAAAATTTAGCGGTATGGAATCAAAGCTCAGATTTTTCTCAATTCTCTACTCATCGTTCATATCCTACTCTCTTCTTGAATGTGTCTCTATTTTTTTAATGGCGCATTACACTTGTGTAATGTACTTATATAAATATAAATATAAATAAATATGAGCCATCAAAGTGGCTGCCTTTCGCTCGTTTCAATACGTTAACTCCAGCAAATTAAAGGCGCCTATTCTAAGTCGACATGACATGTTGCAATGATCGAAACGCAGCCATGTTGATGGTTCGCATGCGAACAATTCTGGGGGATACACCATACACAAGTGACGCCATTTGAGGGAACTGATAAGGGACTACATGTTACCAAAAAGAGTTCTATGTGGATATCTGCGACAAAGTATGCAACTCCACACATCACAGGCACTACAGGATTGTACCAGCTGTTCGTGCGGGGTGGAGCCTATCGGTGACAAATAGTCCCCTACCCTGAACTCAGACACCCGCGATTGACGATCGCAGGTGAAACGGAGTTTGACTCATTGAAAACATGCGGAACACCTCCGTTACAGTCGGGACAATCCGGATATTGGTTCGAGACAAAACCGCCGGAGAAAAGTCGGTAGAGCAGTTGTCACCTGTGTTTGGTTCGGGATTTGCCTGCAGCACATTTTCCGGTCAAACGCAGGTGAAGCCGGTTGAACGCAGGAGTCCCGAAGCGACCATGAGGCGTTCTAGCCGTGGAGCACTCTTGGGTATTGTTCAAATTTCCCGCTTACATTCTATACTGAGCAAACAACAAAGCTGAATCGACACAGATTTATTCACCTCAGGTTAACTCAACGACAAAACCAGAACAAACGATAACAATACTCCTAACAACGGAATCTCAACAACAAAATTGATTATCACTGAGTAAAAAGAGAAACGAAAATCAGTCCTCCTCAGGCGGGTCCTGGAAATCCGTCTTTTCGACTGCCTTCTTGGGTCGTTATTACTTTTTTTTCTTGAATTGAAAAGGAACGAACTACGTCACAGCTCTAAAAAATGAAAGAAACTTACCTTGGGGGGCATGAGCGTCAGGCGGACTGCATTAAATTCGTACTGACGTATGTCAGCTCTGACAACAAAAGTGAACGGTGGTACCCTCAACAGGAATTTTTTACACCCACCCAAGCGAGACCAGAGCAGTTAGTTTGAGATGAAGCTTGAAAAACGTACGATGCTCTGCTGATTGCCGCGCGTGCGTGTGTTGCCCAATTTGTTCGCACTTCTGAGAGAGGTAGAATCTCAGAGGAAGCAAAAAACAAGAATGAAAAAACAAGAAAGGATCGATAAACGACGTAAGATATACGTAGTAAATACACGATATTAATAAGACGGAGGAGCCGGCTACCGTTAATGCATGGAAAATGGGGAACGGAACTTTCATACACCATAAGGTTGCCGCCGCCTACTTAGCGGAGTTCATGAGAGGTCATGAACTGGCAGCAACGCTAATTTGCTCTCAATATGCACCGAAGATGAGCTGATTCTGCTCACGGCAACTCCGTCATCATCCTTTCAAAGAAATTCCGGTTTCAAACTTTGAGGTTTCAAGCAAAACCATCAGCTGTTTAGGAAACAGCATATCAGAAAACCCTTACATAGAATTCTTGAAATTTTTATTTGTGAAAATAAGTTTCAATTCAAAAAAGAAAAAATCCTAGGTTTCAAGCAAAACGATTAACGTATTCGGAATCAGCGTGTTACAATACCTCTAAATACAAATTTTTGCCCTAATTGGACTGATTTTACTGAACTTTGAATTCAGATTTCAAAGAAATTCCGGTTTCATAGGCTGCAGGATGATGACGGAGTTGAGCAGAATCAGCTCATCTTCGGTGCAAATTGAGTGCATAGCGTTGCTGCCACTTCATTACCTCTCATGAACTCCGCTAATTAGGCGGCGGCAACCTTATGGTGTATGTAAGCTCTCTCACCCAAGTGAATGAAAATGAGTGTGACCGCGGAATGAAAGCTTCTCTATGATGCCTGTTGACTCTTGTCAAGCGCGTCCGGTTAAACCCGAACGACTCATAAATCCAGTCAATTGAACATTTTGTCTTGATACACGTCGGAACAATCCCGATCGATTTGCCGGTGCAGTCGGGTCAAGGCCAGGGCAAGATTTTGTCCTGAAACAAAACGAAGGCGGGCGGATCTTCTGCGGTCGTCAACGCGAATGTCTGAGAGGGAACGGGTCATCACAGTCTCGCGAAACTTGTCGCGTTCGCTTAACGGCATTCAGCGGTCCCACGACAAAAATCATTATCCGTCGGATTCCAGCGCTGACCTTAGCTAGGTACACTCGAATCACTCAGACATTCGAACTGGTCGGCAGCCGTTTGGAACAACATCGTCATTTTGACCGGCACGGTTCGGGCTTGTAGGTCAGTATCTTGACTCCAATTTGTACCTCGGCGCTTTCATGCTGCACAATGCGATGACTACCTAAGGGTGTTGATGATTTTAACTTGTGCCACCCGTCCAGGTGTTCCTTAATGCGTGAGCAGAGGGGGCGGCCCGTTTCTCCTATGTATGTCTCACCACATGATAAGCATGTACATGTACAGCATGAGATACACTACTCCCGAAATCATCTAAGGTGAGTTCTGACAGTCCGTATCTACCTTGGCTTTCCTACTGGTCATGGATTGAATGATATCTTGGGCTTTGATGTTGGCGTCTGAGTGGATGCGTCACTTATACATTCGACTTTCCACCTTCCATAATATCTCAGCGCAGAGCCTTCCACAGGTGGATCGCAACAGCAGTAACTGTAGCTCCACTTGGGTACCTTGTCAAAGAGCTACGAAGATAGAGGTTGACAACTATATCCTGAAAGCGTTTGCTCTTCATATAAGTCATTATACAACATATAAGGGCTTCATTATCCGAAATTCAAGGTTTAGCGCACATTTTGATTTCGTATTGTAGACACTAAAGATTAGATCAACAAAATCCACAGACATGATCTTTTACGCATTTTCGACGGGGAAATCAAAAAGATTTGATAGACACGTCGAATGCGTGCTGATGACACTACCTGATATTTAAAAATTGCCGCTGTAATATAGATCAGGAAATGGATAGAAAGTAGAATTGCTCGTAATTTTGATGCACTCGGATTTGATGGTGCGATACCTGAACTGTAGCGTTTGCTATCACTTTGCCCTGATGACATCTTCTCAATTTCGTGCTTTATAAATTGACAAGGAATGCATGTTTAGTCGAAGTAGCCTTTTTAGATGGGGTGTAAACCATGTTGAAGGGCATAAAATGCTGATTCCAAATCTGCCTCTCTTATCTGCAGAACGTTTATGGACGAAAAGTCATGAGCACTTATTGAAGCAATGAATTGAATATGTAAGCAGGACAAAAATATGCGTAATACTTTTTCTATCTCTTCATTCGCTGTTACGATATCAGCTATTGCATTGATTAGCTTCAACAAGTTGAGCAAAGACGCAACCTTGAGATTTCAATCACCTATTTGAGATTTATTGAGAAACGATAGAACAAACATAAAGCTTACGGTCAACTAGATGCGGGCAGTCCATCCTTAAGCACTCATCGCCATGGGAAAATGATCGAATTATATCAGTAGTTTGGATACGTACAACCCATTTTTGCGAATGTTGTCTGTTGAGAAACTGATCTCTCATAATCCACAGCCGTCAGATAGAAATTGTAAGGCATAAGTAATTTTCAGCAAATAGAGTTTCGATTGTGACTTGACAAGTGCAAAATCCGGGATGTAAATAAGAATGTGGCTTTGTTTTTATCTCCTTCCATCCGAGACATGAGATAGTCTCCGATCCCACGATTGTTGCCAATGACCAGATGTCATTTTGTATAACTAAGTCAAATTTGAACAAGTTTCAAATGTCATGGTTCTCAAACTCGCATTGCCCTCTCTCGGCAATTAGAAGGGATTTTCACTTACACCTTCACAATTCACAGAAGCTACTCTCGAGTAAGTTTGAGCATATGGTTTTATACGGAAGTATACTTATAGATTCGAACAGTGTCCTATGCTGAGCATTCCATTCGTAGCTGCCACTAATCATGATGAGATGTGCTGTGTTTGCACTCAAGCCGTATATTGTTGCGTCTTTCAAATGTTGCAAAGCAAAATTTTTGTTTTTAAGCCTCAAGTCGCTTGTGTCATCACAAGCCTCACACTTACCCATCGAGATTGCTGAACATTTATACCCAGCAGCATATCTTTATAGAATAAAAGAATATAAAACTGTTGCAATTGCGTTCTGTAAGAAACTGGAAGCCTAGATATTTTGTCTAAAAGCATGACTAAGAATTAGATTGACGAATACGAAACAGATTTCGATTCTATTTGACGCTGGATACGGTAGCTTTCAAAATAATTTAAAAAATCAAGATTTCAGTCGTCAAGGGCCAAAATTATTTTTGAAATATACGCTTGCCGAGCACAGCAGCATTAGCACAATATGAACTTCTATTGCACAGCAAGACTCCTTTAAAAGACTGAGGAAACCTATCATGACTTATAATAACGGGCTAAGGGTTGTTTACGTCTTTTTGTACGTGTGTGTGTGTGTGTGTGTGTGTGTCTGTCTGTCCGTTACGAAATTCGTAGAGCGTGTTCCAGCAAACGTTCTAAGCCCAAATTTTGCATAGCGCATGCTACCTTCATGGAAGCCCAATATGCAAAAGCACGAGTAGATTCGTTGAGTGGATCCCTCAGAAACTGCGCGCCAAACGGGTCCACCTGGCTTCTGTACCGCCAAATTCGGTCCGTATCACCACTTTTTGCAGAGTCGTGGATGAGTTTGGTAAGCAAATGTGCAAGCGATGGAGTTTAGCCAGAATTCTTTTGAAAGTTTACTACATAACGAAAATGGCGCCAAAACGAATTGGTTGTGTAAATGGTCAATTTGCCAAGGTTCTAGCTAAGCGTTTGAGAAGATTTTCGCACAGAGATGTAGCTCACGGTTATCATTACCTTCATGGCGACTAAGGCCCGTATGCAAGTACGTCCCCGCTAGGGAGGGGAGGGGAGCTGGATCCCCAGGGGAACGATCCCCTCCGCCGAACCCCGCCATGACAGAGGGGAGGGGAGCGATCCCCTCCCCTGCACCTAGGCGGGGATGGTGTGAATGGTTTCAGAGGTATTGATCGAGCGAACCCCAGTGCATACGGGGTTCGAATGGGGGAGGGGATCCCTTCCCTTCCCCCACTCGAACCCCGTATGCGCGAATTCAACTCATTAACGCGGGGGAGGGGATCGACATCCCCTGCAACGAAGTAGGGGTTCGATGGTATAGATCATGCCAGAGACGCGGATATTCTGGTTCTGCTCAGTCATTACCAAGCATTTCGTTCATTTTGATGGAGGATTTTCTTTGAAAGCCGGGTTCTTTTCTCAGCGACCTGTGGCTTGCAATTTGTCTTTCTTTTCTATATTCGCCTCTTGAGAAAAAATCCGAGCAATGATAGCTGCCATTTTCGATTATTTGTAGGAGTTCTTGATCATTCAGAAAATTTGCGCATTTTTCATATAACGTAATAGTTTTAACTATATAGGCTGAGTAAACACATTGTAACTTTCATATTTCATGACATGTTGCCATTATCTTGTTATTTTAACATAAGCTGCCTTGAAAAAATCTAGAAAGTAGCATATTTGCCTATTTCTGAGTAGAAATCCCCTGGGGAGTGATCCCCTCCCCAGCGTTCCCCTTGTGCATAGCAGGGATGGCTGCTGGGGATCATTCCCCTGGGATAAAGCACGATATGCAGCTGATAGCTACAGCGTTTCTGGAGAGCTGGCACAATTGCAGCTTCTGTTATGTGTTAGAATACTGCTTTGAGCGTCCGCGCGGCATCCCCCCCCCCCTTTTCGGCAGCATAACGTCTTCTACCCATTCCCTTGCAGAGACACATCAACTTCTATAGTTCAACATTTTTACGCTGAAATGGGGCATGAGCGAAAGTGGGCAGCATCCAAGAAAGCAGGAACATAATGGGAGTAGAAAAAATCATTTTTAGTGCCCTGAGCGCAGTCACTGCATACGCGCATTCCGCAACCCTAAATTATTGAAAGTGAGGAGATGAAGATGAGTTGCAGTCAAAATATGAAATAAGAAAGAGTTTTTCATAGAAAATTTGAAAGCAAGGTGATTTCCCCGCTTGATCCCCTCTTGTGCATAAGGGGGTTCACTTCCCCTCCCCACAGGGGATCCCTTGTCTGATATTGTCTTTGTGCATACGGGGGTTCGCGCGGGGAGGGGAGGGGATCCCCAGCGGGGATCATTTCAATGGTTAAGCGCACATCCCCTCCCCGCGGGGATGTACGTGCATACGGGCCTAACAAGTAATGACAAATCCAAAAACCTATTCAAATTTGCGTTTGTTTTCCTGCGAAAAGTTTCATCCACGCGAAATCACCGATCTCACGTGAAAAGTCTTTCTAAATGAGTGGTTGTTTACATTTTATTCGTGGTAGTTGGCATAGCGCGGTGAGATCCAGTGCCATGATTTTACGAGAATGAGTAAGGCACATAGATAGTAGAGCCAGTGCGAACCTCTGCGAAGCAGAGGTGACCCACTGGTGTAAAAAAAAGAAAAAGTAGTTTTATCAATTGGTAAAGCAATTTGTTATTGGCCTTTTGTGATTGCTATTTTCATATGCATCATTGCATTGCATAACTCTTTGACATACGAGTCGCTCAATCACTTGACATTGCCTGGCAGAAATCATCCCACGTGGTTACTCGAAGTACTCGCTTTGTTTTCAAAATGCCGTTTGAAGAGATTTTTTGTTGGATACCCTCATGTCGATACCTTCAGTGAAATATTTTCTTCAATGAGGTCTGAAGTGAGAGTCATCACAACAATGTAATAGATCATGAAAAACAATACAGAGTCAATTAGTCAAATTAAGCACTTTGGTATTCAAAAAACGAGAGGAGCGGATCAGAATCTGATTGTGTCACTCGTCTTCGGCGGTCAATCTGCAACAATGAAATATTTATCGTAAGGATTATGAAGGTCAAGTACAGGACAGCTTACAAACTGGTGCAAAAGCAGACAGATACATAGCAAAGCAGAAAATTATGCAAAGATACGCTGAAATAAGTGAAAGTGCTGTTGAAGTGCCCGTATAAAATTGCTTTGTTTGCTTTTCAAAGAGACAAATACAATTAAAGTGACAATACTAAAAATGACGCGCGCTGATCGATGGAATTTAGAGAACTTACCAAGTAGTTTTTCCCATCTAAAGCGTTTCTCCGATCGATTTTTATTTACGCTCATTTCGCTTGTACAAACAATTTGTGGCTCATTTTGTCATAAGCAGAGTATCGCTTATTGTTGGTCGAAAAAAGACTAACTCAGCGGAGTAGTTACCCTTTGATTCAACGGAATTGGCGGTTGGAAACCACCGCTCGCGCGCGCGATGCAGTCTGCGTATCTCTCCGAACTGCTCTATGATCGTTCTTTAGTCTTGAGGCCTCGAATCTCCGCCTTCCAACCCCCAATCCCATTGAATCAAAGTGCACCCTGTGTTCCATTGAAAATGGCAGGTGCAAGGGGAGCTTCTGTCGCTAATTGAGCCTGAGGAATGATTAGAGAGCACGCTCGCAAGAGAGATGCAGAGCCCAGAGCCACACCCACCATTCGCCACTTCCAATGATCAGAGGGTAAAATTCGCAAAGACTTAAACAACGTCAAGCTAGTGCGCAAGATGCTTATGAGCTAACGTCACAGATAGTCCGTTCACAGTGAGCAACAACACATGGTGATAATCTCATAGCACATGCCAGTGCAATACAATGCGCTATGGAAAACTGACATAATGTATAGATTCGTCTCAACAAGCTGAAGCCAAATATTCTTGCAGATTTCAAATAAAGTTGTTTTAGAAGAAGTTATAACTAAATCCCACAAGTGCTGCAAATCCCACAAATCCCGCAATTTTGGCCGGATTACACAGCTACAACTGTACATACATAACTTATGGCGGTTTTTTATGTGAAAAGGCTTGTGCTACTCAGATACCTATAGCAGTAAGACATAAGTTCGAAAATTTCAGTAGAAAAACTATTGTCAGAAAAATGGCATCGAAAATGGTAGGATACAGAGGACGTAATATCTTGAACATATTCCTCAATGTTAAAAGGCCGCAAATCCCACAAAGGTTATGGAATTGAGTTTCAGTTTTTGAAAATTCTGCAAACTTTTCATTTCTTCACTGTTATTCTAAGATTACGGAAACTTTGGAGAGTATTTCAAGCCATTAAGATTTGCACTTGGCCTCAGAAAGGAAGGAAACGAGAACATTTACACCAGGTTAATAAAAACGCTGATTCCAGATATGAAATTTGCACATCAGACATGCTTCTTCCGCAACTCCCATATGATCGCTGGCGTTTCTCTTTGAAGTCATTTTTCTTCCTCCAAAATCAACAAAAAGCTTCCAAAGTTCCGCAGATTATCTAACCCAACAGTGCTTAGCATAGCATTGCTGATAAGAACAAGTGATGTACCGGAGACACGAAATTTGCAAAGAGCTACAAGTCGAAAGTTGAGGTTTGCGGAAATATTCAATCAAAAACTCATTTGTTCTCATCAGCAACATGCTTAGCACCTGTTGTGTTGGATAATATGCCAATATTCAAACGCAATAGAGCTTGGAGTTCGTCCTGCTCTACTTTCAAGAACAACCTTTTCATAGAGAATTTGAATTAGTACAAGTTTTTCTCAATTAGAAAGAGTAGGATGAAGCACATTGTTCTCCAATTAAGGAACGGACTCTCTGGAATCGGTTCAGCCGCAGATAGGGACGCTGTTTCCGTAAAGCATCCACCCCCAGTTTTGAAGGTCTTCCGCTTTTACCCGATAAATACCCAGACTGTTTTCTGCATTGCTGAGCTAGAACTTGGAATTACAATGTAGTAAGAATTGTAGCTGCAAGAGCTACTGCGGAAAGTCAGATATCAATTGATGCATTGAACTAAATATTTTGTGCATGTGGTGGACATATCTGCAAGCAGTCTAAAAAATGTACATTCTATACATCGATGTTAATACAGAAGGCGATAGATAATCTTACAAATTTATCGCCTCTGTCTTCAAGAAGTAATTTCCCTTAGTGTTCCAGGAAGTTGTGATTTGAAGAGGAGTTATTGTAATGGCCATGCACTACGAAATTGTTGACTCAAATTCTGAGTCACTCTTCTTTTCTTATTGGTTAATTCTAGTAGAAATAAAACGGAAGACGGTGTAGTGGACTGGACTAGTGCTGCTATGTGCTATACACCGAAAATGCCCCAGCTTTCCTCCTCACTCTTCAAACTCGTCACCTTTTTTGCTCGGTCAGACTTGCGTCCGGATCTTTCCGTTTGGTAAACGAAGCTGGTTTATCCGTGGCATAGTAGCAGAAGATAATGTTGCCCACTGAAATAAGCAGCGTTATCACGAACTTTGGACAGTCGTAGCAAAATCACTTATTCAAAAACAGCCTTTGCTAGATATTATAAATAAAAAGTGATTTTGGTTTTATCGTGTGTTCCCAATTAGAAAGAATACGGACGCCTCTACGTTTGTTTCCTAGTTTCTTTGAGTTTTTGCTCCCCGATAAATCAACAAAATTACAAGGGAAGTCACTTAAATTAGGTCGGGCTTTTGAAATGAGACACATATATTTAGAATCAGCTCGGGACGCTGATTCCAAATATGCTATCCCTAGCTGCGAAGCTTTTCTCTGAAGCGAGTTATGAGCTTTTTTAGTATGTGTCATTGACATTCAACTGAATATGGAAGGAAGGTCTTTAGATGAAAATCTGCCTAAAAAGTGGTGGAAAATCAGAATAACGTCAAATTAAGTCATTTGGCTTTGATAGGGTATAATATGCATTTGAACCACTACCTAGATGATGATACCGTTGCATGCCTAACTCGGTCAACACACAAAATTTGCTCAGGAAAAGCTCATAACTCGCTTCAGAGGAATGCTTCGCAGCTAAGGAAAGCAGATTTGAGATCAGCGTTTCAAGCTGATTCCAACCAACTGTGTCTCATTTCAAAAGCCCGACTAAAGCTAAGTGACTTCCCTTGTTAGAATCGTTTTGTGAACCTCTCAAAACTCTTCCTCATGAACTTTTGTGTAAGACACATGAATCAACCACTGCTCAGTCTGAATAGTTTATCTGAGTTCTTTTCTCACATATCAACATTGAAACTACTCACCTATCAAAAGGATTCCATGGATAAGGAAAACGACCCTCCATTCTGTGATTGTGTTGTGTTTGCATATCAAAAATACAAGTAATGGTTCGATGAAGAGAGATAAACATTTGATGAATTGTATTTGTGATAGCACAAAGTGAGAGTGCTGCCTGAAATACAGATTTGAGAATTTTAGCAAATCTTCACATCTGGCTAATATTATGCATATTATGCTACTAGCTGGCATACCCGGCTCCGACCGGCTCTGTCAGTACAGCTGACTGCCATTCCCCCCCCCCTTTTGTCAACCACTATATATAGATTTTTGAAGTTGGAGTGCCTCTATAGAGTTGCGTTTATACTTGCAGTGATTCATGTGGTGAGTGCATAAATGGTGCCAGCGTGCCTTTATCCCTTCCCCATACATGCTAAATATGAGATCTTGCCAAATTTTCTAGAGTTTTCCTGAGGAAGACGAAGAGTGTGACAAAACTTATGTAACAATCTAATATATACTAAAGACATCCAGCTTTACCCTTTGATTGGCGGCTGGAAGGCAACCGCTAGCGCCCGCAACGCAGCCTGCGTCTCCCTCGCGAGTATGCGCTCTGGTCATTCTCTAGCCTCAAATGGGTCAGGAATTCCTGCCTTCCAGCCGCCAAGCCAGTTGAATCAAAGGTATAATAAATAAATCACTTACAATCCCCTCCCTATGACAACTACCATATGTAACTTATAGTTCATATAAATTTCATCTATTTTTTAAATTGCCATTTTCGGCTTGAGAACCTCCAACTGACATGGTTACAATAGCTTTGTTTCAGAGATATCCTAGAAACGACAATGCTCTTCAATTTCTAGAACTTGTTCAGTTAGCGAATTCAAAGCTTTTGTAAAAGAATGGTTTGAGAATTATAAGCATTGAAATAAACAAGAAATTCATTCTTTTGTGCGCAACCTTTACGATCCATTTTGAAATGAATTACTTGAGACAATACGACATATGATTGCATTACGTCAAGGGACAAACCTTGCCACAAGCGTAGCGCATTTGTAGAATCCACCGCAAATGAAGCCAGTGGAGCATTCGATTATCAATAGAGAAATTAGAGCATAAGTGGCCATGTCTTTAGAGATGAATCCAAGAACGCAAAAGAAAGTCCCAGACACCTAAAAATAGTCTGTTTCTGACATAGTCATCCCCTTAGGTATTCGTGCTCTAACATTACTTTTTCTGAGCATTCAAAAAATTAGTTAGTTTAGGTATAGTAGATGGTGTTGGCTTGCACTGTTTACCAGTGGCGGTCCGAGGGGGGGGGAGGAGGGCGCGCGCCCCCTTCGAGAATGGATCGCGAAATTTTTGAAATTACTTATATGGGTTGCAAAAATGTGCAAGTGGCTTGTTTACACTAAATAATCAAATTGTAATTGTAAATAATTAAAATAATTTTTTAAATTTTCTAAAAAATTCAAATTAGCCTTGTAAAAAATTTTTTTAAGTCGAAATCCAGGGACCGCCACTGCTGTTTACCTATAAACTTACCATCAATGCAATCGTGTTGAAAATTCTCATTTTAGTTTTTTCTGAGATGAAGCTGAAATGAAAATAATGAGAACCAGTCGAGAAAACCTGCTCAAAGGAACTCACAGGATTCTATCACTAGCAATTCCACTAATTATTTTGAACATTAAGTGGAGAGCGCGAGGAACGGCAACAAAATAACCGGTATGGGCGACTCGGAATCCGAGAACCTAAAGATTTTGAATGGCTTTATACAGACATCAACTTAAACCAACCTCTTTGAGATAAGTGGGACCATACATTACGATAAACTGAGACATCATAAGCTCACCGAAAGCGGATAACCATACAGACCACATTATGTGATTTGTCAAAATTTCCTGAATTCGTAGTTGTAGCAAATCTTTACTGGATTTGATAGGAAGATTAACTTGTTTTGCCACCTACGCTACCGTAACTTGTCGAAAATCAGAATTTTAGCAACCACTAACCCTTTGCACCAAACCCAGTTTCCAGCTCAAAGTTTGTAAAAAAAAGTCCAAAGCAGTAAGATGACAGATTCTCTGATATTAAATTGCGTAATAAAGTTATAACTTGATCAATAGATTTAGCCTCCCAGCTTAGGGTGAAGCTACGGTGCGCACAGGGTTCGGCAGCGTACCGAACAGGATCGGTACAGGGTGGCTGACTGAAAATGCAAAAAAAGAAGTCCCCTTAATTTTTGCGAATTTTTACGAAGTCCTCTTTGACCCTGGACCATAATCCCAAAAAATCTCCAGAAAACGGAACGTCGACAAAAAAACGTTGCAAAATTTTTGTCTTTTCGGCCTCCTTTGCTTTTTGTCCCAAAAACGATATTCAGCTTGCTTATAACCACCTGTGCCGAGCCCTAGTACAGTACATGTTAATGGGTTACACCATCTATGACGCTTTACCTTAACTGGCGTTGACTCATGTTCGTTGATTTCTCCCTTGCCACGATGTATCTTTTCCAGCTCAATTTCTGTCATCGACGGATGCTTAACCGGATTGTTTCTGAAGAAAAAATATGCTGCTACAAATTTAAAAGGTGTTTTATGGTCACCTACCTGTAATAATAGAACCAAGCAGTGAATAATACAGCGCTGAGAGCAGCATGAACATAATACACCGAAGACCACCCGAATGATGATTCACATAGCTTCAAATAGCGATGAAGATGATGTGGCCGAAAGAGAAAGTGAATTTTTTTACCTCACCGGCCACCGGCATAGTGAACATCACTGAGATCTGAGAGAACGATGACAAAAGCGAGATGAAGAAACCATGCTGCTTTAATGAAGCCCAGTTGACAACAATCAAGCCGATTGCAGCGAAGTCAGCGCCAAATGACACTCCCTAAACAAAATATAGGTAAGCTGGGTGTAAAGGAGAGCAGAAGCAGGAGAGACAGCGTTTTGCCAGTTTACTGGACATATCGTTTTGCAAGAATTTATAGGCCAATAATTTTTTTGTTCTTTTCCGTAAAATCCTCCACTAGGAAAAAATTGGTCAAGTGTGAACAAAGACTATGTAGCCCCTAAATGTGCCTTAAGGCACCTAACTTTGCCATTTATGTTATAAAAAGTATCGCAACGTTGGTCGCACAATAGTGATTGTAATTGGGTTCTAAATACCTCTATGAGCTGCAAAAATTCACAGATGTTTTCATTAATTTGGTCAAATAGTAAATTCGTTTTGGTATGCAAATCTTCGTAAAAAATCTCTTGTTGCTTTCTGTTCACGAGTCTTTGTGGTAAAGTAGCTTAAAGCTTCCCCTCTCAAATATCAGAAGAGTTATGCCACAACAAGGCTAAATTTCTAGAAGCTCAATTCTTTGACTCCCAAGCTTCGTTTTCATGCTGTAATGGATGTAGAGAACAGCATTTCAGTATTTTGACACGAGGAGATTTCTCTATTTAGTGAATAACTATGTAAATTGTGATTCGCCAATTCGGAAATCTTTTATCAAAAAAAAATCTTCCTCATATTTGCGCACTAGAGCAAATTGGGGTTTCTCATTTCTTTGCGGATTTTCTTCCTTGCAAGATAAGTTCTTTTCAAACAGAAATTCAATTCCCAATTTTAACTGATTTATCAATGAAAATTGAATACCCTGCAATAAACTCAGATAGGTTCTACTGAGGAAATCCATACTCAAAATGTCCCAAAGCTTAGACATTTTTCTAATAGATGATCATCTGCTCATTTCGTAGAAAAACAGAGGAAATGAATGAAGAGTGAAATGGAAGGTGAAAACGGTGATCTTGCAATTTTCTAATCTCGGTGTCGGCTATGGAAAGGGGTAGCGAGAAAGCAAAGATGTAAAAGATTTTGAATTTCTGATCTATTTCTTTCGGAATATGTAATCAAATCTGGTTGTAAAATTGCAACACTTTCGAAGAGACCTAATAAGAAATTATTCTTTGCCAAAGACTCGTTGGAAATTTCACAGAAAACAAAACGATGGAGTTCACATTTCAATAAGTTTACATGCTGCGACTCTCACTTCTTCATCCAGTTGCGTAAAAAATAAGGACATAAATTAATCGCTGGAGAAAAACATTTGTGCACCTGGAAGAATCTTGCTACAAGAAGCCCAATCCAAGTATGGGCTGCCATAAAAGGCATGACGGCTGTGGCAACTGTTGAGATAACACCAGCCGTGAAAAATACGGATCTTGCACCGTATTTCTGGTAAAACCTAAAACAAATCTCCGAAGGTAGGCTCGATCATCACAAAAATTTCGGAGAATCTTCGTTATTTACCAGTGAAATGGCCATGCTGCGACTAGCGTTCCAACAGCCACTGCCCACATCAAGTACGATTTCTCTGATTGTGAGTAGTCGTATGGACCTCTGTTCTCCAGATCAAGGGGAGTGCTCTATAAGGAGAAAACATGAAGTTCTTCAGATACACTGATAGTTGACTCTAATTATCTACCTCATTGTATTCCCTACCCATACAAATCAAAGTGAAATTGAGGACTACCATATTTGAAGCTATCGAGGCAATACATGCCGATCCTAAAATGATACCTTTATCTTCACCAAGAAACTCAAACAATTTACGATATATTCTGTGCTCCTAAATGGTAACTCCAATCGAGAGTCCATTTATCAGTAGTTTTCTTTTTCTTGGTACGGGCTACTAAATATGTTTTATAGTACACTAACAAGGAAAGGAAGGTTGGTCGAAGTGGCCTTTTGAGATGAGATGATACTACCTTGTAGAGCTTTGAACGCTGATTCCAAATATGCATTCGATATCTGCTGCTGGCTTCTGAGCGAGGAGTTATGAAGGTCTGTGTGAGTAAGAATCTGAATGCAAGAGTAGGCTAAATTCAGCCGCTACTTTTTTATAGGGCTTAATTGGTAGTCGGGTCACTCGGTGCAACAAATAATCTTGATTCAAATATGCCAACTCGCTGTTGCCTCATTTGAACGTTGGGAAAAGGTTACGACTGATTTTAGCGTACTTTTGCATTCAGATTTTTACTCACACAGACCTTCATAACTCCTCGCCCAGAAGCCAGCAGCAGATAGCGAATGCATATTTGGAATCAGCGTTCCAAGCTCTACAAGACAATCTACATCTCATATCAAAAGGCCACTTCGACCAACCTTCCTTCCCTTGTAAGTAAGCATCAACCTGTCCGACCTCTCTTACTTCCACGTACTACTACTTCGAAAGGAATGCAGAGGGGTAGCGGGAAACTATATGATTTAAAAATACTCGTTGCTTACGCCGAAAGAGTAATCGAGAGTGAAACTAAATATCTCTTTCAATGAATAGTTGGTAAGCTATTGAATATTTAGTAGTGGGAACCAGTCTCTGCATGTACAGTCTCTGCATATAAAATCACACATTGTGGACTTGACAAATCAGTTTTGAAAAATTTAGAGAATTTCTTCGATTTGCTGCTGTTACCTTTCAGACCAGCATACAGCGACCTCCAAAAGCAAGCAGTCGAACTCTAAAGACAGTTCCCTCGGGAAAAAGTGAAACTAATGAATTATGCTATGCGAGACAATCTGACCAAAAAAATAATCGACATGCTAACTTCAAAGAATGCCAGCAGATTTGGGGTCTGTTCGAGACGCCCTAAAACTTCGGTTAACTCCTCTAGAATGGTAGAATGCAATCGTGAATGGTTAATCACAAGAAAATGGCATTATAACAACTTCCCAAGCAAAGAAACGATTGTTTTTCAGATATAATACATATATAGTAGTACCTGATAAATGCAAAAGTATCTTACAAAACTGAATACAGGCTGACAAATAAAAAGAAGATATGGATGTGCAAGATGAGTGGCACAAATTCTAAGTGCTCATGTGAGGCGATACAAAAGGATAACTTTTTCTGAAACTAAAACTCTTCTTTGTTGTGTGACATTGATATATATCAAAATGTTTTCAATCCACTATTCTATCTTAAGCCATTTCAATAGAAGACAATAAGTGTTTGAAAGAAAAACGGGCGAATATGAGTGTCAGGAATGACCAAATCAACATAAAGTTTGTTTATGTTTGAGCGTGAGTAATACTGGGGAAGAATACAAGAGACCGAGTCGAAACAAACTTTTCAGACTGAATCTTGTTGGCAGTAATGCACGATTTGAGAATATCAATGTACGTGACGGTACGACCGTTCTTATTCGGAACTACATTTTAAGCATGAATTTTATGGTTGCTCAAATTCATTCACTTACATACAAATGTCATCTTATATATAAAGCTGAATGTCTGTCTGTATGTATGTCTGTATGTCTGTCTGTACGTATGTGCGGAATAGAAATTTTTATTTCTGAACCGATTTGGACCAAACTTGGCACACATATACTTCGGGACAGGGAGCGTGTCATAGTCCACTTTTCGTTATCGATCGATATCGATTTTTGGCAAAATTTGAGCTACGGGACTGGGAGTTGGCACAGGGGGGTAATCGAACATGCTGATCACCCCCACGGGGGTGATCAGCATGTTCGATTACCCCCCTGTGCAAAATCCCAGCCCCCTAGCTCAAAATTTGCAAAAAATCGGTGAAATCGACATCGATCGATAACGAAAAGTGGACTATGACACGCTCCCTGCCCCGAAGTGTATGTGTGCAAAGTTTGGTCCCGGGCGGAGCCGGGTTTGCCATCTAGTAATTTATATTTTTGACACCCTCTTCACCCAGTTATTGTGATGTAAATATAAAGATAAACGAAGTTACCATTTTTACTCACTATATTAGTCCCAAGTCACTAAACCACCATGAAATCAGCTGGAGAGGTATAAAGAAGAAAGTGAACATGGATAATTAGCTTACCTAGTATGAGGACGATATAACGAGTCCTTGTGGTTAAGCACCCAATCTGATCCACATCCAAGGGCTCTTTCCTCATCGTCCTTCAACTTTCATAGATACTAATCGCTATTTCGGAAACAGTTAGAAAACTATCGTAGATAAAAGCAACATCAAGAGAGTGACCCTGATCAGCTTTAGAAAAAAATGCACAAAAACTCCAACAGTGTGATGTAAACTTGAAAGGAAAGGGGTTATCTGATGTTTGTTATGGAGAGAGAAAACGATGCCGTCATAACTATCTGGATGTCTCAAATACTCTGCCGCATCATCCATCATGCCCGCTAAAGGCAGTATGATGACATTGTACTATCTGTAATCATCGATTTTTTATACTGGCTACCGGATGTCATAAAGCGCAACCCAGAAGTTCTACTGGACACATAATTTTGCAAATTTGATGCCGTAATTCATCATCGGGCCGTTGCGATAGTAATCTCGCTACATTCGGAAGAGCGCCACAACCCACAGAAAATGATTATCGAAGATTTTGATGACATTTTGCGCAGCCTTTCATCCTCTTGATCCAGCTGGACTGTCTTGGTGCTGACAAACCAAGATGGGAAAAAAAGTTCTCATAATACCGAAAATCTCAGCCAGAAATTGAAAAAAAATCCATATATCTTGCCCTATGTGCGCCTCATTCAACCTTTTGAAATTTTGCAACAGAAAGTTTCGAAAATAATTGAATTCATGCGTGGTAGCGGTAATTATTAGGTCGTCCCAAAAGTAAAGGTATTTCTAAATAATTCAAAGTTTTGTTCTCCCAGCAGACTTAGCGTACCATTCGATAGAGTGGAACAAGCTCTACAATAGAAACACCAAAGATCTACTTAAGTCTCAATCCAGGTAAAGTTTGGAGTAAAATGAAAAAAACTCACCACTCGGAAACTGGATTTTTGCGAAGGAATCCAAGGAGCTCAGACTTGGTCATTATACTGCAGAGACATAATAGAACTGAAAATGCCTTTGCTGGAATTTTTCTTCGCTTGAAAAAATCTAAAGATGGCAAACTCCGCCCCCAGCCCCTTCCACCTAAGTCATCGCGTACCACAAGTCTTAAAGTGTAACCTCAAAACCTTAGAATTTTACCTCTGTTTTTGCTTTGATAATCAGAAATACAAGTTTAACAATCAAAAAAAAACCGAAAAAAGTGACGTTTTTGCGTTTCGGGCCATTTGAATTTCTCAGTTTTGAGCCCCGCAAAAAATCCACCAGATACATTTTTGGGTACTTCATGCATCTGCTGTATAATAAACAAGCAAGAGGCCCGTAGGAATTTTCTGGAAGGAGATCCGATTTTTAGGGTAGTTAAAAATTTTTGATTTTTGGACCCAAATTTAACCTGGACCACGACATAGGCAGATCTTTGGTAGTCTGTAGAGCTTGCTTCACTCTATCGAATGGTACCCTAAGTCTGCTAAAAAGACAACGGCAGTTTAATTTATTTTGTAATACATTTTACTTCTGGGACAACCTAATAATTCAATATGAAACGTTGGGAGAACTTGATTTGAGAAGATAAATTATGTAAACAGGAACTAAAACGGCATCGAATAAAACCAAGATCGTCTATATGTTTAATAAGTTCTGACAGTTGTGGCGATCAGCCAAAAAATGCAAAATTACTTCGGGGACAACCCAATATATTATAGCGCTATTTCACATTAACTAACCTAAATTCGTGATTTTGTTGAAACTTTTCCGGAGGGACTGTTCCGCATGCCAGTATGAGCATTGATTTCTCAGCGTCATTTTGAATTTGGAAAAAAATTTTTAAAAATTTTCTTGCATGTTATCGTGAATATAAGATTGGTACTCCCAAATTTGACCAGAACTGTTTCGAGCTCGTCGGAAACACCCAAGTAAATCCTTTTTGCAACGTTGCGTTGGACACATCGTCTGCCACCCACCTTAATGCAGCAAAGAAGCTTCCATGCATACATACCGACTTCATATTCGCTGCATACTGATCCCCCCCTTCTCCAGACAAAGTTCCAAGCAAATTCACGGTTTGAACCTACCGTAGCATACCGAAGCATAGAAAATGAAGTTACTGTCAAAGTTTTATCTGCCGAATCTTTGGCGAAAATCAACTTCGATATTTGTGTAAACTAACGTATATAAAACAAGAAACAGCATTTATGGAAACGCACTTGATGATAAATTCTTGTTGTTTTAGGCGAGACGAATCTTAATCGATTCAATGCGTAGTAATAGATATTACGTCACTCATCACCTCGATCTCGCGATAGATGTCACTGAGGTATGCTCAGCTGAGGGCAGATAATTAGAAGATTTTGATTAACAGAAGTTCAGAGATTTGAGAAATTGTCTATCGCATCGACAACCATCAATAGTTGACCAAGCTTTAAAAAAGTTGAATATCACTTTAAGATACGGTTTCTAGCATACCGTACCAGCCCTTTGATGGAAAATGCTAGGTCAGAACTTGGAAATACAACACCTCTATCAAAATTTACTAAATCCCAGATCTTTCTGGAATTATCCGGATTCTCCATTAGGTTGTTACATAAGTCTTGTTATACTTTAATATCTTATGACGAAAATTTGTGAACTTCATAATTTTGAAAGGGCTCCAGGGTACCATTGGACAGAGCAAAACAACAACAATATGAAGTTCACGACTTATCGTCGTAAAAATTTAAAGTGTGACAAGACTTATGTAACAACCTAATATATGCTCAGAAATTTCAAGAAAAAAGCGATGCGGAGAGCACATTTGTAGGAAAAAAAATTAGGCGAGCACTTTCGCTCAGTTCCACCATATCTAGACTATTTCAAAGCAATCTCAAGCCTAGAAACAAAACTGAGGACCATCCAAATTCGCTTGAAGTTAGTTTCTAAAAATTATTGGCGTTACACGATCTAAGCTCGAAAAATAACTCATCATAGTTTTAAATCATGTTTTTGGGTGGATTTCAATTGAAGAACAGCTGATATAATGAAATAGCGTCGATTTTTCTGGACAGAGTACAAAGAAGGAGAAAGACAACGAAAAAGAGAAACTATAAAGTGTCGCTAGACCGGTCATTTGAATCCTTATACGATCAAGCAGTAGTCTCGCTAGTATTTTATGCATCAACTTTAGCCAAATGAATATTAAAGAGTTTGTAGACATTTACAGAAGGAATAAGATTGAAGAGACCACCGATTTGATGTCACAATGTTCGCACGGTTATTGTTTGACCTTCCGATTGGCGATGTGTAATAGGCAGCTCGCTATAGGTTATGCAAACTCTCAGTGTGAGCAAGTTCAATGGTGATTGAAAACAAAATTTCTTCTACTAGGTAAAGTTCGATCTCAAATCGAATAATTATTTTGGATATAAAGATATCTATGCAATACATTCGTAAATGTTGAAGCGAAATGGACAAATAAAATTACTCAAAAAGTCTTGCCCTGAGAATGAGTACTTCATGGATAGATAGATATAAGATACAAGGATATACTACTAAGTTGTCAAGTAATGTTCCTTTCTGTGAGCTCGCTATTTCATCGCAACCAAACGAATCTTAAAAATACATGAGGAGTACTCCTGGATAGAGCACAGCAAGCTCTACAAGAGTGCATTCACTTATTTGCTCATTTCACAGAGTTCGGAACCAAAATCTGGGTTTGATTTCATGCAAAAATAGAGAAAACTTATCTTTTCCAGGAAGACCTAAAAGCTTTTCACTTGCTCAGACATATAATCTCTACATCTGATATTTATCTGTAAATTTGCTTATTTTTTCATAGCTAGGGCTTGGGAAACACACATATACCAAAATACCAAAATACCAAAATAGGCTAAAAGTACGAAAAATCTTCTTTTTTGGAGTTTTCCGCACTAAGTTTGATGTACCTCAAAAAAATCGAATTTAAATTAAAAAAATCATGAACTTACTTTCAAAGCTTCATACGAATTACGCACGTGAGAGGAACTCAGCACAGCTTCTGCAGAAAATTATTATTTTTTTATTTCTAGCTATGAAAAAATAAGCAAATTCAAATATAATTAACAGATACTGGGTGTATGCTGAGCGAGCAAAAAATTTATAGGACTTCCTGGACGAAGGTATGATTTCTTCTCGATTCTTCATGGTTTTTGGCCCTTGGCTTCAAACTTTATGTAGAACAAATTTTGAGCAGATGTATGGGCACGCTCTTGTGGAGCTTGTTTTGCTCTATTTAACAGTACCCACTTGATTATAGGGTTGGCCTGGTTGCTGTGTTATAGCAACAAATATAAAGCGATATTATTTTATGGATAACCATATTTTTTTGACAAGTTGTTTAGAAATTTCTGAGATTTGTCCCTTGTATTGTGACAAAAAGTAAGCACTGTAAAACAAAAATGTGTCATTTTCAAATTATTCGTGGTATATGGGTTCAATTTTGCCATAAAAAATGCATGTGTTACCCAAACATGGCAACTGTACTACACATGTAAAAAATGGAAAGGCGCGCAAACTAATTATTGAAAGATAGGAAAACAGCGTTATCAAGTGCACTTATAGACACCAACCCTTTTGGATCGAAGTACATAACTGATGCAGCTAATTCAGAAAATAATGTCTACCAAATTAATGAGCTTTTAGACATTTTCAGCTGAAAACACAGGGTTTCTCAATTTTTTATAACTTTTGTCTCTACTGTAGATCAATCGTTGACGAAAAAGCTACACATTTTCAGTTTCAGCGATTTTTTCTTTAACTTCACATATTTTCCTACCAAAAACTGAAGTTCCGTTATGTTTTTCACCATATTAATCCGCTTCTCTACTATTCCCATTGCTACTTTTGTTGGCTTTTTACCCTCCTTATTCCTAAACTGTTGGTGAATATTTTCAACTCACAACAAAAGCTGCTTAGTTTTTGACTTCGTTATGTTTTTTCGTTTACTACTAATTTTTGCTTTTTTTCTGCTCTGCAAGATCTTTGAAACTTATTGGTGTGGTAGCGCAATGGAGATCTTTGTTCAAAGGAGAGAAAGAGAGGAATTGTTGTTGAATTGGTGAAAAACGTCTGTTGCAGAGTGATAGCAAATCAATAGCCTGTTGTGGAAATCAACAGGTTATTATATCTCTTTCGCTAACGAGCCACTGCGCGAGCATAATCTCCCCGGGAGGTATTTATTCTTGATCACCCATCTTCAACTAGATCCGGTCCGAATGGAGATATTTATTCCTACCAATTACTGTCCCAAAATATTGTAAATATAATAAATATCCCGTAAAATATGATTCGATTTTCCAGACAGATTTTTGAAAGCGTAAGATGAAGGATTCAAGAACATAATAAAGTAAGTAGAATACTTAATAAGTACGTGTCCCTAGAACCACTATCATGCATAAATAATAAGTATGCCATTATTGAAGATTTCTGAATTAACAATAGCAATTGCGAGCTGTGGCAAAAGAACATCCAGATTTGTAGACTATTACTCAAAATGACACAGTTTCCACAAGATTCGCACGTAGTAAATGAATAATAGACCAGATTAAGTAATTAAGTGAATAAGTAGATAAATCGGTTGATACATGGAACTTGCGCTGAGAGAGAGAGAGAGATTCCTTCCTCACTTTGATGAAAATTTTAAATTCAACTTTTTTCTTTTACAAAAGGTTTGGACATGTAAAACGAAATACAACATTTTGTATATGTCACGAAGAGTATACACACTTTTGAAAAGTTATCCAAAGGTTATTAAACTTTTCCTATGTTTTTGCTTCGTATCAACCCAATATTGAGCACGGTTAACACCTTGACTTGCTCAACTTCTCTGCTTCAAAAAGAGGGATACCTAGATATACCAAAAATTCCAGATAGAAAAAATCGAACCGAGCAGGCTGATTCAGAAATCAGTGTTGTTTACGTTAATGCTTGCTTATCGCCAGAGCATTATGGTACACAAACTTAACATGTGGAGTTCTCTTTGCCGAAAATCACAACAAACATCGATGTGGAGGTCAAATCTTGATAAACACAATCGCAAATTTGAAGTCAGGTTTTGAGGTACTGTCGCAGATAAATAGTAGCAAGTACTCTTGCTGAGCAGTGAAAAATTTGTAAACAATCTGTCAGCTGTGACCTGAGAGTAGATCAGTCCAGGTGTAGCATAAAGTGAGACTGAATCCTAGCCAAATGACAAACAGAAGTAAGCTAAGTTTAGGCCCAAAAATATTTACTAAGTAGTTTGGACTAGCCAAAGGTGGACATTTACGACCTTGCAAAGTGGGAACTTCAGGACAGACACACGATAGTAAAGATGCCCTTCTTTTGACATTAATGGGAAAAAAGTGAATTAATTTGATTTTCATTTTCGCTATTCTTTAGTAAAAAAACCACTTCTTTACGAAAAAGTGAGCAAAATTCGAATGAGCTCGAATGAAATAGATAGAGGAGCTTTTATACACCTGATTCTGTTAATGAAGTAAGCGCATGTTATGCTCGTATTATGCTTAATTATCTTCAGCACTTCACTAGAAGGGCAATCAAACAAATCTTTATTAAAAGGCAATCAAGTGACACATAACCAAGGAAAAAAACGAAGTTCATGATAATCAAATGCGTGAGAAGAATTGCAATGTTATGATAAGCTTTTTTCGCTTGATGATTTGGATGATCTCTCGGCGTTTCCGTACCAGAAGTCAGCTGTCAGGTCTGCACCCCCTCGATCTCTTTCCGCCCCGCAACATTTATTTCCAGTCATCCATTCTGGCAGTCGGCTCAATAACGCAGGCAAAATCTGGAATCATTATGCTATATTATTATGTTATTAATGCATGAGTAACTGACAATGAGTCCGTGAGCTAAGCCAAAGGTCACCACCAGCGCAATGGCTGTAAAGAAGACGGAAGAAGAATAAGTCTGAAAGCATTTTTGGATATAGAAACTTCATGTCAAGTTCTTTATAATCTCAAGATTTAGTTGACTGCTTCTGAGTCCATTTCAATTTGGCAGCGTGCCAAGGACAGTATGAACTCCAGTAAATACGAGGTTATATTGTGTGCACCCGCGGTAAAGACAAGATTTGCGCGAAAGCAAATGTCATGCTTGTAAATGCAGAAAACTGCTTGCGATTTGAGCATAAAAAATGACCATAGAGCGCACATTGCCTCTATTTACGCGCAAAGGTCGTAGTTACCACAAGGAAATTAATCGTCACGTCTACTAACTATACTACGAATTTGTATGTCCTGTTCAAAAAATGAGGGCAGTGAGGGTTTTCAGAAATTGGCAGAATGCCAAATCGCAGATAGCAGGCAATAAACGATCACCACTAAATCGGCGTCTAATACCTGGGGCGAAATTTGTCAATCTGCCTGTTCCTGATGGTGCGGTATGTTTCTGCTGTTTCGCCGTTATGAATAAGCCCCGATCGGCTAGTGAGAGCCCTTGATAACGGTAGAACAACCCGACCGGGACTGCGAGATCCCGAAACCGCCTTTGCAATTATACAGGTTTTTGATGTATTGAAAGTTGTTTGAAAGCAATGGCCTTCCAAATCTCCGACTTTAAAATTCTTAGTGAACCCTCTGGTTGTGCTGAATGCGAAATATGCGCTGAAGATGTCAAAATTGTATTTTCTTTACATTTTTGCATCAAAGAGCTGAAAGGGTGGTATCAAAATCCCACTGTTCTTCTCAGCTGCTACTGGTTGTCGGAACCAACCTATCAGCTGCTATGAATTACGGTGGTGTCTCCATCTCAAGGACGTTACGTTATTCCCTTTTGCCGCGCTCATCCCATCATGTTAAAAAAAAATGAAATTCGTGGCACTCTCAAGTATTGCAAAGCACACCTTTGAATTTAAGCAATTCAGAATGTTTAAAAAACGATATGTCGCCGAAGGGGGCTCCCTCACGACATCTGCAACAAACGCGCACTCTGTGCGTAAGATGTATGTAGCTGCAGCTCGTACCAGTTGCCTACAATATGCCGTTCACATGAAGCAATAGTTGCTGACACCAACCGGAATTTTTGCGCATAAGTATTGTTTTCACTGAGTGGAACAGGAACTTCTTCGTAGCTAGAATTGATGTTGCTTCAATAAAGTAAGCAGAAAGAGTTTGTACTTAAAACCTGTTAGGACGTAGAGTCCTCTACCCACTACTTTAATAAAGATCTTGAAGAGTGCCGAGCCCTGCCTATGAGGGGCTAGCCATTAATTTACTAACGCTTTAGATAGCTTGTCAGATTAGTCGATTAGCATACGTGGAGCCAGACGCACCGAAATGAATGTTAATGGAAAAACACAGCAAATGGTCGAGATTGCTGCCTGCACCATGGGCCATGCCACAGTAAGTATCGTATTTTCAACTTTTGCCGCCATGCTTTTCAATGGCACCGTAACTGATATCCCTTTCCAGAGTTGATCTCTCGTCTCGCGCTAAAACCGGCTTTTTTGAGAGTGTTTTCGCGTATAATAACGCGCCTACCTGAAAATGATAGGCAACATGGGCGATGTAGTCTACGCTCATTCCGATCGTCATCAACAAAGCAATCATCACTACGGGATCAAGTTCGAATGAGAGTTTTGACATAATGCCAACGACACCTTCAAAATTATTATTTTTATGGATCAGATGGGAAGAAGGGAGTTGAAATTACCTATGTTGATGGATGCTATTGCTAAACTTGAAGTAAGAACACTACATGGTCTCGTTATAAAAATGACGCAAACGAGAGTCATAGAGAAGAGAGTGAGTAAAGTGGTCTGGAAATAAATGTATAATGATATAATATTTTGTGAAGAGTTCATCTACCTTAAATGTAGTGTTTGATAAACTTAGCATCTGATCGACAAACATTCCACCGTCTTCGTACACGGTCATGTTGAGCTTTGGGTACCTTGAAATTTTAAAATACCAACCTGAAGCGGGATTCTAACTACCCAGCTAGTAATGCTTACTTCGCAACTATTTCTCGCCATTGAGTCATTAATTTGATACGTATATTCCAATTCGATACATTAGTGTACGCTATAGTCATGAAAAATCGTCTTACAGTAAGCTCGCCGCTGAAAACTCGATAGCTATGAGGTGCCCAAGCCGGAAAAATATAAAATTTTTTTTTTGAAAGTTTGGGTAAGGCCACATTCGTACATCCAAAATGTTTTCTGTTTGGAAGCCATCCCTAGTATGGTTTAAACGTGAAGGAAGATCTTGGGCTCTCGGCGGCCAACTTTTGCTCCATGAGGTGATGCCCCCAGTCATTGCAATGAAAGGGTCATTGAACTAGACGTATATATACTTTTGGGCCTCCCTGCTAACTACTACAAGATTTAATTTGCATTACGAAAATTTTTGGTGATTAGAAAAGATAAAAGATGATATTATTAAAACTAAAGACTGAGATAAATGCCTGAAGTTTTTTAACGCATAACATCAAAATTATTACTGCCAAACAAGCATAGCCTAAACCCGAGTAGTCTTTCACTCGCACGGTATTGACTCATTTCCTAGTCAACACATGCTGAGATCACGTAGTAGAAAATTTTGTACCCTTCTGCTCAAAGGCTCACCGTTCTATTAGGTCGTAATATAAGTTTTGTTACACTCAGAGGAAAAACGTTGACAACTTCCTCAAAAAAATTTTTGTAAACTACAAATCGAGTGAATGCTTAACTTTTCAATATACTAGATGGTAACTTAAATTTTGTTACATTTTAACTTCTTACGGCCATAAGTCATACACTTCATACTCTTAATAGGGCTCATATTCGATAGAGCAAAGCAAGCTCTACAAGATTGTATGCAAAAGTTCGCACCACCTTCGGCCCATCAAAGTTGCCTCGAGAGTCTGACAATGAGTGGTACCGAAGGCTCAAAAAATGGAAATCGAGAAAGCTAAAATTTTTATGTTTACACAAAAACGAAACTGCTGCTTTCGCCCATGTAATGTATACTACATACAAGGTAGCTTCCCACACCCTATGTTCGAGAAATATTGGTTTTAGCATGAACACACGAGTGAGGAGAGCTAAATTCGGTAATTTTCGAAAACTAAGGCTTATGCAAAGCTGAAAAATTGCGGTTATATTTTCAAGGGCTTGTAGTATACAACTGCATATGTGAAAGAAGCGCAGCTTCGTCTTTGTATAAACGTGAAAATTTTGTTTTTTCTATATGAGGAAAGATACGGAAACGGTACGGTACATACGAGTGTCTAATGTACTAGTGCTCAATTAGTGTGAGCAATTTGGATATCCGAAGGATTTTTGTGAACGAAGATGTGAATTTCTCCCCTATTTACTGAGCCTTTAGTACGACTCAGATTCCGGATGCAAAGTTACGGTGAATCGAAGACGGTGCGTAATTTCGCACACCATCTTGTAGAGCTTGCTTTGCTCCATCGAATGGTACCCTGTAGCCTATTAAGAATATGAATTATACGACTTATGGCCGTAAGAAGCTAAAGTGAAACAAGACTTTTGTTACTACGCAATAACACATGCCGCATTGAAAAACCAAATTTTTGAATTTTTGAAATTTGTGAATTATTTTTGGGAAATTTTCAACTTACGTTATTGACAAGCCTAGACCTCCTAAACTGCCTTTATATTAATATCAATGTCCCAAATTCACGAAAAATCTGAGAGCCAAAAAGTAAGAATGAGAGAATTTTTACAAGGAAAAGAAAAAAATAGAGATTCAAGTGCCGTCCTAGTTTGCCTTTAGTGCCTTTATTTTCAGTGTAATCCATATGTATAAAGGTGGAAATGACGCCAATAGATAGTCCTTTGTCCATTACTTTATATGCTATATATTAGGTTCTGCTAAAGTTTCTAGGGTTTTTAGATAAAAATGAAAAAAGTGTCACTAAAACGATCTAATACATCTAGTATAGATAAGTGTCTTTTTTGAAACTTTGGATCTGTTTGAAGAGTTCATATTCTTGAGTATAAAGTGGAGAAAAGCTTTGAAGACGTACTTGACGTCATGATTGTTACGGTAGACAGTAGTCTCGATTACTTTGAAAAATTTGCATTTTCGCTTTCTATTTACTTATTGTATGTGTTGGTTCTTTCAGAAATTTCCTTGATATGTCCGATCCCATCACACAATTGTAGATCAACCAATCCTAACTGAAGGCAGCTTGCTACCGCTAGGCATCATGAGCTTGATTAAGAAAATGCCAGAGCCTAATTTATTCCAATTTTTCGTAACTTAACGCCGGATAACTTTTTAGTTCATCCTTTCTTACGAGCATTTCTCGATCAAGGTACAAGAAGTCTACTTATGCGTAGCAAGTTCGTAGATTTTGCGAACAGAATGACTTGATCAAAATACTATTACCACTTACACGGTAGAGATGTTTTCTTTACGTGTCCTGACTAGCTTAACGCTATGGATAAAATGGTAATTATCGGATTCAAAAAAATTTCGTAGTTTATTTGGATCCAGTACTTGCTGAAACAGTTTTTGTTTGGTTTATCAAGGAGAAAATCACTGGGCTCCTAACACATCGCATCAAAATCTGTCAAAGCTCAAATGATAACAGTATGCTATTCGATGCAGTAAAGTTAGCTTACATCATAAGGATAGTCACTTTCCGACTTTCCATATTTGTGTGCAAAGTTTCTAAACCAAACGTACGACGAATTTGGACCTACACTTGTGTAGTTAGACCGATTCTGTCGCTTCGCTTGATTACCTTTGCACCCTGGCAGCTCCTCTAGCTCCTTCAGGGCATCCCAGAATTGAGTCGTCGTTTCATTATTCATGAAGTAGAAGCGAGTGTTAACAAAAACAGTCAGAACGAGATTCTCCTTCCAAACTAAAATTAGGTGCTGCTCTCTTAGAAATTAAGGGTAGTTTGAGCTCAGCAGTGCTTAAAAAATCTAGACAATATACAGGGTGTTCCAAAAAAATGTATCAAAGGTTTGATCTTTGATAACTTCCCTTTAAGAAAAGCTCTCGCGGAGCTTTGTGTGCCTTACTGTAGAGTAATTGCAGAGCAAATCACCGATTCCTCTCAGTCACTGTAAGATTATGATAAGGATTTTCGACTGATTTGGCTTCTACAGAACTACAGACACGAATTGCTTCTCAAAATTCCGAAAAATACCGAAGGAAGTCAAACTAAGGTTTTCGGAGATGCTGGACCTAATTGCAAAGTGTTCCGTTACCGTACACTTAGGCTTCTTACGGCATGCGCACTGTAACGCTTTTTTTGACTTTTTCTAAAATTTACCAGATTAACTCGCTTTTGTCAAGCAAAATTGAACCTTGAAGGCTTCTTCATTCTTTATTGATTGCATATAAGGGTGCAAAAGATAACAAAATCAGATTTCAAGCACAATTGATGATTTGATTTGATTTTATTGATTTTATTGATTTATTTCGACGTGTGTAACTGCAACATTGATTCAATTAAATTTGAGAAAACCAAACAATCAAAGTTACGCTGCACATACCGTAAGAAGCCAAAGAGTGCGCTAGCGGAACACTTTGTAATTAGGTTCAGCACTCCCAAAAGCCTTAGTTTGACGTCCTTCGGTTTTTTTTTCGGAATTTTTAGAAGCAATTCTTGTCTGTCAGAAGCCTAAAAATAATCGAAAATTTCTGCTGTAATTACAGTAACTAAGAGTAATCGGTGTTTTGCTCTTTAATGTAAATTTAAGTTAAAAGTCATACCGTATGGCACCCAAAAATCCGCGAGCTTTCCTTATAAGGTTGTCAAAGATCAAACGTTTGATACATTTTTTTGGAACACCCTGTATATTTGTAAGCCTGCTAAGCGAACGCTATGACATACCATAGTTTGTGAGAACAGAGTTAGGTTTGCGAAGAAGCGAATCCTTTGGCAAAATCTTCACGGAATCCAAGCTCACTTTCATTGAAAGGATTCCACGCGTAGAATAATAGTAGTAGTATAATGTCGCTAAGAGAACAAACACGGCAATATATTCTTTACTCACAATCATGCAGTGCATGCGAAAGAGTATTCCGCTAAACTTGTCTATCTGAAAATGATTTCAATGCACTATAGAATCCATTTGCTAACGCTTTGCAATAGACTCCAAAGACAGCGAGCAGTTCGACAAGTTCGGCTCTCAAGGGCTTCGAGTTCATTAAAAGGAATTATGAGCGCGCACCCTCCTTCGAAGGTAAAATCTACCGCCGGGTGAAGACGCGAAAGCCGATTTAGTTGGGGCGGACGCGAACGCAACGCGTGCATATCTTCGCCATTGGACTTTCCGCTTCGTGCACTCTGCGACCAGTAACCCCGGCTTGGCACCTTAGGTTTTGCGCCTTCGCTCGGCAGTAATCTGTAAGTAATTCTAAGCTTTTGCTTCAAATTTGATCAGCACTGTTAAGAACAAATTGCAGTTTCCGGCTCCATTTTCTCTGAATGCTTTAGTCGACTGCACGAAGCCGCCCAAGTCGCAGTAAACTGGATGCATGCGAGCATGCCTGCAAAGCGGCTGTCTAGTACTGCGCTATGATGACTCATGCGCGCGAATGCCAATGTTGGCCCGCAAGAGACACGCTCGCGGGCGTTTAGCCTGGTCGATTTCACGCAGTCAACTATAGCTTGCTCGTACTTTGCAATTCTGCTGTGCCATGCATGGTTTATCCAATCGTTGGATGTTAAAACGGCACAACGTTTTAGCGGATTCGCCGTGTCAAAGGCCTGGAAATCAGATGATCTGCGATCCCATGGCAAATGCCCATGCAAACCTGCTAGTGACGTCCTCTTAAGAGCTTACTCCACAAAATTGGCGACATTGAGGCTCCGCCAGAGTGGGGCCGAGCCAGCGCCGAGCTAGCGCCGAACTGTCCCGGGGCTGTTTAGATTGATACAAGTGCATTTCGTTTGGGGCGGAGCTAGCTGACCCTGTGCCGGCAAAGCGCTACCAGAGCTTTTGACAGAGATTTCGATTAGTATCGGTGCATTTACCTGACTGAGAACTAGGTCAGCTAGCCCAGCTCGAATGAAATGCACGTGTATTGAAACAGCGCCGGGACAGCTCGGCGCTGGCTCGGCGCCGGCACAGCACTGGTGAGGCCGGCGCAAGGATGGTGTGGCTTCGGCGGAGCGCTGGCGCGGCTTCGACACTTTGGCGGGTGGAGATAAACCTACTCTTGCAACACCGCTGCATGCGATGTCAAGGAGTAAACTTGTCACACGACTGAGCTGTACCGTAATAAGCATGGTACATTTTATCTACACCTAGAACTCGCATAAGGGTAGAAGACAACACACACTCATTCTTATCGTTCGTTTCTGGTTGGCACGCATATAGAAGGCCTGAGCTTCTATTTAGCCCGAAAGCCCCCTAGATTTCAATATCGTACGTTCAATTTTCTAATCATTCTTTTATGCATCTCGTTCCTATGCGCACTTAGACCTTAACAGACTTTATAGTTTCTTACTCGCCACGAGTTCTTCCAAATGCTCAGTGCTCGTGCACTTTCCCAAATATACAACGCAATGGATGAGGGAACTTACGTACCCAGAAAGGCTTGCCGCTACCTTAGCAGGATTCGTGAGAATCATGAACTGGCAGCAACGCTGATTTGCACCCAATTTGTACCTAAGACGAGCTGATTCTGCTCAAGATAGCTCTGCCGTCATCCTACAATTGATGAATCTGGGGTTTTGTTAAAATTCAACGTTTAGTAGTATTTAGTTCAATTAGGAAAAAAATTTGTATTCGGGGGTAGTAATTTGTCGCGCTGTTTCCGAATATGATGATGGTTTCGTCTGAAACCCTAAATGTTATTTCTGAAGTTTTCGGTAAAAGTCGTATTTCGTTTTTCTGTTCAAAATATCGCTGGAACAACATAATTTAGTCGCATACTGATTCATTTATCTTTATCGGCAAGCCTTTTGGGATATGTAAATTCCGTTCCCCCACCCGAGACATTCTATTTGATACACGACTCCCGCTTTCGCGCAGTTAGCTATGCCATGTGGCATACTACGATTTTCTAATATGCACTGTCGTCCTCGCGTGGGATGAAGTCTCGGAAATGTGACACTGTTATTGAGATAACTTGTTACGTGAAACAGATTATGTTAAAGATACGGCTAGACTTGGAGCCATACACGCTGTATGCAGAAAAAAAAGTTACTTGCATGTTAGTGGCTATACTATGTTATGCCGTGCCAGGTTTGTACGGTGGAATTCTTTATTGGCCTTACGTTTCGACAAATTCGTCTTCGTCGGAGGCCTGAAAGTAGATTGCAGTGTTATCTTTGCAAGACCAGACCGCCAAACGCCTCCCCACACTGCCGAGTCTAGACCCCGTCCCGCAATCAACGTACTGGAACACGCGATGAGAAACGAACCTTAATCCACCGTTGTGTTAGGCCCTGGGCAGAGCTCACGCGACGAAGTCGCGCGATCTCCAGTCGCGACGACATGCACGAAAGTGGCGACTGGGACGCGACGACTGAGTCGCTCAGTCGCTGGAGGCGTGCATACCTCCGACGCGATTTCATGCAATTGCACAACACATCACACATTGCACGTACTCTAATACGTTACTGAAAATCAGTGCTCTCGTTGATTTTACTACATCTGTCATTCAAAAAAAGGTGTAACAGCAGAAGAAGAAAGTTTGAAAGTTTATCACATAGCATCCGACTTGACAATAATCACAACGTCATGCACCCAAATGATCAGAATACAAGGAGAAGTCAACGACATCATGGTTCTGGAAGAAATGGCTCATAATCAAATGACTGTTGGGAAGCATCAATTAGGAATAGGAAACAAGTAGCAAGGCCACCAGTGGCTGCGGACATTCCGAAAGAATCGTCACGAGGCAAAACGATGTTTTCAGCTGTAGAAACGTCCCCCATGTGCTGCACATGATAGACGAAAATACTGCTATTACCTCATGCAAAGCTCATATCTCGGAGTTTGCTGCATAGCATCGTCAACGTAGACTGTGAGCACATCGTATTCGATGCGCAATCGAACAGGGTAGGGCTTGTAATGGATCTTTTTGGCAACCTAGGATATATGAGATGTAGGAAAATGTAGATGAAAGACAAAATGCAAAATGAGGACTAACTCCTTCCAAACAATGCAAAGATAGGCATAAATTGGCATTTGCAACATTTCATGCAAAAACACTCATAATGAAAAGACAAACCAGCAACATACAACAATAACATCGAAAATCCACTTCAGGATCGGCGCGACGGTCGCGCCGTCGCTCGCCGCAAACGAGCGACGCGACATCGCGCCGATTCGGCAAAATCGCGACGATATCGCCTGGCAAGCTATGAACGCCGAAAAGTGTGGCGCGATCCGTCGCGCCGCGCAGCCGTCACAAACGCGTCGGGACCCACACACTAGACGGCGTGGCGTGGAACACTTGTCCAAAATGATCGGGCGCGACGCGACGAAATCGCATGAGCTCTGCCCAGGGCCTTAGTGAGAGTCAGTAGAGTCAGTACGTAGCCGCACCGGAGAGACAGACTACACTGATTCTTGCTCAGCGGTCGACACTTATATACGGGCAGGCTACCGCTCACAGATCGTTAAGATAGGCAAAAGTTCGGTTGTTATCGATACGCATTCGTTTCTGTTATTCATGCTGGGATTTCTAAGAGAAATCCACGCTGCTTCGACGCTCTTTCTCACTGAAATCTCTGCCTCGTATGACAAGATAGTACATTTAACGCCAAATTCACCGCCGTTGTGCGTTTCAGTTCTATGTCTTCCCAAAGGTGACGTCGCATTCGCTCGTCTCATAGCCGCTAAATGCTCTTTGAGTCTGACGTTCAGCAATCTACCCGTTTCTCCGATATATGTCGCCTTACAATTCAAGCATTCCAATTCATACACTACTCCAGCCTTTGCGCAATCGCCTACTTTTCCGTATGGACAGACAACACAATGCTCCGACAAACATTCTGCGTCGTAGAGCCTATTTCTTACCAACCGCTTCTTGATGTTCTCACTCGGAATGTTCACAAGTATAACATCATTCTGCAGTTGTGCTCGCGTTATGCATTGTTTTATTGCTGCACTGAATTTATCGGAAATGTAAGGCATGCACAGGGTTAGTTTATTGTCATCGCGAGTTGGGCTACTGCATAATACACTACTACTACTACTACATCTTTATACACGAACGTTCAGAACGATGACGCACTGCAAGCCTTGTCTGAATAGCTGGACATTCATTATCCCAACATGGTCACTTTTGGTTTGAGCAAAGCATGCATACTGGTCCTCATCAAGGAATGTTTGAACTGTAACATATTCAAATGGTCTGGGAGCTATTACTCGCAGATAAGAGGATTAGCGATGGGACAACGGCTAGCCCCAGTCCTTGCGATTTGCTTCATGAGCAAGATTGAGGAACCAGTTCTTGCACGCTTGCCATTGATGTACTGTCGTTACATCGATGACTGCTGCGTTATAACATCGACGCAGTCCGAAATGGACGAATGCTTTGAAATCTTGAACCAGCAGTCACGGTACATCAGGCTTACACGAGAAACCCCGAAAAATGGATGGCTTGCCTTTCTTAATACCCAGATAAATTTATCTGGTGCTACCATTCGCATGAAATGGTACCGAAAGGAAAGTTCGAAGAACATCTTGCTGCATGCCAACTCAGCGCATCCGTCAACAGTGAAAAGAGCCGTTGTACGCAATATGTTTCGAACCGCTATCAGTGTATGCACGGGTGAACAGGAACGACTTGAGTCCAAAAAGTTGGCTACACAAATTGCGCGCAGCAATGGTTACATACCACAAGGTTTCCATTGCTCTTCGAAGTTTACGAACAGTAGCCCAACTCGCGATGACAATAAACTAACCCTGTGCATGCCTTACATTTCCGATAAATTCAGTGCAGCAATAAAACAATGCATAACGCAATGCTTAAATTGTAAGGCGACATATATCGGAGAAACGGGTAGATTGCTGAACGTCAGACTCAAAGAGCATTTAGCGGCTATGAGACGAGCGAATGCGACGTCACCTTTGGGAAGACATAGAATTGAAACGCACAACGGCGGTGAATTTGGCGTTAAATGTACTATCTTGTCATACGAGGCAGAGATTTCAGTGAGAAAGAGCGTCGAAGCAGCGTGGATTTCTCTTAGAAATCCCAGCATGAATAACAGAAACGAATGCGTATCGATAACAACCGAACTTTTGCCTATCTTAACGATCTGTGAGCGGTAGCCTGCCCGTATATAAGTGTCGACCGCTGAGCAAGAATCAGTGTAGTCTGTCTCTCCGGTGCGGCTACGTACTGACTCTACTGACTCTCACTAACACAACGGTGGATTAAGGTTCGTTTCTCATCGCGTGTCCCAGTACGTTGATTGCGGGACGGGGTCTAGACTCGGCAGTGTGGGGAGGCGTTTGGCGGTCTGGTCTTGCAAAGATAACACTGCAATCTACTTTCAGGCCTCCGACGAAGACGAATTTGTCGAAACGTAAGGCCAATAAAGAATTCCACCGTACAAACCTGGCACTGGCATAACATAGTATAGCCACTAACATCAATTCCAAATGCCAAGGTTCAGAGAGGAGAAAACATGGAAGTTACTTGCATGATTTCATACCCGCTTAGATAACACTGAAAATTTCGCAAGCAAATCCTCGGAACGGGAGGCTTCACAACTGTTTGCAAGATTCCACTTTGACTTGCTCGATCCGCTTTTCCGGTCAAATTGTGTTTTGTTATTTCGTTATTTACAGTTCCATTCAAAAACACTCTTTTTACCCTGACTCTCCATCGTTTGGGTTTTTCAAATTGTTCCATTTTTCCCTTTTTCTCCAGTCTTGTAGCTATTGAAAGAATTGCTCCAAATAGAAATATTTGAAATACGTATGTAAGAGCCATAGAAACAGCTGAACCCAGACAGAATAACTGAACTTCTGAAAATCATATTGTGTTTAGTAAACCTTTTTCGTAATCCACTTGATAATGACCTGGAGTTGGAGTTAGGTAGCCTACTGCAAAAGCAAGCACATTTGTTGAAGAAGATATAGTAATGCTTATTCCACATTCTTCGTAAACCATTCCTAGGGTATGTTGCCAGTAGACTCTTCAGTGCATAGCAAAACTTGGAGTTGTAAAGAGTCTGCACATTGTTCCACCGATATTATCAAATAAAATTGGACTTAACATTGGCTAAGTGGTGATATGGAAGAAGATGACTCCCAAGAAATTCGAGTTTTGGTGTAGGAGATTGCTCGTCGTCCTAGTAGGCACCTGGCCAAGTGACACGGCATGGTTCTTCACGAGAAGTATGCTCCATGCCGGTTTTGTAAGCCAGTTTTACGTCGCACTCGTCAAATTTTGTAATTCTTCCAGGTAACCAGAGTGAGCATGCCCCAGTGTTGCATAAGGGTCCCGCAACGATTCTGAGTTCCCAGCTCAAAGGCACCGTCCACCCAAAATTTCTACATCCATGTTTTTGCCGTTCCAGGGCATTCTCATACACTGCTTTCGAATATCAGGTCGGAAATATACGGTTACGGGCCCCACTACTGTTAGGCATCAAAATCTCATCCACCCCATTTTGGGTGGACAGTGCCTTTAACGAGCTTTTTGTCTGTTCATTCATGTACAATTGGTGCAGTCTTTTTCAATACGGAGTGGACGAAACATTCCAAGTGGAACAGGGCGTCCGCACCGCCACTGGCTCAGCGAGGCAGATTAGAATGAAGAGAGGCAGACTGCAAAGCGGCGCGAATCGTTGCGAAGCGGACTCCCGCCAGTTTCCGCCTAAACTGAGTTGGAATTTACTTTACAGTAATCGCTGCTATGGGCCAAAGTCCCGTTTTTGTAAAGTGTTGCCGTCACAATGAAGGCACGGGATTCACGCTATTCAAACACCACACCCAGTCCGGATACGCAATGGCTTGGCCACTTTGCTCGTGCTCGACCGAGTTCGGGATTTCCTTCCCACTGTTGGCGCATATTAGCGGGTTTAGACTCTTCGAGGGGTTTTGCCTAGGTATGCAATGTATTACGGTGAAATAGACAACAAGAATGGTGGTTCAGTGGTTTATTGGGATTACTGTAACCGAGAGCGTGAGATTGTGACCTTGGGTGGTCAACGTGTGATCAAGAGTGAGGTGAGACCTCCCAGGTGGACGCATGGCAGACATGGCCCGCCCACTCGGCTATGACGTCATATGGCACGGGTATCAGGAATCATCGATTGGTCGATGATAGCGCATATTGCAAAAATGTCAGAACTATAAGGGTTTGTAACAATGCTAGTTATTGCCATATTAGCACTCAAGGTAATTTCGAAATTAGCGTATGGGATAACACCGAGTAAGTATAAAATTTTTAGCTGAAGACTTTGTTGAGAACCATCTTCGAGGTTTTGATTCTTTCTTTAACACAACTATTGAGTGGCAAAAAGGGTGTACATTACTTAATCGCTTGCTTTGAAAAGCTGTACACATCTGAAGCTTTTATGTAGCATTTGCAAACTCAATCTTGTGTTGGATTACTTAGAGCGTATGTAGCGGCAAGCATCTTACGCTAGACAGCAGCGATTTCCACACTCACAGAGCACTGCCTTAGGAGAAATAATATTAGTTGTCCCGAAAGTTTTGTCGGTTTTTTCAAACCACTATAAAACCATGCACAATGAAGACCTGAATGAGTTTCAACATGCATTCGATGCAGTTTTTCCTTCTCTTTCTTATGGTTATATTTAAGAGCCAAGATCCTGTATGGTTTTTTTTGATAATTGCCACAAATCTTCACTCGTCATTTTTATCTTCTCAAAGTTAGGCTAATTTTTAAAAAATTCCATTCCAAAGTTTTGGAAAGGACTAAGCATGGCACAAATAGAAGAACTCTCGGGCTATACGGTAGTATTTTTAGATTCTCCCAAATTGCTGTTTCTAGCTTTAGAGAATTATTTTTTTGGAGGTCTCGATTTCTGGCAAAACCATGGAATACGCAACTGCGGCAAAAACATGAAAGCTTTTGGAATTTTTGCGAATTGAAACTTGATTGCTAATAAACATTATTTAGCAACATAACCAAGTTTAATTTGCTTTGAAAAATCAGTTTTTTGGAATTCTCGGTAATTTTACGTGTAGACGTAATTAAATAGCCGTGGTTTTTTTAAATAAATAATTATTTAGGACTTGATAAACGTGACTCATGTAATCTAAAATAAGTATAATGTAGCCGAAGAATGGCTCTACATAACAATAAGCGCTTTTCGAAAGTAGCAGAAGAAAAATTTTTAAAATTCAGAAAAGATTTGGCGTTACTGTTGAGTGCTCAAAAAGCCATGGCGATAACATTGCGAAGACAGGGTAGATCAGAGAGCAAACATAGTAAGAAAGAGGATGAAAATCTGAATCAAATGATACTTAGACCTTCTATGAAGTGGTGTTCTGTGGGTTTGAGTGAGCGATGGAAAAAACCGACAAGACTTTGGGGACAACCTAATAGTTTTCTTTACGCTTGATTGGTTTGATGATCTGCGCTGACAACTAGTCTCTTTGTGTGCGGCTTCCCTAGAAAATAGGAACAGAAGTGATACGACCAAAGGCGATTGTACAGCAGCAGCTGTCTGAAGCAGTGCGCGTGTACCCTTTGAAAACTTTATTCTAAGCTTTTCTGTTCACGCTTTCTTATCTCTGCGTTGGTTTCAAAGGAAAAAATCTCAAAAGCTTTGAAACAGCACACTACGTTCTAGAATGATACTAACCTAGTCTTTCGGAGCTCAAACATCCTTGATGCGCCAACTTTTGCCAAGAATAGTACATTATAAATGAAGAGTCAACCCCTGAATATTAATCTTCAGGGTTAATCATTTTCGCATGTGCTCGACTTTCCATTTTAAGTTTATATGCCTGCTCACAAGGGCGAACAGGAGGATAGGGAGAGGGGTGAAATTCTTAAAAATACTCCTTTCGGGTAAGAAAAAGTACCATGTTCTCGTTTGTCATGACCAAATGATCTAAAGGCCCGCTTTTTCTTAACCAAAGTGGAAGGTCTGCTAAATGTGGGAGTTTTTTTAGGAAGGCACAGAAGTTTTTTTCGCCTCTAAAGCCCTCCAACTTTTTCGGACCACTACGTTCAAGGCTTCAAGGTCGACATACCTACTCCCATTATCAAAAATGGCATAACGAAGAGCAGTGAATTGATGCGGGAGTCCAACAACGATAATATACCAAAAGTGCATGTAATAGCCAATAGAGGGCAGAGTATAGCACCAATTCCAATTAATCTAAAATTTCTTCATAATTTGGCTTCTCATATCCAGTATTTCAACGTTGCAGAGTGATTTCTGACAAAGGTTTTGCTTTTTTCTAAATACGGGCTAACGTGTCTGCATTAGAATTTGAATCACTCAATTCATTCAGCTGTTCGACGGTCATAGTTATTCGTAATTTAGTTCATCTGGGAGCCGTATGCGATCGTGTTAAGTTGCTTGCATCACTTTCGTGCTTGTAACGGGCTTTCCGAGCTGCTTGTATGCCTACCTCGGATCGAGTCAGGATTCAATCATAAAACAGTAAGTATGCTATCCGGGCAGTTATGCTATCTGTGCAGTTATCACACCCTAACACATGAGCACGGTGGATGCCAGGATATTGTCATGCAGGCTGAGATTTTCATTTTTTGTGTGATCTCCTGGAAGATCCCCAGGGTGTCATCGCTCATTTTCAAAGCCGTTTATCATTCCAAAGCTCAATGAAGACGTCTTATAACCGTATGGAAAACATATGTAAATCTGAATATCAAAATCTTCGATAAACCACTGTACGCTAGCTGAGGTTCATCAAAAAACTCACAAACTACACAACCCTTTCGTCCTCTATCGAAAACTTTCTTAGCAGTTTCATATGTAGTATATCCTCAGTACAACTTTACGACGTTCTTATCGACTTCCTCAAAGATAGACGGCTTTGAAAACAACGATTTCCTGGGGATCCCTCAAGGAATCACACAAATTAATCAAAATTTCAGTCTGTATAACAGTGTTTTGTCATCCATTACACAGGTATTAGCGTATGAGAGCTTTCATAACATAAACAGAAATTAAAAGAATACACACATTGAGAGTAGCAAAGTATGACGTGTCTTTTCTCAGATCTCCCGACCTTTCTCGTGGAGTGTATGTGCAAACGGGCCTTGAGCGCAAAAAATAGTGCCATTTACACCTTCCAAATTTTAGAGAACATAGGAAGTTGTACAAACTTACATTTTGCCAAAATCTAGCGCGTTGTTATAATAAGCTCCCGAAAACACGCAAAAAATTATGATAGCAAGCATGACGGCAAATCCTTAACTCAGATTTCAGGTTTTTTAGGCCTGTAGCATAGTGAAGAACGTTGAGACACCTCCGCCGAAATATGGAGCTACTTTTCTGTTGTCTGCATTGACCTCCATATCCAGAATATTGTTGCCATACACCTACAACGCTGGAAATCAAGGGTAATATGGTAATACAGCAAAATAATTCTATGTGAAAAGAACAGTACATTGCCACAGCTGACTATTGATGCTTTCGCGTAGTTGGCAAACTCCGAGATATGCTAGTTTTGACAACGAACTCTTTTTAAACTTCTCATATTACTAAACTCCAATGCTCACCAGCAATTCAACCAAAAAGTTATAAAGGTTGTGGCTGAGTTTCTTCGCGTTATAGCTTTTACTCCATTCGTATATCCCGAGCTCCCATAAAGATAACTTTTCCTCCACAGCTCTTGTGTTTTTGGTTCCATATAAAAATAGTGCTATCACCTAAACAATGGATTTTTAAAGGGGTTACTATGACTTCAAAATAAGTAACATTCAGCTATGGACTTGTGCCACGAATTCTCCCTCACGATAAGTGAGGGAGAATTCGTGGCATCTCTCTAAGCCCCGTATGCACGTACATCCCCGCGGGGAGGGGATGTGCGTTATACATTTGAATGATCCCCGCTGGGGATCCCCTCCCCTCCCCGCGCGAACCCCCGTATGCACAAAGACAATATCGGACAAGGGATCCCCTGTGGGAAGGGGAAGTGAAGCCCCTTATGCACAAGAGGGGATCAAGCGGGGAAATCACCTTGCTTTCAAATTTTCTATAGAAAACTCTTTCTTACTTCATATTTTGACTGCAACTCATCTTCATCTCCTCACTTTCAATAAATGGGGGTTGCGGAATGCGCGTATGCACTGACTTCGCTTGGGGCACCAAAAATGATTTTTTTACTCCCACTATGTTCCTGCTTTCTTGGATGCTGCCCACTTTCGCTCATGCTGCCCCATCTCAGCGTAAAAATGTTGAACTATAAAAGTTGATGTGTCTCTGCAAGGGAATGGGTAGAAGACGTTATGCTGCCGAAAAGGGGGAGGGTGCCGCGCGGACGCTCAAAGCAGTATTTAACACATAACAGAAGCTGCAAATTGTGCCAGCTCTCCATAAACGCTGTAGCTATCAGCTTCTCTTCGTCCTTTATCCCAGGGGAATGATCTCCAGCAGCCATCCCTGCTATACACAAAGGGTACGCTGGGGAGGGGATCACTCCCCCGAGGATCTCTACTCAGAAACACGCGATTCTGCTAATTTTCATTTTATTCAAAGCAATTTTACGTTAGAATAACAAGGTAAAGAAAATTTATCATATAATGTGATAATTACAATATGTTTTACCAGCCTTTATGGATAAAACAATCATGTCAAGTAGAAAATGCGCATTTCTCGTGAATGGTCTCGAACTTCTACAGATATTCGAAACTGGCCGACATATGTCCGGGTTTTTTACAAGAAGCGAATATGGAAGAGAGAGTTAAACCTGTAAGCTACAGGCCGCTGTGAGAGGAACCCTGCTCCCGTAGAAAATCTTTATCAATTTGAACGAAATGCTTTTAATAATTGATTGAAATTAGAATACTCGCTTCTCTGGCTTGACCTACACCATCGAACCCCTACTCCGTTGTAGGGGATGTCGATTCCCTCTTCCGCGTTGTTGAGTTAAACTCGCGCATACGAGGTTCGAGTGGGGGAGGGGAAGGGATTCCCTCCCCATTCGAATCCCGTACGCATTGGGGTTCGCTCGATCAATACCTCTGAAACCATTCACACCATCCCTGCTTAGGTGCAGGAAAGGGGATCGCTCCCCTCCCTCTGGCATGGCGGGGGTCGGCGGAGGGGATCGATCGTTGCCCTTCCAGCCCCCCTCCCCTCCCCAGCGGGGACGTACGTGCATACGGGCCTAAGATTTTAGAGAGATTTTGAGCCTATATCTTAGCATATATACAGGGTGTCCCAAAAAAATGTGCATACTTTTTGATCGTAAATAACTCTTTTGTGGTGAAGTGTTTCGAGAAGCTTTAGGTACCATTTTGTAGAGCAAGGTTTAACTTAGATTTACAGTGTAGAGCGGGTCGCCAATCTCTCATTCTTACTGTAGGATTACGGTGGAAAAACTTTGAAGAGTGTTTTGAGCCAAGAAATGCCATACTTTGTTCCAAAAAGAAACCAAAACAACCTGAGAACTCTTACAGTGGGCTAACTAGAGTTGCTGATTCTAAATGTAAAGTTCACAACTCTTCGTAATGCTTCATTAGAAAATTATGCGAGGTAAGCAGTAGCAGACGTTTTTAAAGTGTTACTAAAAAGTGTGGTTACACCGTTTAGAAAGCTTCTCAACCTTGTAAAGAGTTGGGTATTGAACTCAGGGTTCATAAAAACCCTATTACACAAATTACCACATTTTTTTGAAAATTTTTGAAACGGCCGCTTTTTTCACAGTGACACCATATGTTTGAAGTTTCTACCGTACTCCTACAGTAAGAATGAGCGATCGGCGATTCGCTCTACACTGTAAATCTAAGTTGAACCTCGCTCTACAAAACGGTACCTAAAGCTTCTCGAAAGACTTCACTACAAGAGAGTTGTTTACAATCAAACAGTGTGCACATTTTTGGGACACTCTGTATAAACTACCTTCGTGAACCCTTTGAGTATAAATATCATAAGCGCAATGCAACAATTGCATATAGAGAGATTAGGCCTAGAACGGTCGCTGCTAGTAAAACAAAAGGACTTTCGCAAATGTCAGCGGTGATTAAAGTCAAAAAGAGCTTTTTACACTCCACAGAGAACGAATTAATCGGATCTATCAAACTCTTCTGCAAGATTTTTTACGAAAGAGTTCGGTGAAATCCAAGACTAGCATTGCTGCTCAGCCGACAGTTACTTTACAGTGAACATTCCCGATTAAACTATGGTTTCTTAAAGCAAAAAATTTCTGAAGTGGATGCTTGGATGTTTGGCGATTTTCGCTTAGGAATTCTTCTCCTTGTTGCAGCAATAATTCCTGAGTATACCAGAATGGCCAAGAACTTGTAGATTGTGAACAAGTTCTTTCGCTTGCAAATGATAAGAATGGTGAATCTAATTTAAACTTGCGGGAAGAGCTCTCAGAACAACCCGATTATCTTTTACGGTAAAATGATTTTAAGCTGCCTGTGTTTCACGTCTGCTTCGCAGAGGTTGACCCTATCATCCGTGTACCTTCACCGTGCTTCGTGATGATGACTTTGAACTCACCGCGCACGCTAAACAACATAAGCTTGAATGTAAACAAATGCTCACTTCTACAGCCTTTTTCACGTAAGACGGCGACTTTAGATTAAAAAAAACTTTTCTGCAGGAGAATGCTAATTTGAAACTAAATTTGTTTTGGCATTGTATTCACTATGGCATCAATATTTACTGTGGACTACATCCCTGATCAAAAATTCTTTCACTTTCTCAGGTAAAACCGTGACTCGACAATATACGCATCCATCTTTCTGGCGCCGATTTTCCTAACATCGCTTTTTTGATTGCTTTTGAACTAAAGTTCATGGCTTGAAGACACGTTAAACGAACTTATGCATCTGCAAAAACTTTGAATACCAACCCAGTTTTGAGACTCAAAGGCCGCGAGTACCATTTGAAGCACATCTTTGAAAAAACCCGCATATCGGACAGGCTCGTCCTTGTGCGAAGTGGACATACATGCTGATAGGGCATGTTATGAGAATGTTTTCAAAGCCTATCTACAGCTCGTTCTGAATCGCGTGACAGACAGATACATCACTCGCACAAAAAGGCAGACGGCCTAAGCGCTTGTCAGAAGTAATGATGATTTTGATCAAAGACCTTACAGCACTTTCTGCCCTTAAAGAAAGTCAGGTTTATTTTCGAATGGATGAATACTCAAGTCCATTACTGACAGACTGTCATGAGTTTGAGAAAATATGTCATGTGCATCTCTTGGCAGTGCACCAAAGTTTCGTTTTTAGATTTGCAACAAGATTTCTGACCCTGTCTGACCTGATGAATTGAGAACGGCATAATCACCGTAATATCCAAAAACCAGTTTCTTTAAGACTTCCGGAAAGCAACGAGGAGCTTTTACGGTTTTTCCCCAGCCTCATCCATATTGGCAGCAACAAAGGGTGGTAATCTACTGCAGGAGCATATCAAAACGCATGAGGGAAAATTGAGTTGGCCAACGCGGGCCACGCGTTTTACGGGCACTTTGTGTGCAATTTTTTCTGGGTAGGAGATCCTCAAGTGAGGGATTTTGCAACATTTATCCAGGGGTCCTCCAACAAATCATGTGGGGAATCGCATTCCTATCTTGGTAAGATACTACTTTTGAATACAGCCGCTTTGACGGGGATCCCTGCTTTTATCTTACCTCAGATGTTGCGTGCTCGCACGTTAACCCAGAAGACTAACGGGAACTTCCGCTTGGTAAGAAAAATTGTAGAGGTTCCACAGAATGTTTGCTATCACAGAAGTTTAATGTGGAAAATTGAAACTTTCCCAGGAATTTGACGCCACAGATTCAAGACGAAGACTTCTGCAGCGCTTTTTACGAAAGGCTGCTGAAGGTTCTTTCCTTAAATTCTCAGTGATCCCGGTCACTTGTTTGAGATACTGCAATCTATTTGCGCTCGTAACTGTCGCTTGAGCATACAATATGGATAGTACTCACGGTAACATGTTCCATATTTGTAATCTGATGTTCAATCGGTACAGCTCCATCAATGTCATAGGTATCAAACCAGTCCAAGGGCAGGAATCTCTTCATCTAATTATCGTAAAGCTGGTGCTTGTCAATGCTACGAGGGATGCTTAAACTCACCCTTTTGCTGTTATTTGAATTGTCTCTGTTTTCATGTACAAGCCTTACCCCGAAAAGACATTGGTCTATGGGAAGGGTAAAAGTATCGAATAGTGTGAAAAGTGTTGCACGAGGATATGTTAAATTGTAAAGCGAAGAGTAACATTTCTTCTTTATAGCCATATCATACTGAATGTCGAAAAACTTCTAAAAAAGTCGTCAGCGTTAGTGAATAAAAGAATTTGATAATTGCTTTATGTGAAACTAGAAGCCATTTGGAAAAGTTATCGAGGCCAAAATTCAATTCCATACATAAGGAATGACATAAGCTACATTTCGTGGAAAATCACGGTCCTTCCTTATACCATATCAAAATACAATAAAACCAATCACTGGATATCCGAGTTTGATGATATATGCAATAAAAAACAGTTGGTAAACCAACGCTACGACGAGCCACAAGAGTGAGGTAATGAGGACGAGGATTAGCTAGGAGATATGATAGGGAGAGAGAAAAAGGCAGAAGCGCTAAGAATATAATCAAGCTGTGCCTATTTGAAAGCAACGACATGGTAGATTACGACTTTCCTAAAAAGATCACTCATAAGTGGTGTGTGTGTGTGTTCGTGTTTGTGTTCGTGTTTGTGCGTTTGTGTTCGTGTTTGTGTTGTGCGTATGTAGTAAAAGAGGGGGGTTTCCAGTCTTTTACCATTTATTCTGGGTGAGCGACAGCACAAGAGAACCAAGTGGCAAATAGTCAGGGGGGAGGGTAAGGGGTGAGAATTTTTTTTAAAAAAGGGGCTTTCCTTCAAAATCCTCTGTTTCCAGCTGGTGCGGAGCCATCGGCGCATTGGTAATCCTAAGAACCTTTCGGTAATTTTCCGTTATCCGGACCCATATTTCAAGATGTTCTCATGAGATAAGTGCTTCAACCTAATGATCTCTTTTTCGTAGATCTTGTGAGAACTGTCTCCTTGCAACGTGTCAAGATAAAAATTAACACGTTTGGGGCCAGTTTGACATTTTTTTAAAATCATTTTCGGTGAGATACGAGAGCATGAAATGACTCAAAAGCTGTTCAAGGGTCTTTTATAAAAGCGAAACTGTTTTGAACGTTTATTACATCTTAGTGGCTTTCAGCAATGATATAAAGAAATCTTACTACCACATTGTTTTTGCCATGAAGGAGCCAGGAAAGGATATAAATGGTGACTCGAAGTACCTAGCTGCCGATTGTTTCGTGGTTTAGATAGTAGGAGAATAGCTCACTTTTCTACCTTGGAAAAATTAATTGTGTTTATCGAACACAGAATGTTATTTTCATAATGTTAAAGCCCTTTTATAAGTGTTAACTGAGAATTGGGGTTATTATTGAATAAAAAAGAGACTGAACTTACATTGATAGGTAGGCTAACTAACTCTTGGTAAAACCTGTTAACTATCTAGATGACTGTCAACTTTTTGTTGACACGTGGCAGTAGCTTGACCTCCTCCCTGTGAAGTTGTGACTAAATTTGGTGCAAGCGAAAAAAGAAAATCTTTCTGAAAAAATGGGTTTGGAAAACGGAATAGTACCAACATTTCTTTCACATATTCTCTTCTCACTAAATTTACACATTTTTGAACGAATCATTATCACTGTTTCTCAAGAAAAATTTCATACTTATGTATAGTTGGATTTCTGTGATTATTTGGTAAGTCAAGAAAATCCACCGTAAAAAGAAAAATGTTAGGTAAAAATAGACATATGAATTCCTCATTTTGTCACTGATGGGATACCCTCTATTATGATATGGCCCAGGCGTCGGCTAATTATTGAGTTATAGTTAAGAAGCTCGCTTACAAATCATTCATTAAGTTGTCCCATAAATTCCGTTCTGTTTTCATTTTGCATTCCATTAAGTCCCATTTTTTTGGTGCCTAAGAGCTCTTAGTATTTTTCAAAAAAGCAAAGCAAGCTCTACAAAGTGATGCCCGAACATCCGCGCAAAATTTATTCAGCATCAAGTTTGAAAATAAAATTGGAGAATTTTCAGAAACACGGTCTGCTCAGAATCTTCTAAGGCGCTCTGACTTGTTCATGCATATGCACTTTTCATCTAACATATTCATGCCGCTTGCTGTATTTTTTCCCAGGGCTGAAAATTGGGAAACAGAAACCGAAAGTGTGAATTGTCGGGTTTACACAAATATAGCAGTTCTCGAAAATTATCGCTTGTAGATACTTAGAAAACTGCGGTTACACTTCCAGATGCTCATGCCATAGAATGACCTATCATTCATTCTTTGACTAGGAGACCCGAGCACGCTTTGCGTACATCCCATTAGCAAGTTCATAAATGAATTTTAACGCGTTTTGGTTGATTTACTTTTGAGATACGTGGAAGAACTTGTTTGAGCTCGTTTATGCACGCTGGCTTGAACGCTTGTAAGAAATATGCTGAATCTCGTTTCCTCAATTTTTAGCAATAGAAAAGTACAGCAAATGGCTATGAATATTAGATGAGGGGTGTACATGCTTGAAAAAGTTGAACCCTCCAGGTTTGAGCACAGTTGTGATTCCTCTCGAGTTTTAGGCTGGGTTCATACTGATTCCCATGTTTTGGAACTGTTCCCGCACAGTTCCAGCACAGTGCGAGAACTGTGCGGGAACAGTTCCAGAACATGGGAATCAGTATGAACCCAGCCTTAGGGTTTCAACCCAATGAGGACCGAACTCTGTGCAAATGTGGCTCCACTTTGTATAGAGCTTTCTTTGCTCCATCGAAAAGCACCGGCGCTTTTTTAAGAGTCAAAAATTCGGAGTTATTGGGATATAATTTGAAAACGGACAAAACTTACGGGCAAGCTTATACAGTGCTGGCCAAAATTATAGGTCCACTCTAGAAGATGCCATAACTCACTCTGTTGTAAATGAAATTTTCCAAAATTTGGTACAGACGTGTGTTCACCAGCCTACTATCAGTCCTCAAAACGGTTCTCGTTTTCGTTTGATTATTCAAGAAAAAATTAGAAATTTTGAAAAAAGCAGGCTTGAAGGCTGGCCAAAATTATAGGTCCACCTGGAGTTTTTACTGATTAAAGCACTTCTTAGCTCCCGAATTTTTTTAGGTAGGCACACATTCAAAAACCTTAAACAGCTGCATTGGTCAAGCTGTGTCATACTTCCAAAAAGAACTGATTATCTGCTTTTTTGCTTTGAAGATGCATTCACATGTATTTCGCTCCACAAACCTGCGTTGAGTAAGAAATTTTGCAGATTTTCAGTTGGATCGGAAGGGACGGGGTTTCATCTACCTTCGGGATGCTTTTTGACGTGAGCATTGAGGAAAAAATCCGACTTTTTGCTGCTGAAGCAAATCTGACATTGACAGTACTGCAATCCTGAGCTCAAATTTCTGCCTTCAAACTTCTTTTACAATGTTTTCAGAAGCATTGAGTAAAGTAAAGGCATTGTTTCTATGGAGGGGAGTCCATATACCATAGTTACAACTTTCTAGAGATCTTAGCATTCGAGTATAATTACTGAAATCACTCTGCAGAAACTGATTACGACAAGCACCAAAGCTACTTGTGGCTTCGACCAAAATTTTCAGAGAAATCATGTGCTAACATACACTACAAGCTGTATCCACTATCTAGTAAATAATTACTGTCAAAAATCTAAGTGAGGTGGCACTTGGAAAGCTATTTTGGATCGCGTAACACCATTATTACATTGCACACAACTCATGTTTCGAAAAAGAAGCAAGGCAGCTTTGTTGACACTTGCGAGTATGGCGAACAACTTTATTCTTGTGTAAAAAATGCTTCTACAATATCTTGAAGTTATAAGGACAATGCATAAAGGGTATTAGGGCAGAAACTGAGGCTTATCCTGCCGATTAAGCCGATGTCAGATTTGCTTCAGCAGCAAAAAGTCGGATCTTTTCCTCAATGCTCACGTCAAAAAGCATCCAGAAGATAGATGAAACCCCGTCCCTTCCGATTCAGCTGAGAAACTGCGGAATTTCTTACTCAACGCAGGTTTGTGGGGCGAAATACATGTGAATGCATCTTCAAAGCAAAAAAGCAGATAATCAGTTCTTTTGGAGGTATGACACAGCTTGACCAATGCAGCTGTTTAAGGTTTTTGGATGTGTGCCTACCTAAAAAAATTCGGGAGCTAAGAAGTGCTTTAATCAGTAAAAACCTCAGGTGGACCTATAATTTTGACCAGCCTTCAAGCCTGCTTTTTTCAAAATTTCTAATTTTTTCTTGAAAATTCAAACGAAAACGAGAACCGTTTAAAGACTGATAGTAGGCTGGTAAACACACGTCTCTACCAAATTTTGGAAAATTTCATTCACAACAGAGTGAGTTATGGCATCTTCTAGAGTGGACCTATAATTTTGGCCAGCACTGTAGTATCGCATAATTATGGGCAGGACTAGTTTTTCTGGTACAAAATAAAATAGCTAAACCTTGAAATTTTTAAAGACTTCATCTCCGTAACAAAGAGGCTCGCATATATTGGCGTAAATCAAATGGTGGCCGCCATGTTTGACTGTCACATGGTATATAGCTTTCACAATTCTTTCAGCTTCGTCCAGATAGGCTTTCCTATGCATTGAACCGCCATCCTTTGCTAGCATCATAAAAGCTAATTTCATTGGGTCAGCTTGAAGAGGTCGATATATTCTCAGTGAATTCTCAATTGATGTACACTTACCAGTAGACTTGGAAAATTCGCGCATAACTTTGGATTCATAAAAAGATTGTGCATTCAATGGTGTATATCCTTCCTGTATACTGTCACGAAGCACCATGCTTCTCATTCCTATTGTGGTTAAGGACAGCATCAACTGCAGAAACCTTTTTTAATCACTTTTCTCGACGTAATATTAACATATAATAACTATAGTATAATTTCGGCCAAAAATCTGTGTTATTTGCCTAAAGCTTTTGTAACTTTCGCTTCTTTTGCTTTCGCTCGAAACTATTCTGATCAACTCCGGCGCATGATTCTATTGTCCATTTCTGTATCAATATCCCAACACATCGCCTCATTAGGTAGCACCCCCTAATGTTCTGCAATGGAGACTTTTTCCCTAACTGAGCAAGAACTTAATGGTACATGAATACACCGCAGACAAGAGATTGAAGAACTCTTTAAGTATCAGTCACAGTTTGCAAGTGCTGCAGGAGTTGCAACTGTTGAAGATGTTGGCGGTATTGAAAGTGTTGAGAGTGTTGAATGCGAACATCTTTGATCTTGCAGTCTCATATTTCCTCAACTGATCTTGCAGGCTGCTGAGGTTTGCTGAGCAGGTCGAATAAGTCAACTGGAGCGAGCGCCAACATAAGAAAATCGGATGCACTATACTAAATTGGCTGCAGCATCCAATCTCTGGAGATTAGAAGGAATCGTTAGGTGTGCCCGGTGAATTGTTACATAGACTAATGTTTCGTCCAAAATTCAACGGGAATGGTTTCGCATGCCAAAGATCCTCATATAAATTTTTCGGAAAGTATCAAGGCAATTCCAATACACGATTTGAGATCGCTGTTGAAATCTAGGGAGTATTGTAGTGCGTGTTTGGTGTCAGATCCGGCGCCGCTGCGATTAGTGTGCAAAAGAACTAGGCAACCTGCAATAGGTGAAGAATATAAAACGCAAGAATAGTAATTTTCACTTTCAACGCCGTCAACACTTACAAGCTCGCACATGTTTGCAACTGCAAACAAACTTCAGCAGAACAATCAGATTAACCCAAGAAAGGGCAAGTGGGACTGTTCGATAGAGCAAAGCAAGTTCTACAAGATGGCATTTATGATTTCGCGCCAAGTTTGATCCACGAAAAGTTTGAACTCAAAATCCAAAGAGTTTATATGCCCAAAAATCTCCGGCTAAGACATCTCTGGGAAATTCCATTTGCATACATCTATACTTTCGATATCAGGCTTTCATATAAGCAGTTGCTATATTTTTACGTTGAATAGAAATTGAAAAAAATGAGAACTTTCATGTTTTCCTTGGAGCAATGCCCGGCATTTTTCGAGAAATGCCGATTTTATCACTAAAACTGAAAAAAAACTAAACTTGATATTTCTCAAAAACTACCGCCCGGAATAGGCTGCAAATTCACAGTACTTTCCTAGGCTTATAGTATAGAATTACTTATGTAAGAATGGCGCAGCAGTGTTTTAAGAAAAACGTTAAATTTTGATTCTCTCAGTTATCAGTGAAAAGAAAAAAACAGAAACTGCGCATATGGATGTCTGACATCGAAAACATAGAAGTATGTAAGTAGAAGGGTCAGCAGAAGTTGTTTGGACGGAAATTCGGGTTGGTAGTAATTTGGTCGAAACCATTATCTCAACTAAGTCATAACATGAAACCATCGGCTGCGCATCATCTTCTCAATGAAACCACGAAGTGACCAATCAGAGACGATGAAGATGACCAAATTTTTATATGATTCTAGGTTTAGCAAAGCGTATTAGAGGGTAAGTTATTAGAGGGTATCGCACCTCCAATCTTACTCATGCTTGACCGCCTTTATTGCACTGCACTTTACGAAATTGCAGTTCGGTCTCCAGCCTTGCATTTCTCTTAATCTACATATAAATAAAACTCAATGCCTGTAAGGTTCCGGGTTGCGTTTTTGGTTGAGTTTAATCCGAGATCGATGATTCTCAAAACCATTCAGTTACGAACAGCGTACACTTAAATATTTTTGAAGGAAGCGACACTTTGAAGCTTCTGAACTCCACAGCTGATCCTCAGTAGTGATATTGACCAATGGTTGTGACAAGAGAAAATATGGAACAAGAAGTCGAGGTCAACCTCTATCCACAAAGTGGACCTAATTGCGAATGGTTGGGTTTGTTAGGGACAGTACTGTACGAACTGCGCTCAAAAATATGCATGGTAAACTGAGTACCTTGTCTCTCCGACCTTAGTCCATCTTGTTGTTTTGTTTCAACACACTGGCGGCCGCTTGACGCACCATGTGTGTCAAGCAATGACTGCCACGTGGGACCGCTTGACACATATGGTGTTTCAAGGCTTGAACTTCGTTAAAACGACGACAATCTTAGTAAACTCATTCCAAAGTTTTCTTTTGCTGTGAATTTAGAGGTAACCTTTATCATATTTGTCAGTCATCCACAGCTACTGTAGGTATACTGTAGATGGCAGTACGCGTGATTATATCCGGAAAATGCTGACTGGTCCATGAAAGGTTACAAGAGGTAGACAATAAAAATTTTGCATTGTAGTCAATGTGTTAAACGCTGGCATCAAACGATCGATTTGAACATATATAATAATTCAATCATTGGATCTACCAAAACAGTGACAACATATTTCAACTTTACCCACTTACAAAGAACGTAATTCCAATCAAAAATGTATACTGGCACCAATGAATAAATTTTGAACAACATTCATAGAGGAAGAACTGAAGGTGATAAATGCAACTTTGCGTTCCTTACTTTGTGTCCTTTGCGGCAAAAGATCATGCGGTGAGGCTATCTCTGAATCCTAGAATGTACGCTGCATAGTGAGAATGCACAAATCGCTGCGCTGTGCCCATGCGAGCGCTTAGCGACTCCGTCGTGCGTTTTCGTCGTTATTTCCCAGCAGATCGCGACGATTACAATTCACGACGATTTTTTCGCTTTCGGTATGCCCGCCCTTCAGGCTCCCGCCAGAGTGCCGAAGCCATGCCAGCGCTACGCCAGCGCCGAGTCAGCGTTTCGATCGATACAAGTGTATTTCATTGGGGCGGGGCTAGCTGATCTAGTTCTCAGCAGGTAGATGTCCCCAACGAAATACATGTGTATCGATCGAAACGCTGGCGTAACGCTGGCATGGCTTCGGCACTCTGGCGGGAGCCTCACAGAAACGTCACTCTCCGATGTGCTCATTTCGCGTTTCGGCATCAGCATAGCAGTTACAATGCCCAAATCTCTCAAGAAATTACGTTTTTTTGTATAAGTCAATGAATTTTTCTCGCTATGAAAGTATCTTACAAAGGAAAGTATTTTTTAGAAGCGCGCAATTCAGAAATGCTATTGCTTTTTTGTTACAATTTTTTATAGCAGCAAATGACAGAACACTGAGATAACATACCGAAATTAGTAAACAACATCGAGGGTACTCTCCAACAGTCCTTCCAAGAAGATAGAAGAAGAGTCGGAACGTGAGCAAATGCCATGTAGCGGCAATTGTTCCTCTTGCTTTTTGTGCTAAATCAACCTGCGATTTTAGGCTAATGGTTTTAACGTATATGGCTTATCATGATGAAGGCTTTTTTCCACCTGAATTTTAACACATGTTCAGAGAGTGGTAAAGGTAAATCGTTTGCACGATTTGGCCGTCAGTGGAGCACGCGACGTGCGTATAATGCTTTTCCAGTACCAATCGTAGATGCACAAATCTGCCTTTGCAACGTCTGATCCGCGCGATCGATGAATTACTCGCAGTCGTTCTTTTTTGATATGATTCGAGTAAGGCTCTACTTGCGAGCAACAGTGAGGGCATTTGTTAGCAATGACAAAGTATTCTGTGCCAAACAGGTTTGTTAGGTGATTGTTGTTGATTCAATGAACTAACATTTCGACGCCTTCGTCTTCCTCAGAGCCCGACAGATCACCACTATGAGAGTTTCCCCGGAAGTAATGGTCGCAGCGGAAGAATACTTTGTCAATACGAACAATGCTCAGGTTCAAAGAAAGTGGAATTTGGAAGTTATGAAAGATATGCGTAGCACTTTTTTCAAACACTAAAAAGTGCGAGATACTATTTGCACGCTATAGTATGGTTGTTATAAGCACCACATGCATCATGCACGCTTCACAACTTCAACAAGCGTCATCTTTGTATTTCTGCTCCAAAATGGAGTGGTAAATTTATACAATTCACTCAAGTACACGTATATTTCGCGGGGAGGGAAGGGAATTTAAGAGGGTCTGCGTCATATCTCGGTACTCTAGATATCTTTCTTCTTCTTTCTCTATATGACTCAAGAGGGTTTTCATGCGTTGATACCTCGTATAGCGGTTGCCAGGGTACTGCCCCTTGTGTGATTCCCTGGGGATCCCTAGGGAATCACCTCTTAATTTCAAAGTTTCAAAGTCATTTATCTTTCTGACAACTTAAAACGCGGTAAATTTGTACTGAGGATATATTAGGTTGTAACAGAATTAATGCAGGTTTTCTGAATTTTGTGTTTGGATCACTATAACTTTCTACAGAAATAGTCTTTTCGTGTGCAACAAGAATTGTTGTAATCAGCAAACCTTTTTCAAAACAGTGTGTATTATTGTGTTGTTGTAGCTTCACTGAGAAAAATTTTATAGCCCAAATTCTGCAAAGAATTTTTTCGGAAACCATCACTTTGAGAAACCGTAACTTACTATCAGTTACAGTGAGGTAGCGCAAATATAACTCACTGTGTAGCCTGTGATCGGTTGTGCAGCAGCGCTAACTTTGGAATTAAAAATGATTTCTTTGCGAGAGGATATTTGTGAAAATTTTGAAAGTACAGGGTGTCCCAAAAAAATGTTAACACTGTTTGAGTTAATAACTCCCTTGACTTCATGTCTTTCGGCGAGTTTGAGGCACCATTCTGTAGAGCGAGGTTCAACTTAGATTTACAGTATGGAGCGAATCACCGTTCGCTCTCCGTTACGGTAGAATTACGGTAGGAAAATCCAGCATGTGGAACCGTCGTGAAATATGCCCTCTGACAAAAGTTTTTTCAAAAAATCTGAAAATTCGTGTACTAGGGTTTTCGCGCACGCTGATTTTACTACACAACTTTTTAAGAGCGTTTTCAGCTTTTTTGACGATGTAATCACATTTTTGACACATGCTGGGAAGTCAGTTATTACACTTTACCTAGGATAACTTTGGAAGAAGTACCATATTAAAATGGAAACTTCATTTTTGAAATCACCGGCTTTCATTACCATAGTACAAGAGATTTTGGCTTGTTTGGCTCTATTTCGAAGCAGAAAATGGCCTTTGATGACCTAAAATCCTTGTCAAAATTTCTACCGTAATTCTACAGTAACGAGGAGCGTTAGATGATTCGCTCCATACTACAAATCTAAGTTTGTGCTCGCTCTACAAATTGGTACCTAAAGCTCGGCGAAAAACTTGGAAGCAAGGGAGTTATTGACGATCAAACAGTGTTAACATTTTTTTTTGGGACACCCTGTATGATCGTCTGCACGATTCGTGTAGAGGTGTATTGCAGACTTTGCCTGATGTATTGCAGACTTTGCCTGATAACACAGGAAAACTTGTTAAACCTTCACGTCATACCATTGTTTTTTGTACTCTCTCGCTATCAAAAACCGCCACGCTTTGAGTTGGCAAAACCTCGCCTCTACACGAATCGTGGAGCCGATGATACTTATTTTTCGAGTTTTCTGAGAATTTAAAAAATCACTTTTTTGAAACTTTTGAATTTTTTCAAAGCTGAGTAGGAAGAACGGCTCTCGATTTTTTCAGCCTCAAATGTATAATATCTATTCTTCCTGTGTAAAGCGGAAGCTCCGCAGTCGCTTCGCGCTGAGAATTTTTATGTGGGGCAGACGGACCACAGCGACCGTTGAATTTTGCTCTAAAATTTCTCGGCCCAAATGTTTTTAGAATTCATGATTCAACATGCATTTTGTAACATAGCTCACTCGAAAATATTGTGTTAGTCTGCAGCGAATTCCGATTGTTTTTGGTGGTTTTAGAGAGAGGTATATTGAAAGAAAGAATTTCGAGATTTGGTCTCTCAAATTCATGGGCTCAGAACTTCTAGGTAAATTCACTTCCACTGAAACGAAAAAATGCATAAGAAATTAGGAGAAAAGAGCTTCCAAATGGTATGAAAAACTCTCTGAGAAAACACTTCCACTTTCTTAACTAGCATTTTGAAAAAGGTGCGCGAAAAACCTGCATTAATTCTGTTACATCCTAATACTGCGGCACTGCTGAGCATGTTTTCGATAAAAGAAATGAAATAATGAAAGATTGTGCAGCCGTGGTTCATCGAAGATCTCGATATCCTGAGGTTTCACTTGTTTCTACTATAAACATGTTTAGCAGTGCCGTAGGTATATCATCGGTACAACTTTGCACGTTTTCGCTCACTTCTCAGGAAGATAAATCACTTTGAAAATGAGAGTGATTTTCTGGAAATCCCCAGGAAGTCACACAAAATGAAAAAAAACAATCTTGTATGGCAGTAACCTGGCATCCATTATGTGCAGGTATTAGGGTATGAGAGCCTTCAAAATCTAAATAGGGAAAGAAGAAGAAAGATATTTAAAGGAGCGAGATATGACGCATCCCCTCTCAGTTCCCCTCCCCTCCCCGGGGATGTACGTGCATATAGGCCTTCATCTAACAAGGGAACGGTCGAAGGTCGAAGTGACTAATCAAGACAAGCTGCATACCTTTATATGGGGAGGCGTGCAAGTGGTACCCGGGCAGCCGATTGCTGCCGCGGCCAGCCGCCAGAGCTGCCGGCAAAGCCGCTGCAGATGGTACAGTAATTACGCTCGTGGTCTAAAACCCTTGCCAGAGGTTTTTTTCCACCTCGTCGCTCCGAGGTGCGATATCAGCCTTAGGAAGCGTGATATGTTTGATGTTATCATTTTGAACAGCAGAAGGTTCATACTTTTATAGAAAACATGCAAATCAAGGGTAACAGGGGAGGGATTTTCCAAAGGAAAATGATCACAAAATCAAATCACTTGGAAAACTTAAAGGAAGCAGAAGCTGAAAAATTTAGAAATCCAAATTTCCAACGATTTTTTCTCGCTTTTACGCCGAAGAAAGGACGAGAACAATTACAGGAAAATGTCATGGATATAACAGTAAGAAAACTCTGTCAAAATGATTTTTTCACACAATGTGATGTTAAGCGAGCTAAATAAGGCAAAGTAAGTCAATCAAATTGAGTAGGTTAATAATAAAAGATAAAAGTATGCCACATCTGCTGATATAAAAGGGAACGTAGATCGCCAAGACATGTACTATTTCAATCTACACATTTCACTTCTCCAGGTAACTTGTGAAAATAAGAAACAATGATGAAAAATCGAAATTCGGAACTCGTTCAAGATAATAAAAGTTCAAAATTGAAGGAACCATCCCTAATAACCCTTCAATATAGCCGCATTTCGAATTTTAAATTGTTCGAGGAAAAGTGAATTTCATTTCTAGAATTCTTCACTGGAGAATTGAGGATCCTTAAAACTACAGCGTCAATGGACATTTATTGTACTTTGGTTTCAAACTTTGTAACAGAAAAACTGTTTGATTTTGTATTCATTCATTTGTGTAATTGTTTGTGAAATTTTGGAAATTTTCCGGTATAGTTTTATATTCGACTGCATGGTTCTTAGTGAAATATGGTTTTTATCTCCTGTTCAAAATGATATAGTTATTGAAGATATCACGCTATCACCTACTCAATTTGATTGACCTAGTTGGCCTTATTTAGCTCGCTTAACATCACTGTGCAATAATTTGACAGAGTTTTCTTACCCTTATATCCATGACATTTTCCTGTAATTGTTCTCGTCCTTTCTTCGACGTAAAAGCGAGAAAAAAATCTTTAGAAATTGAAAATTTATGAACTTTTCAGCTTCTGCTTAAGTTTTTAAAATGATTTGATTTTGTTATCATCTTCCTTTAGGAAATCCCTCCCCTTTTACCTTTGTTTATTTGCATGTTTCGCAAAAAGTATGAAATTTGTGCTGTTGAAAATGATATAGATATCGCGGATATCACGCTTTCCTGAGGCTTATATCGCACCTCAGAGCGACGAGGTGCGAGAAAACCTTTCGGCAAGAGTTTTAGACGACGAGCGTTATAGCAGCGTAATTACTTTACCATCTGCAACGGCATTGCTGGCAGCTCTGGCGGCTGGCTGCGACAGCAATCGGCTGCCTGGGTACCACTTGCTACGCACCCCTTTGGATGCAGCATAAAACGCTGACTTTGAGTCTGTCATCCTTATCTGCTTATCAGTTTTGCGGAAGAAGTCATAAGCCATTATGAGCTATTATATTTCTAAGAAATCGTGCGTGCAAAGTCCAAATTTGCTCTTGCAGAACCATGTCCGGCTAAATGCTGGGCCAAGAAATGAAGCAGGGTCGTATTATTTAACCTGTGCCCAGATGTGAGCTAAATGGGCAATAATGTGCTTATTTTTGCCTTTTTTACATGCAGTGAAACGGTTCATAACTTCGTCCACAAAAGCGATAAGCAGATAAGGAAGATAGATCTGAAGTCAGCATTTTATGCTGCGTTCAATGGTATGCATCTTGCTTGAATTGGCCACTTCGTTTCTGACCATTTCCTTGTAACTGTACATATCCAGACGATCGACAAAGTTAGGAGAATAAGAATTCTCTCGTATCATCATATTTGAGATATCAATTTTAATGTTTCGTTAATATAGAAGACAGTTTTGGACAAAGTATATTTTACAGAAAGTAATTCTTTCGTTTGAGCTGATCCATCAATCTGCACGTTTTTGTAAACATAACTAGAAGTCCATCGGATCGCGGGTTAGGTTATGGAAAGAACGCAAGATGAACAAAAATTGGGCATCTGCCATATTGATCAGTAGACCGTCACTCCTTATGGGATATTTCTACTATGTCATTCACAGCTATTCCAACACTGTACTAAAGCTGTTAGAGATTAGCAGGAGGAACGCCAAAAAGTGCGTTTTTGATGTGTATCGTTTGAGCTATACGACAATTATGATAAAATCCTATAAAAGATCTCGTGATTAGCTTTGAGTAAACTTACAGACCTGGCTTCGCACTGATTTTGCCAGTTGCCTGGCAAACATTACGTTTTCGTGGTTCAATCTGAAACACATTTCAAAATCTGGAACAGCATCAGTATTTGATCATTACTGAAAGTTGAGAGTATACGACAGTGCAATTGAGAGGACAATTGTAGAGCACAAAACCCAAAACTGCTCTTTGCTTAAGACACACTGGGATACACATTGGTACAAGATATACATATATAATACATATAGATACGATGTTGAGTCATTCGTAACTTGGCATGCGTACTGCATACCATGCGCGCTACCTGACGATTTGCAAAACGGAGACCTTGCCCATTTTCAGTGGTTTCTCATATTCAGTGATTTCTCGTTGTTTCTTTTTTCTTTTGTTTTTGCTTGATATATATTAATCAGTAGAACATTGCTAAAGTTTGTTAGGGTTAGAAAGCTTTCATTGAAAAGTTACTAGTAAACTGCCGTCGTTTGCGCATCTAATGTGCAGTCTCGCATATCAGAATACAAAAGCTTGAGGATATTTACATGTATATAAAAACGTATATAGAAACCTCGGCCGTCCCAGGCATTGCAAGGTGAAAATTGGAAGGATCACCGCTTTCTGATGAACAGGCAGAAAATGAAGATACATCCTGTTTCCCATGGTAGTTTTGATATTGTAACTTCATCATGCATGACCAATACTTGCAAACTTATCGTGAAAAAAAAACCCGAAACCAAATTAGTAAGAGAAATTTTGTTGAAAGTTACATACCTCTGATGGACATTTTTCTGAGGATTGGATCAATAAATGGAAAGCTGCATTGAGAAAAGATAGTTTTTTGAATGCAGTTTTATTTTGATGTTACCTGAAGGAAGCTTATAGTTTTATATCTCTTCGTACAAGTCCAGTTTTAAACATTCCCGCCCTAAGCAACATTTTTCGCTTCGTTCGAAAGCCAAGCTCCTCCATCATTTTCATACAGCATTTAAATTTGTAAGGGACCCGTCATACTTTGGCGAAAAAAAAAAGCCCGAAGCCCAAAAAAGCTCGAAAAAACCCGAAAAAACCCAAAAAAGCCCAAAAGCGCCAGAAAGAGCCGGAACGCAGAAATGAAATTTCGATTGAATTCTGACATTATTTTGATGTACAGACGGCAGAAAATGAACCAAAAAGACTCGGTTGCGAAATCAACACATATGCCTTAGCGCCAAAACCTGCGCACGAAACGGGGCGTTCCGGTTCTTTCTATCGCTTGTGAGCTGTTTTAGGCGCTTTTGGGCTTCTCTCGGCGAAGTATGATGGATTACTAAGATGACCATAGCTATTTCGATCAAGCGCACGATCAACCAATTTCAGCTGTTCATTTCCAGCTATTCTTTCGTTTATACTTTTCGATCACGCAGATATCTCCTGGTCGCTAAGTATAACAATATACCGGCCCTCAAATCGTTGGAATACGGACCCAGTTTTGCAGATCAAGGCTATGTGGATTTGCTCACTTCATGATTTTTTGGTAAAAGCGCCGCACAACTCTGCGCATGCTGATCGTGCACGTTGACCCTTATTTCATATAAATCGAAAACTTTGACGAGACGGCAACATGCCCCATCGTCTCTCTCGCCCTACGCCCCTCTTTAGTGTTGCCTAGGAAAAGGTTGACAGTCTGAGAGAGCGAGACATCCGCAAGGATTTGTCAAGACGATGACTTATCAGTAATTCAGACAAAAATTAGACACTAACTGACAGCTTCGACCATGATATTTTCAGAAAAACTGCATGTGATATGGAGAACGACAATCTGATTCCTCACATCTGCTGTCAATTTTTGATTCCGGTGAAAATCGACTTGGACGGCGCACTACGAAAAATGCATTCTCTCTTGAAAAAAAAAAGCCAAGCAAGGAATCTGTGGCCTCGCTGGTAGAAATGCTATTCACACTTTCCGAAACCAAGCATTCCTTCAATTGAAAAGTCTTGATTATTTGGGAGCATTTACGCTCTGGAAAATGCATTTTTCCTTAAAAAAAGGCGAAAGCAAGCTGGCGCCTTTATCATAGTGCATTGACAGGGCCGAGGGGAGCTCAATAGGAAGCTAGAGCCAGGGCCCAGCACAAGGTGGGCAAATGACAAACTGTAAATCGTTTTGTGTGAAAGAAGCAAAGGAGATATCGTTTTTGAAGGGACCAGGGCGGAGCCGTAAAATATTGTCAAGAACTTATGTGAATGGAGAGAGCATAAAGCGTTTTTTCCAAAATTTCTCTCAAACTGGCGAGTCAAGGTGGGGATCAAAATGGCTCGTTTGCAACGCACAGATGATGATATGGCACGAAATTTGCTCTGTATACGCGCAGTGGGACTGAGGAACAAAGTACAAAAACTTATGAAAAACTTAAACGGATGAAGGGCGTGCTTAATTTTTTTCCAAATTAGGTGGGCAATTGCCCACCCAACGCCCACCTGAAGTAGGCGAAACTTTCATTTCACATAGATTTTTCAAAATGTTCACATAAATCTGTTCTACACCCAAAGTTTAGTATACAGTAACATTTTGATTCCAAAACTCCTCTCCTCCTTGTCAGGATCCTTAATAGCAACGATGCCCGTCCTTTGGAGAAAGATAGCGCGCTCCAATCGAACAACCTAGGCAGCGGCGGAATCAAGTAGGAAGTCGTAAAAATCGAAATGGTAAAGGCGAAGCTGTTACACCCATGTCAGCTTGCCACCCTCGTGCTGAACCCTGCTAGTAGCCTATATTATGTAAAGTGGATTATGAGCTTGGCTATATTGTTTTATACAATTGTGTGACACAGAGATTTTTGGCACTGACACACGCGGCAAACATTATAAATAATTTACTTTGAGAATGTTTGCTTGTGGATATGCACAGTTTTGTCCTACGTTTATTTGTGATATTTTGCTTCATCAAATAATATTATTTAATCAAAAATGATCATTCGATAGAAGTCTCATTTCCTTTTGCGTCTGCGTCTGCGACTTAACGCTCGACGAATGGAACCTGTAAAAAATAAGAACAATTGTTACCTTACAATAATGCTTTCGACTAAAAAAGAATTAAGCCCTGACAACTCTGCAGACTTTGTTGAAGTTGACTCTTTAAGAGAAAAAATTTGAGAGTTTGAAATTTTGAATTGATTTTATAGATATGCAGTGTTAGATACAAATGATTGAACCCGCTTACGCTAGGTTAGCATTAGAGAAAAGCGGCTGCCAAACATGGTTTTTTAGGATGTTTCCAAAAATTATCAAAATACAGCAGATACGCATATTGATCATGAATGGAGAATCGATGTTAGCAGAGCAGTTACGGTCTTTCGTCATACTGGAAACACACGTCACACCGTCACATAAATGCGTGTCTGCAGAATGATGTTTACCTAATTGGTCTTTAAACCAGTAAAGTGCATTTGCCCTCTGAGGGTTCCTTCATACTACGCCGCGTACGCCGCGTACGCCACGTACGCCGCGCACGCCGCGTACGCCACCTACGCCGCGCACGCAGCGTACGCCGCGTACGCCGCTGCAGCGCAATGGAAATATGCTCACAGCAGCAAAGCTCCACTTTTTTTAAAGTGTCTCTATATTTGCTGCACATTCGTGTCCCTCAATAGTGTTCCTTCACATTATGCATTTCTTCTTCTCTTTTGCTTATCCTGACTATCCTTTGTCTATATCAATGAGTGATGGAACGACTTAGGTTGTTGTGCTTCCCCCACTTTTGAGTTTCGTATCGTAGTTTCGTACATTTTGTATCGTAACTGACTGCACGTTGCGTCATCTGGTTGTATAATGGTAGTATATGGTAGTATAATTGTATGTTGTATCTGGTTGTATATTTGCTCTCTCCTTACAAACACATCACTGAATGAAAAGGATTTCTCTTCTTCATATCTCCATATTTCCATTGCACTGCAGCGGCGTACGCGGCGTGCGCGGCGTACGCGGCGTACGCGGCGTGCGTGGCGTACGCGGCGTAGTATGAAAGAACCCTGAGGTGTCTCAATGTTTCCCTAACCCAAACCACCGACAAAGCAACTATTTAAGAGAACATATTTTTTGCTGTTAGAAGGTACTACCCCTCACCCATCATCATAACTTTATCTAGGAATAAATCCAGAGTAAAGAAGGTTTTCGATAAAATTTCCCTGAAGTCTAAGCTAAGTCTAAACTAATTCATTCTTTTCTATTCTTCACTGGAAGTAGCTTGAGCGGAGGGCATGAAGGGCAGAGGAAGGGGGAGGGGAAGAGAGATGAGGTTTAGCTAGGGAAATCTGGGAATGCCGGGGAAACGGCACACAAAAATACTATGGCACAGAAGAAGAAGCCACTAGGGAGCGGACAAGCATTTGATGGCTTCTTTGGCTGCGTTCATACTGATTCCCATGTTCTGGAACTGTTCCCGCACAGTTCTCGCACTGTGCTGAAACTGTGCGGGAACTGTGCGGGAACAGTTCCAGAACTGTGCTGCATGCGCTGCAGCCGCCCCGCACCGTTTTGAACGGCGGGAGTTGGAGAATTTTGACCGTTCTCAACGGTTTTTCTTCCAGATTTCGCTCATTTTGGCCTTAATCCTCCACCCCGCTTCCCTTTTTGATCAGCAGCACTGCGAACTCGAAGCGGGGTTGAAGAATGAGCGCTTTTCTGCGCCGTGTATTCGGAAAGATGGGCTATCGTGCGATTGTTCATTCTGTCTTCTCGTTTTTTGCTCAAAACTACTTCATTTGTTCCAGGAAGCGGCTGCCCAGTTTCCATAGCCATCTGCCATGAACTAGGGAGTAGGAGAAATCCTGAAATTGCATGAGTTGGGACTTGTCTCTTGTTTTTCATGATTTTTGGCGCTCCCAGCTTTTTTCGTTTTTCCATATCGCTGCTTCTCCGTTTTTTCTTCTACCCCGCTTCTCCTAGTGATGAGAAAAGCTGTGAATTTGAAGCGGGGTTGAGGATTGAACGCTGTTCTGCTCCATGTATCCGGGAATATGGGGGGCCTTCGTGCGCTCGTCCATTCTCTCATCGCTATTTTTGTTCAGACCTATTCATGTGTACTAACAAGTCGCTGCGTAGTCTCGCATCTGTATTGAAATTGAAATAGACAAGTTTCTAGAACACATGAAGTAGGTCTGAACAAAAATAGCGATGAGAGAATGGACGAGCGCACGAAGGCCCCCATATTCCCGGATACATGGAGCAGAACAGCGTTCAATCCTCAACCCCGCTTCAAATTCACAGCTTTTCTCATCACTAGGAGAAGCGGGGTAGAAGAAAAAACGGAGAAGCAGCGATATGGAAAAACGAAAAAAGCTGGGAGCGCCCAAAATCATGAAAAACAAGAGACAAGTCCCAACTCATGCAATTTCAGGATTTCTCCTACTCCCTAGTTCATGGCAGATGGCTATGGAAACTGGGCAGCCGCTTCCTGGAACAAATGAAGTAGTTTTGAGCAAAAAACAAGAAGACAGAATGAACAATCGCACGATAGCCCATCTTTCCGAATACACGGCGCAGAAAAGCGCTCATTCTTCAACCCCGCTTCGAGTTCGCAGTGCTGCTGATCAAAAAGGGAAGCGGGGTGGAGGATTAAGGCCAAAATGAGCGAAATCTGGAAGAAAAACCGTTGAGAACGGTCAAAATTCTCCAACTCCCGCCGTTCAAAACGGTGCGGGGCGGCTGCAGCGCATGCAGCACAGTTCTGGAACTGTTCCCGCACAGTTCCCGCACAGTTTCAGCACAGTGCGAGAACTGTGCGGGAACAGTTCCAGAACATGGGAATCAGTATGAACGCAGCCTTTGATCGAAAAAACTTAAAGCGCGAAACAGCCAGCAGGGTTGAGGTTATTCTTGGAGATTTGTATGCTAAAAGCTGATTTATTGCCATCAGTGATTTTACTTAAAACCATGAGTGCCTGAAGGATTGATGCATGTTTTTGGAAAAGAAAAGGTAAACCTCAAACTTAGAGAGTTATAGTGTTCAGACACATCTCACTTTGCATGCACAACCTTGGACTGGTGTCATATAAAGTAGGCAAACGAGAGAGAAGAAAAAAACTTGAAAATCTTGCAAGGTTTCCTTTAGAACCGTCTATTTTAACCTACTAATGCTTCCATACAAAGATAGGCACAGACATATTTGGCTAAAATCATCAAATAGCCTGTACTTTAAAGATTCTTTCATGGCTGAAGAGATTTTGAGTTATCTTTGCTGCACAGAAATTGAGCAAATTAAAAAACCCATTATTTGAGCTCCTCCATGCGCGCAAATATGCCGACTTTCTAATATTTGATTTTTTCTTGCTGTCGCGAAAGAAGAAAGCAACTGGCCGATGGTCACTGGTTGCTCTCCCTTTACTATATCATATGCAATATTGAATGCATCACTTGTAGTTGTACGTACCATTTGATTCAACCTGCTTGGCTTCGGGAAGGCGGGGTTTCGTGACCTAATTAAGACTAGGTAATGATCAGAGAGTACTGGCGGGAGAGAGACGCAAGTGCGTCGCGGGCGCGAGCGGCCTTAATTACGTCACAGAGCTCCGCCTACACGGAGCCGTTAGATTGTTTGCTTGTTGAATAACTGAGTTTGTCTTTCACCTTCAGAAAAAATCTGGAAGAGTAAGACATACTTTTTGTCGGAGGGAAAGTGTTATGTTAGCTCATTACACCCTGATTCATGAAAAATTACATATTTAATTGCGGGAATACTGCGGGAAAACTTTTCATAGAAACTTTTTCTTGAGCATGACTGCATTTTGACAACTTGGCTACAAGGCTTGAACTTTCATCACTAGGAAGTTGTTTCGTGAAACATTAGTTAGCACTAGAAAGAGCAAGAAAAGTGCTTGCAGAATAACGTTCAAATTTCTGCAAAAGGTGCAAAACTTCAAGGAAATAGCTGCGTCAAAACAAGGCGGCTAAAAATCGGACAGAACTTTCGGAAGAGCCTAGTAGGTTGTACCAAAAGTCTTGTTACATTTCATTTCTTAATGCGATAAGTCGTGAATTTCAAAATTTCAATGGGGTCCAGGGAACCATTCGATAAAGCAAAGCAAGCTCTACAAGTTGGTATATGCAAAAGTTCGCACTATCTCACCCACCGTAATAGCACCCAGAATCTGAGTCGTATTGTAAGCTCAAAAAAGTGGGAAATTCATATCTTCTTCTAAAAAATGCTAGGAATCTCCAACTTGCTTAAACGATTGCACATCACATAATACACTCATAAGTACCGTTGCTGTAATTTTTCCTCATCTAGAAATAGAGAAAATGGAAATTTTAATCCTCATATAAAAACGAAGCTAGCTGCTTTTACACATGTATTTGTCTACTACAACCGTTTAGATGTATAACCATAAATAATTTGCTTATACAGGCACAAGCCCTAGTTCTCAAAAATTACCAAATTTAGCTTTCTTCACTCGGGTGTTCCACGCTAAAATCAATATTTCTCGAAAGCTAGGGGTTGTGGAAAACTGAAAATCTACGGTTCTACTTCTAAGGGGTTGTAGTATACAACTACATGACTTTTTACATAAGCATGAAATTTTTCGTTTTCTCGATTTCGAGATGAAGAAAAAATACAGCAACGATACTTATGAATGCTGGTGTGATATGCAATTGTGTAAGCAAGTTGGTGATTCGTAGGATTGTTTTGAACAAAGATATAAGTTTTTCAATCTTTTAAGCCTACATTACGATCAGATTCTGGATGCCAATTTACGGTGGTTCGAAGCTGATGCAAACTTTCGCACACTAAGTTGTAGAACTTGCTTTGCTCTATCGAATGCTACCCTAGAGCCCTATTGAAATTGTGAAGTGACGACTTATTGCCATAAGAATCAAGTGTAATAAGGCCTATGTCACAATCCAACAGAGATTTCAATCTTATAATGGCGCACAAAATCATATTGGAACCTGCAAGCTTAACACGAGAAGCTTCCTTGCAACTAGATTTTCTAGTAATGGATGTATAAGGAAAATTTGTGTTACCAAAGGCTATACTAAACGTGAGGAGACACTTCCAGGCATACTCTTAGGAAAAAGTTGTTTGCCGCTAAACTCACATTGTTTGGAAAAATTCAGGCTACGGAAATCAAATCAACACTTTCATTCAGTATTCTTGTTGTGCCAAATGTTTATTTTGTGTTGTCCATTTCTTATATTAGGTGTCCCGAAAGTTTGTCGTTTATTTCATCAATCGTTTGAACTCACAGAACATCAACCATTGGACGAGTTAGGTATTGTTCTATTAAGATTTTTATCCTCTTTCTTATACAGGGTGCGCCAAAATTACTTGCGCCAAAATATTCAAAGTAATGCCACAACAATGGAAATGAGAAATTTGGTCTGGATTTAATGTCACAGAATGCCGTAAGCATATTCTACAAAAAGCACTATCAAGATCCCAAATCGGTCTTTATTTAGAGAAATAAGAATTGCAAAAAGCAATGTTCGTGACAGAAAAAAACGCAAGCTGACGCAAATTATTAAATAGTCAAAAATTTTGTTTTGAATGCTCATAAAGATTCCAAGCCTCAGTGATTTTAAAGCCTAAAACTAGCTCTATTATACAGCGAAATCTTTACCTGAGAGAAGCGGTCACTAAAAAGATACATGCTGGGCAAATTTGCGAGCCTCTACCCGCGTGCAGCACGCGACAAAGCCAAAGAAATATTATGAATTTTACCGAAAAGCAAAATAGGAAATTACTCTTTTTTCAACTAAGCTACAATACTATTGAACCAAGAGAACAATATACCGCTGGCTGTATCGGTCTTATATTTATGTGGCGCTTGATGATACACGCGCAAATAATTGTGGCGCATCCTGTAGCTAAATTTTCCTTCAGATCTACGCTGTCTTTGCGATGATATCGGCTTGGCTCTTCAAGCTGCTCACCGGAAATGCCAAATCCTCCCAGAATTTTGGATTTTATTCTAATATTGAGCGGTAGTAAAGGTTATGTAGAGTAAGCCTTTGGCTACATTACACTCATTTCAGGTTAAATAGGTCACGTTTATCAAGTCTGTAATAATTATCTGCTTGTGGAAAACAGCTCCTTTTTGATAACGTTTAGCGCATAGGAGAGACGAAAATTCCAAAAAGCTGCTTTTTCAAAGCAAATCAAACTTGAATATGCTGCATAAGTAATGTTTGATAACTCTAGTTTCAATTGACAGAAACTTTGGAAGCTTACATATTTTTGCTGCAGTTGCGTTCTTCACGACTTTACTAAAAAATGACATTTTCGAAGGAATAAATATTCGAAGCTAACCACAGCAAGAAATGCGTAGAGGAATCTGATTCCGAAGTCTTATATATAAAGCTGAACGTCTGTCTGTATGTCTGCCTGTGTATACGTATGTGCGAAATATAAATTTTTATTTCTGAACCAAACTATTTGGACCAAACTTGGCATACATATACTCTTGGGCAGGGAGCGTGTCATAGGTTACTTTTCGTTATCGATCGATATCGAATTTGTCGATTTTTATCGATTTTTTTTGCAGAGTTCACCTACGGGGCTGGCATTTGGCACAGGGGGTAAGTGAGCATGGCGATTCCGAATTCAATATTAGTTTCTGGAATTATCGACTACTTTTATCGATTTTACTGATTTTTGCAAAGTTTGAGCTGCAGGGCTGGAAGTTGGCACAGGGGGAGTAGGTGAGCATGGCGATTCCGAATACAATATTAGTTTTTGGAATTATCCATTACTTATCGATTTTATCGTTTTTTTCAATGTTTGAGCTGAAGGGCTGGGAGTTGGCACAGGGCATGCTGATTTCGAAAACAACACAGGGAAGGATGAAGGTAGAAGTGGGCACAGGGAAAGGCTGTACAGGGATAGGGATGGGACCTTTATTACAGTGTTTTGACAGGACCAGGCGGAGCCGGGTAAGCAACCTGGTGTATTTATAAGAAAAAGAGGGAAAAGCTGCACCAAATGCATGTTGAAACTCATTTATGTACAACTTTATTGTACCTGGTTTCATAGTCGTTTGAAAAAACCAACAAAACTTTTGGGACAACTCAATACATAAGGTATCCATACGCATGAATAATTAGATGAGTAATCAATCGAATAAATAAGTAAACAATAAATGAGTAAATAAATAAAGGAGCATTATACAATAGGCAGTCATGATTCTGTTCATGGAGAACGCGTGAACAAATGGTTACGCCAGTGATTCCGGCATTTTGCGCGCGCAACTGGCCGGCGCAGGCGTAGCCATTTGTTTAGTGCAAGCACACTACGTTAAGCGGAAACTCTGCTCGACTGTAGGTATGACTGGTAGTTTGACAAAGACAGCTTTGCAAACAAGGAAGTAGGAACGAACCTATGGTGAAGTTGCTGACTTTTAACTCTCCCTTGTAAACATCACGGCTTAGGTTGAAAAGCGGCATGATCAGCTCTAGCCAAATGATCGCCATGCAAATGACTGCCGTAACAGCGAGGGTTATGTTGCGAATATCATCGGAAGCATCGCTGAAAAGATTGCAAAATTATTAATAGATGCATTTTATAATGTGAGAACTTATTTTTAGAACTTCGCAATGGAACTGGTGACTGAACATGGCACTGTTTATTAGAGCCGCCCAGTTTGAGACTATCTTGAAAGAATTGCTAAAAATTATTCTTACATGTGTCCCTCTCTCAGATTTTCTTGAAAACATTTTGCAGCGTGGAGCATCACTGACTACAACTTATGACAAAAATACAATCTCTTGAGTATTTTCAAGTGTGTACACAAAAACTATCTCATTTCTATATTCATAAACCTCAAAGTTTGTGACCAAACCCTTTCTATGTTGGGATTAGAATCTTCTGTGATCATACTATTCTAAACTTTGCACACAGATGTTTTTGATCCAAGCGGAAAACACAAGCTACTTTTTCTCTCGTTTCACTGAGTCCTTTCATCGATTTATTAACTCGTTTATGTACTTTCAACTTATCAACAGCATTTCAAGGTGAGTAAGGCCCCGGACAGACTTCACGTGAATTGATCGTCGCGACTGAATCGCGACGAGACAACTGTTACAACATCAGTCCATGCCGATCAACTTGCATTTGGGCTGTGATAATTTTCCAGCCCGAAATTTTTGAATGTGAAATGAAAATGAATGGAAATGTTGGCGATTGAGTCGCGACGATCAAATCGCCTGAAGTCTGTCCGGGGTCTAACACGATCATATCAGGCTGTCAAGAAATGCTTTAGCAAAGCAACTAATCCCAACAAAGAAAGCGCGAGGTGTGTTTTTCGATAAAGCAGAGCAAGCTCTACAAGCAGGTATTCATGCTTTCGCGCCAACTTCGATTCAGGCCCGGCACAGATCGTCTGGAAGCAGTCTGGAATTCGTTTTTGGAGCAAAAAGCAAAGGGGCTATCGTTTTGAAGAGTCGGGGCCGAGCACCAAGAATAGGCGCCATTCAGTCGAATACAAGCTTTTCGGACAGATTATCACACGATTGACATGCTCTATCCTGCATGGCGAAAAGTGCGCGCGGTTTGAAAGCAAGGCTTAAACAAACAAGTTGTTTTTTACAACGCACACAAAAGCACATGGCACCAAAACTGAACTGTATGTATAGAAAATTATTTGCAAGAGAAATATGCAAAAGATTTGAGAAATTTTTTGAAGTATTACCTTTTCCAAAAAAGTCCGTCCCCAGAAGGTCACGACGATCTGAAATCGTCTGGAGCATATATTTCTGTCATTTCACTTGAGTTTCAGATTTTTCTATCATGGACGGGCTTTCCGGTCAAAAATCTATCCCTGAGCATGAAAACATTTTCATATCATTGCCTTTCCTTTGTTTTTTTCCTTAATTTCTTTATAAATCGCTTTGTTAACATTTCGTTTCGGACCGCGAAATCGCGCGCGGTGAAAAGGAGTGCATTTTCAGCCATTAGCCAACAAAGGGACCTTATTTTGTAGACTGTGTGCTACATCTGTGAACAGCTTGTCAAAATAAGTTCCATACCCGAAGTTCTGAGTGAATTGGAAGTGTTTGAATTTTGTCGCTTGAGAAGGATTTCTGTGTTTCCTGAATGATAGGAACAAGGACTCAGTTTCTAATAGTATTCAAAAGTATCTATGTTGTACACTGTACACATCAGTATCAAAACTACGGTTTTTCTCTTTGATATCAAAGCAAAGAGAAGTTGCGAAGTCGCACACGTCGTTCGCGTTGCCGCACTCCGTTGCAACTGTTGCTCGATTTGTGCTCATATCTCCTGAATCGGCGCCGCAACTCTACAGAGTCATTCGAAAAGTAGAAGCTCGGCCTTTGATTTGATAACTTTGGACTAAAAGAAAACTTTCTGTAAACGTCAAAAAGATTTTCCAAAGCGGCGTGCTGCACCATGTGCAGCACCGGTCTGAAACGTGTTAAATATCGCGCTCCAATGCCAAACTCTTGTGCATGCGTAGTATTCAGCTCCAATCAAGATTTTCACTCTTATCTCACGTTTTTTCTTTCAGACTAGTAAATCTCTCCTCTTTTCATCTGTCCTCAAGTAGTAAGTCGAAGAGGACTTTGTAAACTTCGGAAAGTCAGGGGGGACTTCGTTTTCCGAAATCATAGAAAACGACTCGTGCCGGGCCCTGGTTCGATCCTCAGAAAGTTTGAAGTCAAGTCAAAACCAAAGATTCAAATGCCAAAAATTTTACAAAATCGAATCTTCTTCCATAAAATTCCTACGGACTCCCACTTGCATACATCTATGCTTTCAGTGATCCGGAGCCCTCCCATTTTGTGCTCCGGAGGTGTCCCAAATCTGGCGTACCTCCGGAGCGCAAATCTGTGCTCCGGGGCTCTCCCAGATCTGGCGTACCTCCGGAGCAGAGATTTGCAAGCCCGCCGGAGGGGTCCCATTTGCCTTCTTGTGACGACACCGTGACGTCACAGGAAGGCACCGCTCCCTCGCCCCGCTCTCAATGGTCAATTGGGTCCTCCGCAGCTTTGCCACATTTCGACTGTCCTTTGGAGCTACGGCACCGATTGTCTGAGTAGAAGAAAAGAGTTTTTGTTTTCTCAGTTTCGGGCCGAGGCAGAAATACAGTGACTGTGCATACGGGTGTCTGATATCGGTAGTATAGACGTAAACAAGTAGGGGTCTTGTCAGAATTCTATGGAAGATGGTTTTCTATTTTTTGGACTGCAAATACAGACTTTGCGTAGAGCAAACTTAGCGCGCATGAAGCCTGTTTGTAGAGCATGATTTGCTCCATCGAACAGTACCCCTGCGCAATTTTGGGGTGAGCCTAATCACTTTGCTAAGGCAAGCAAATATTAGGTCATTCGGAAAGTTTTTTCGCTTTTCGCGCCTTTGATGTTGGTACCATATTTTAAAAGGGTGACAGAAGTCTGGTAGGGGTTGCTGCCCATGGATCTGTAGAGGAAGTCTTTTAGTTTCTGAGGATCCCACCCACGTTGCAGGAAACCCTTTGCAGGGAAGTTTACGCGGCTCTAAATTCGACATACGAAAACGCGATTTTCGATTAATCGCATTCCATAAGTTTAAACGTGAGTTTAAGACCATTGAGGAACCCATCATTGTGCGCAATGCATTTGCCAAGACCACGTCTTTCTCAGGGTAGGTTCAAGTCTACTTCAAAAAGTTTAGATCTAGAGAAGTGAAAGCTGATATTTTGCAGTGTCCTGGAAGGTGTTCCTGCCATATAAACGAGCCTTTCAAAGGGTCTTTCTAAGCAAATCGCAAATATAGCTGCGTAAAATTCTCAGCAGACCTAGTGTCATATGACCCCATTAGAAGCCACCTTCGCTAAAGCTGCAATACCGAAAAATTTCAGTGACGTGTACCCCACAAATTGTCGCACTCACAGATTGAGGAAGCGTTGACTCTGTTTTCTTTGCTCATAATTTGATGGAGCAATGCTTTTTGGCCTGAGTTATTGATTACAGCAAAGAATTGGCCAAGTGTGGTTACAAGAAGCGACATTGTGGTAAATCATTTGGAATAAGCATTGAAAGCATGGCCAGAATAATCAGTCATTCCAAAAGGTTGATGTACGCAAATCAATGTAGTCCTGCTGGTCTTGTACGCTATAAACTTGCTTAGATGCGATTGTACTGTAAGAGCAGAGTAGTGTGATATCGCTCTGAAGACCGTTTGTCAAAATTTCAAAACTGAGCGGACTTGCACGTATAAGCTATGAGAGATGCCATCCACGCTCATGACTCCGCCAAATCACATGTAAGAAAAGTGGCTCTCACAAAAGGGATTGACTGCGCACAGAGGTTCCTGTTTATTTTTCAAACTCTTTAGACCTTTTTTTCCCGATCACCAGATTTTCCAATTCCTCGGTGCCTATCAAAAAATACTAGGACTTATAAAGATAAGCTAGTCCAAAATGCCTTTGTAGGCTTTATTGATTCCTCTGGGATTATTTCGCAAGAAAAAAGTACAATATGACTACAAGAGTGCTACCAGAAATTTGCTGAACACAATGTAATTTATTTGGTAGAAAAAAGTTGAATCTGGAAAAAGTTGTGCTCGTTTGAATTTGAAGCTGCAAAAACGAAAAAACTTTCCAAATGACGTGATAGAAAGCGACATCGTTTTCTTGACTGGTTAGTACCCGCAGGGTATGCCGCGCGCGACAGTGGTCCGTGTGGAAAGCACGGTCGTGCGAGTCGCCCTACACCCATTTATTGGCTTTCTCCTTCCTGAGGAGTTCCGCGAAAGGTCTGTGTACCCGTTTACTCCGTCTAAGGGCAGGAACAAAACGGAGTTCAGCAATTTTTCTAACGAATTTCAAAATAATCTGCTATTTCTTACTATTGGAAGGTCTTCAGGTGTGACTTGGAATTTCAAGTGATTTGATTGTTGACTTCAAGCTTCAACTGAGTTAATAAGTTGGACTGTTCTAATAGTGAAAAATATCACAGACTCAGGCAACAGCTGCGCTGGGTGCCGGTAGAGACAATACATTCAAAAAGCTTTTGCTAATACAGTACATCTCAAAAACTCTTCAAAATCTGTTGGGGTATGGAACATGCAACAACGAATTCATTAATCTGCTTTTCTTGAAACTGATCTGAATTGTGGAAAACCAGAGACTCACATCGCACAATTTAAAACAACCATAATCTTGCTGTACAAAGACTGAATGAATCGAGATTCACTTTTTTTGCTCAAAACATGTCAGTCAAACAGGTAAATACCTGATCAGTGGACATTTAGCTCAATGATATTTTTCGAAATCAAATTTATGAATTATTGGCCCACTATCGCTGTTCGTGAATCCTACATTCGTCAGACGTGGATACTTACCTTCTTGATTATCAGTCGCCAAATCGTATTCCCGCATTTTAATGGGGGCATTATCTTAGTCGATAGTACCTGTTCTGTTTACCGCTAAGGCTAGCTCGGTCCCTCCTCTGCTACTGTATTAGTGTGTTTATCATAAAGCTACCAAGGAAGTGTCAGAAGTCGCAAAGGCTCATGACATGAGATGGTTACCTGAAGCAGCTTGAACGCTAAATACAAAAAAACAGCTTTTCTAGCTGCAGAACGAGTGGATTGGGAGTTCTTGAAATAAATTTGGGGAAATTTAAACACTGAGAGCCAAAACTATCAAAGCTTATGTATTCGGGGCACAAACATAAATGGACAGTTTTTCGATGCTTAGTGAATTCTACTACATTTTCAGTTTTATGCTGTAATGCTTAAATGAGCATTCGAAGGATTTCCATGATCTTAGGGTCTCTGAACGATGCAAATTTTTGTGATTAGATTGTCTGTAACTTTCGTCCCAGACTCTGCAACTGAAAGAGGCGTTTTGGAATCAGCGTTTTTAGCTGCTTCAGAAGATACCTATCCAATGTCAAAAGGCCACTGCGACTTCTACGACTCCCCTTGTGAGTTTTGTTTCTGTAGGCTGATAAGGCATTTGAGCGGATGACTTGCAAGTTTCTGACCTTTCCAGGGTTGAAGAAGGCGACGACGCCATAACGTCACCCAAATAAAGATCATCACCACAAGCTACTGAACATGAGAAGACTGCCTGTAGATAAAAATCCGCAAGAAAAAGGTGCTGAGGTATCAAAATAGTACAAATCAATCTTTTCTAACTAAAAAAAAAGCTTAACGCAGGTGTATCAGCACTTAAATGATGATGACGTGATGCACGTGAGTCGATGAGCATGCCAAATTTGCGTAAGAAGAAGCCCATAACTCGCTTTGGAAGGGTGGCAGCTAAAAATAGCATATTTGGAATCAGCGTTTGAAGCTAATTCGGAATATGTATGCCTTTTACCAAAAGCCGAGCTAATTTAGATAGCTTTCCTTATTAGTTTGATTTTAAGCCTAAATTCAGTCGAAGAGGGCATTGTGTCACGGTCTTACAGGCATTAAGTTCACATTGAGATGTAGCAACTGACACCCAGGCAATACTTGTGAGGTTTGATCCATACTTCCCAAAAAGGTTTCATGTAGTGATGCACAGAAAATGCAACCTAAATGGAGATGTATCCGCTCCTCAATGGTCACGTTCAGTTACTGTTCTGCAGAAACGTCGTTTCTTGTATTTTATGTGTTCAGTCGCTTTGAGAGTGACGTGATATCCAGGCCGAAGTCATCAAACCAACGAAATTGTGTTTACCTAGTTTGTCCAAAGTTATTACCAGTCAATCACCATCACTCTAGCACGTTTTATTGTAAGCCATCAAGTGAAAGAGCGAGGAAAAAAGCGAATTAACTTCGTGACAAAGTTGTCGATTGGCTGAGTTCAATAACGATGGCAGAATAGAGTCTTAGAGCAAGCAATGCTTAAAAATGAAGTTCTGAGCAATTAGTAGTGAAATATTTCTTAACACACGACAATACGACCCACCGGTGGGTCGTAAGATTCATGAAGCGCTATCTTCGCTAGTTTACGATGGATTTCTACGGGGTTTTGGCACATGATTGGGGGCATCTAGATGAAGCTTCAGCCAGAGTGGTCCGGGCTCGGGATACTGTAATGCAATATTACGGTAGGTATACGGTAGATAGATATAAGGCACAGAGTTTTAGCTCAAATTCTTCACAAAATGATGCTGTTTCTGGAGAATCAAGTTTACATGTAAGAGTAATACGAGGCGGGCAATAGGCTGACGTTAGCCCCCCTCCCCAAAAAATTATCGATTTTATTGATTTTTTTGTTTTTTTGCATTTTTCATCCTAGGAAGCTCGAACTTTGCATATATAGGTTTTGTAGCATGCTGATTACGAAAATGATAGTCTCGATTTTTGATACCACCTTCTTACATCAGTTTCTTGACTTCTGCGAAAATTCTACCGTACTGCTACCGTAGCCCCACTTTGTTCACTACTGTGGGACAGTAGTGAACAAAGTGGACACTATAAACGTAATCAGCACGTGAAACAACTTCAAAACAGAATTTTTCATGAAAATCTATGGTGTTGGTTTCGTACAGGAGGACTACCGTAATCTTACCGTATGACGCGAAAAACTGAAATAAATTGTTTTTCAATGATCAGCGCCTTCGATTACCTCTGAAAGAATTTTCAGACGTGTTTTGAACTTTTCCCAAAAAGACTACCATCTCGGACAATACGACCCACGGGTGGGTCGTATTTTGACGAAGCAAGAAAGGCTCCTGTCCCAAATGGCAGTAATCGAAAAATCGGCTTTGTTGTCATTGTGTTAAAGAAATGTGAATGTTTCGACCCCATCATAAAAACTGATTTCTGGTCCATAAACACCGAACTCCGCTAATGCTATATCTAATCGCTACTATTAGGTTGTCAAGAAAATAATGTCGTTTTTTATTTGCTTGTTTTAACAAAGCAACCAGACTCAATCCAACAAAGGGTGATAGGTATTGTTCAATAGAGCAAAGCATGCTCTACAAGATGGCGTTCATGATTTTGCGCAAAGCTCGATCCACGGATAGTTCGCACTCAAAATCTGAAGATTTCCAAATGCCCAAAAAATCGAAAAAAAATCAGATCTTCGCCCAAATGATTTCTACGGACCTCCCACTCGCACACGTCAATACTTTCGGTATCTGATATCCATACGTGCAGCTGCTGTACTTTTTCCTTGACTAGAAGCTGAGAAAACGAAAATTTTCGTGTTTTCTAAAAGCAATGCTGAGCCGTTCTTGCATATGTGATTCTATACTACTAGCCTATGTAAGTATAATTACATATTTTCAGCCTATTCCGAGCGATAGTTTTCGAGAAATGTCGCTTTTAGCACTGAAACTGAAAAGAAAAAAGCTGATTTGTTACATTTCTCGAAAACTACTGCCCGGAATGGGCTGAAAATCTATATATATATATACTAACCTAAGCTTGTAGTATAGAATCACATATGCAAGAACGGCTCATCATTGCTTTTAGAAAAACACGAAAATTTTCGTTTTCTCAGTTTCTAGTCAGGGGAAAAGTACAGCAGCTGCAGATATGGGTACGACATATCGGAAGTATTGACGTGTGCGAGTGGGAGGTCCGCAGAAATTATTTGGGCAAAGATTTGATTTTTTTCGATTTTTTGAGCATTTGGAAATCTTCAGATTTTGAGGTCCGAACTATCCGTGGATCGAGCTTGGCGCAAAATCATGAATGCCATCTTGTAGAACTTGCGTTGCTCTATCGAACAATACCCATTACCCTTTATTGGGTTGAGTCTGGTTGCTTTGTTAAAGCAAGCAAATAAAAAACGACATTATTTTCTTGACAACCTAATATATCCTGTTGCTGAATAAAACTCTGCCCCATACAAGTATTTATTCTTGGCTGAATTCAGATAGCGGAGCTCCTCAAAAATTTTTCAGAAAGAAGGAAAGACAAGCAATGCTCTTCAAAAATTGGATAGTTTATCTTGCAATGTTTTAGTGAGCACGAGATACTCTCGTTTGGAGGCTAATAGAACTTTATTGGGAAACTTAGAAGATTGTTATTATTCAACAAGTCGTATGCACAATTCTTTGAGTAGTGCACCACTTTCAAAAATTTCTCTTCCACGCTTTCCCCTGGAGTGCAATCCTACTCCCTGTCCTGTCCCTCGGTCTTCTACTAATTCAACTGTATGTTGACAAATATGGAATGACGAGGACCTCGCTTCCGTCTAAATGCATGCCTTTGCGACAACTCCCCCACATTATCCATCACTCAGTTCACGTCATACGACCCGTTAAGAGACAAAAGAAAGCTATGAAAATTCGGGTAAACAGCAAATGCCTTTTTTCGCTTGACTTTTGCGCGTGTACGTAACGTTCAGTTGTCCTTCGACAGATCGTAAATGCGGACAACAAGTCGTAATATCACTTCCCCCTCGTTTAACTGTTGATTTTGTCAAACGGTTTTACGCAGACCATAAAGTGATTTTAAGGTAATGTCGAGGAGCAATGTCGAGTCATTGACCGATCATTGACTCAGAGTGTTACATTGAGATGATATGCATGCGAACGATACAGAGTGTTCGCTGTTCGAGTCGTAAAATTGTGTAGTGTTCGAGACAACTTGCAAGAGATGATTGTCTTCTCGGAAACGGTTAGATAGATTAGATGCTGAGCAGCATATTGGTTCTTCATAATTTTTTCTCGTTCAACTAAAATTATTACTCTTTGGGAACGTGGGCACCTATAAGGGCACAAATTCATATCTTACTTCTCAATGCATGAACTATATAAGGGTTGTGCTAAGGACCCATAAGCATTAAGCGCAGAGTTTGCCATTTTACCCCCATATTTTTCCTTTACTTTTAGCAATAGAAAAATACAGGAATTCTGTGATGAAACGAATTTGAAATGTGAATGAAATTTGTGATGATGATGTTTTCTGATTTATCAAGTCGCTTGGGTGACTTGGGTTTTGTAAGGTTTTTGAAACGGAGATAAGTTGACTGAAGCTTAATTCGTTTACTACTGCCAGGGCTTAGCTATAAATTTTACGAGGAATACAATTTAGGGGAATTCTTAGAAAAAATTTTGTAGAGCTTCTTTGCTTTATCGATTAACTCGAAAGCCTATTACCGGTTTGGTTTTATGAACAAGGTCAAAAAGGCTTCGATCATAAAAGAGTAAAGACAACTGCTTGATCTTATATGTAGTCAGTACTTAATTATGGAGTATTTGAAATCTTACAATTTTGCGAGTTTGAAAACAAAAATTAAGATCTTATTAGTCTCAAAGGTTAGTCTGAAAGAAGTCTGTAGCAAAGTTGCCTTGTGTTTGATCCGGCACAATTGCTGTAGGCTCAAGTATCTCTTCTTCTCGACAACTTCATATTGGTTGACGCTCAAGAAAGGATGAAATGACATATGAAACATTCACGCTTTGAAAATCAACTTTATAAGCCTATGGATATTTTTATAGGTAACTGACTGGCTGTTTGTCTCTGTAAATTGTGGCATTGTGAACTATAATTAAATTTTTTCCTGCCTTATCCTCCAATATAATGGCAACATAAAAGTATGGACGGTGATATATTACAACGGCTATTGCCTGTTTTATTCCTAATCTTTTCAAAAAAAGGGCAGGAACAAAACCATGTAAAGGAATTGTCATGAAACATGCTTGCAATTACAAATTATGAAGTTCTTGTCTTTAAGAAAGAATTCCTACTATCACACGGCGTCGCTTGCCTAACTCAGCGCTTATGTACATAACTGTACAAGATCAACATTGCCCCCAAAAATTTTCAGGTCTATAGACAGGTATTGAGGCAAAAGTGAGTAATAAACAACACAACTGTGTGGCTGTGTTAGTGCTTTCGGTTGTTTACGGAATCATATACCACTACAAAATCATCACATACAGAGCGAACAAAGCGGTTCGCTTTATGTAAATGATTGTAAATGATCTTTGAGCATTGAAGGCAGGAATGTGTTCCAAAGTCGCCAATCTAGATTATATATTATTTTTCCGTTACGTTTAAGATGTCTTAATAAAGAAAAGCGATCTCAAGTATGGAGGACTTTGAAAATTTCACAACCGTAATAAAAAGATTTGTTGCCTCAACGAGGGATTTGGTTTCACAAAGTACTGCATTGAGGTAGTACTTATAATCGATTCCACGCAATAGCTTTTTCAAGTTTTCGAAATTTTTGGACGATTTATTCGCTCTCCACAAATCTGCAACAGTCTCGTTAGTTTTCCATAGCGCACAATACTATTGCAATCCTGTACTTATAAAAATATTTTGAAGCATGCCAATTGCCAAAATATGAGAATTCTGAAGGAATAAGGAATATATGGATTGTGCCGTATCAAATGGGGAGGAGACGTGTATGTAATGAAGAGCCTGTACAGTATGTCCCAGAAAAGTATCGTATGATGAAATGAATATGTGAAACGCAATATATGAAGATGTTCGGGCACTTTAACACCATATTGCAGAACTGGTTTCACTTACAATTAAATTTACCAATCGCTCTTCATTACTGTAGGATTGTTGTAGGAACTTTTAGCATATAGAGCCGCTGTGAATGAGTCGCCGATTCAAGAGACTTTTCAGGAAGCTTAATATTTACAAGGGAATAGTCAGAAGTCGAAGTGACCAATCCATACAGCTGCATATCATTAGATGCAGCATAAAACGCTGACTCTAAATCTGTCTTCCCTATCTGCAGAGCGCTTTTGTGGACGAAATTATAAGCCGTTGAAGGTCATTATTTTGCTAAGAAATTGTGCGTGTAAAGTGCAAACTTGGCCGTACAAAGCCATTCTCGGCTCAGTTTGGACCAAAACACGCACTTAGGTGACTTCATATGACCAGCATCTAGAGTTGAGCTGAACGAGCAATAATGTGCCTAATTTCTCAATTTTTGTGTACGATTTTTTCGCAGTAAAGCTGCTCATAACTTCGCCTACAAAGGCGCTCTGCAGATATGGAAGACAGATTTGAAATCAGCATTTTATGCTGCATCAAATGGTATGCAGCTTGTATGGATTGGCCACTTCGACTTCTGACCATTCCCTTGTTAGCTTTTTACATGTTTCTGAGACTTTTCGACGGCGTCACATTCTCTATTCCCTATAACATTGAGAAGATAGCTGTTACGGCACACTCAGCATAACTCATTAAAAAAATTACCGTAAAGTACAAACTCCATATTCAGATGCGGTGACTCTCTGACCAAAGTAGTGTAACAGTTCTCAAGTTCGATTGCTTCCTGAGCAAAACAAGGCCCTTTATAGAACAGAACCTTCTTCAAATTTCCTTTTGTATTCAGTAATGGGAAGCGATCGGTGATTACCCTTTACTGTACGTCTAAATTGAAGTCAGTTCTCTGATATGGTTTTGAAACGGTCGCGAAAGCTCTTCACATAAAAGTGTTATTGAGATTCAATTTTTTAATACCTTCTTTTGAGACTCCCTGCATACTTTTCAAGCAATATCAGTTGCTGAAGTGCCGAGAGGCCGAAGAGTCCAAACTTGTATTGAATCGACGTAGTTTGAAATTTGGAAACCAAACACAAAGATATGACAGAAATTTGAAAATTACATCGTTTTACTATTTTTAAAACAAAATTACATTTATTGTGTACAGGGGTATAAGGGTGTGACGTGAAATCGAAAACAACTGCAAACTTTGAATCAAAATTTATGCAAAATGCGGGAATGCCTGGAACAATATTGTGACGTCATGCGTATGGTGTTCATATGCACAAATCATGTAGGAAGTATGAGGGTGGATTAAGATGAAAGTGTCAAAAGGTGGTAAATATATATCAGTTTCAGGAAAGCATAAAGGCCATACACAAGAGGAAGCGCATATCATTTAATATCGGAAAAAGTTCCACCATTGAATCTCAGCGGTCATAAGCGCTCTCAAAATGTTTGGATACGGAAGTTAGAACTAAAAATTAAAACAGACAGTTTGAAACTTTTTACAACATGCACTTGATTAGTTTCGTCACTTTTTCACAGCTCCTTAGTGGCAAATGTACGAAAATAGAAACAGTGTTGGTCGAAGAACACGTTGGTCTTTTTAGATCATCGTCTCTCATACACGTGATTCTCTCGTTCATAGTTGTCTTTGGAAGTGTGAAAACGGGTTGAGTCACTTCCGCTGCGCATCGCCTAACATCCGTGTTGTAGACTAAAATAGTGTTTATCATCTAAATTTACTCAGTTGTGATCATGACCGGTCGACATTGCGCCATTTACAAAACGATCGTCGCCACCATTTCGCCCCACCCCGCCCACATACGATTTCAACGAACTATAAAAGACTAAGCGGAGACGGTGGAAATCGTAAAGGTAAACTTAGTGGTTTTCTTGGGGATTTTTCTAGAAATCCGACTGTAGCTTCGAAAAACTGCATCATTTCATTCTTGCGGCTTTGAATTTTCTCCCGCCTTCATTGTCCTTTCGTACTGTAACTTTCGAATAAGCAAGATTTTCATATTCTCAATAAGACGATTAACACTGAACCCTTAGTGAAAATATGTTGAATTTTAGAAAAGATGCTATCGTAATAACTCTCCAAGTCTCACGCTATGTGGTGATACCTGTGCGTATTTTTCATTATTTTCAAATTTTTCAACTGTTACTGAAAGGAAAAAATTGTCAGCAGTATAGCAACTTCCAAGGTTTTCACCGGGCAAGAATTTAGAAAAGTATATCATACGGACTAGTTCTCCAAGAATATGGCAAAATTCAACTTTCTCCAAAAAATATCAAGAATACAGGAAATTATATCATGCAAATTGTTATCCTCATACCAAGCAGATTGTTATCCTCATTGTTGCTGTCGTGTTCTCGTTTTTTTTCTGATTTTTTCAAAAATATTTGTTGTATTGGCTTAGTATTACTCGTTTCATTGTCTGAAATATAGCGAACTCAATACTCTCAGTTAACAATTCATAAATTTCAGAATGCTTGACATACTCTACGATCCAGCATGGACTTCACAGTTCTTTTGGCTACTTATTGTAGCCTTTGTTTTCGCCTTCTCCGTTTCATTTGGTAAGTCTTTAAAAACTCTATGTTTATAGGAATGTCAATTTGCTTACATATGACTATGGGTATTTTTAATGCCTGGTTGAATTACTCGGCTGTTTAGGGATGGGTGCAAATGACTCCTGCAACGATTGGGGACCAGCGGTTGGTGCTGGTACGGTAAAAATCTGGCAGGCCTACATTCTCTGCGGTATCTTCAACACAATCGGCGCTGTTCTGCTAGGTAGGACGAACATCTTTTGAGTTTAAGACCCAGTCAAAACAATCTGCACAAAGTAACATGAGATTTGAAACAAAGAAACAAACACGAATGAATTGAAATTTCTGACTAATTTACTGAAACTAGCGGTGTGGCAAGATATACGGTAGTGGAAATTTTGTGTACTTTGAAATGTCGAAATTTTGCACTGCATTCTCTGCCAACTTTATTCTCTTTGCAGCGCCTACTATTGTCCTCTTGTCTGCATTCATAATATAATCAATGAAGTTTTGTATGACCGGTCAACTTACTTCATAAACAACAAAAGCGTAACTCACTCAACTTCCGATGAACTCTTTAAAGACGCAGAAGTTTCCACAACTAGAGCTTTTACGATGTTAATTACGCGGAAGTTGCAATCAAAGGTCCAAAAATCTACCAAAACCAGATAGTCGTTTAGTTGTTTACATGCGCTCAGACTAATGAAATGAGCTGCCGATTTTTAACCGGTCAATCTGACTCACTGAGTAAAAAAAATCATTTGCTCTACGTACAGTTGTGAATTTGAATGCACATGTGATTGAGTGAAGTATGTATATAGTGAAAAAGTAAAAATCAAAGAACCCTCCCTTACATTCTGGTCCAATATTTTGTCTTTGTATATCTGAAAACGTAAAACCAGGAAGTGTGCAAAAAGATTACTGCGTAAACAAGTAAACATTCCAGGCTACAAAGTTACCGAGACTTTACGATCCGGTATTGTCGAAGTAGAAGTGTTTGATGTCTATTCACAATACAATCATACCACAGGCAAGTACGACGTGGTTCCGCATTGTGATGGTGCTCTAGCTACAGGTTGGTATCTTACCTTATGGAGAATCTAAGGTATCACGGGTACAATATCCGAAAAGGATGTTTGAATTGATGAATTAATTCTTAGAACAGAGAAAAAGGAAAGAGTCCTAACGTCACCTGGTTTCCATTTTACGCTAACTTATGTTCAATCATTTGTGTTAGAAAAACATGGACATCGTATAACACAACCTCCTACTTGTTCAGCTCTAGATAGAAAACATTTTACACAAGAAAGTACGTTCTTTTAGCAAAGCATCGGTTTGTTAGAAGGTTAATGTTATTTTAGAAAAAGGCGTACGCAAGGCTTTGAGTATGCAGAATCTCTGATTCGTAAGTAAAAGTGAAACAGTCAAAAGTTTTAGAACCAACTGCCAAATATTAAGCAGAAAATCTGGAGGAAAAGTCAAATATTTTTTTCTAGGGTTCGCACCTCCGGCATTGACCAATGGTACCGCCGAAGTTGAATGCGCCAAATACACTGCAGCAGAGTTTATGATTGGACAGGTAAACTATTTTTTTGAAATTCAAAAGTAATTTACTTGAAAATATAAATGCAAATACGCATCGAAAATCATGATACTCACTTTCACAAAGCTTGGTGTACCAGCGTTTCAACCGTTTTTCCTAAATTACTGTAGCCTGCGGATACTGTAATCGTTAGCATTTTTGCACGTATATTTTTACACCTTCTCAGTCTGTAGCTACAGAAAACTATAGGAAGATGTTCCAATTTTCCGTTACCGTACTTCCGTCTGAGTTTTCCAGACAGGAGCAATGGCTGGCGTCGCTGCATTCATGATTGTATCATCAGTATACAAGATCCCCGTATCAGCCACTCATGCCATAGTCGGTGCTTCCTTGGCATCGTCTCTCTACTTGCGAGGAAATGTCGGCATCAAATGGTCCGAAATTGGCGGGATCGGTAAATTTGTTGTCCTTCTATACTGTAATTGAACTGTAAATACAAATAAATGACCTTTTTTAGTGCTTTCCTGGTTCATTTCCCCACTGATCGCTGGTTTCTTCGCCTCCTCATTTTACCTAATCATCAAGTACTCTGTTCTTTTGCGAAAGGATACTTTCAAATGGGCTTTGCGCATGTGTCCAGTGTTCATGTGTTTTACAATCACTGTCAACTTCTTCGCTTGTATTTTCGATGGCTCCAAATGCAAGTTTTAATCTTTATCAATTTGTTGCTTACAACTTATTTACACTTTTTAGATCTCGGGTTTGATAAATTAAGTTGGTGGCAAGCATTGCTAATCTCTTTGGGAGCCGGTTTCTTCTCATTATTCCTTCTTTCGTGTCCTTTGAGAGTAAGCTTTTTAGCCAAGATTAAGAACAAGACAGGAAAATAACATTTCCCCCTTGCAGAACTGGCTTCGAAATCGAGCACATCGTCTATTCGACAAGGAACAAGTAAAAGAGCAAAGAAAATTAGAACAAGGCAAAATTAGTAGGTTTTCGAATTTTTCCATCCTTATTTTGAGACCTTGATAAATGTTTTATTTTCAGAGAAGAACAAAGTAACAGACATGCATACCCCTAAAATGGACATGAATGACATTAAAGATCTTGCATGGTACAAGTATCTGTACACCGCCGTTCCTGAGGACAGACTCACCACTAAGGTGAATAATTGTTTAAAAATTTATATCGCCCGGATATCGCCCAAATTTGGCATTGCGATCTTTACAGTGACATTAAGGCAGCATTTAGATACTATCCTTCATACTTGCAGGTCTTCAATGCTCTCCAAATCGTTTCTTCATCCTTGCTTTCCTTCTCTCACGGAGCCAACGATACCGCTAATACAGTTGGTCCTCTGCTTGCCGTCTGGATGACCTACCAAACTGGAAATGCCTTCGGAGCTGCCGAAACCAGGGATGATTCTCAGGTAAGCTCAAACCATCCTACATGTTCGTAAACATGACTATCGCAGCTGTTGTTGGCGTGCCTTAAATGAGAAGGTAAAACGGGAAGAGAAGGAAAGAAAGAAATGAAAAACATGTAAGTGTAAGTGGGCTCGGAAAGTGAGCATGAGCAACATTAGCGAGCTCTGTAATAGGTTAGGTTTTGGATTTTTCCATGAGCCCATCAAAATACTTTTCAATCTACGTGGCATAATTTTGTGACATATAACAGATGTTATATTTCGCCGAGATACTCGAAGTTTTATTCGGAGAATCGACATTTGAGTTAGAAAAAAAAGACTCGAGAATTAAACTACAGGTTGTGAAACCATAGCTAAAGTGAAATTATTTTGCTGGGCGTTACTGAAGCATTTCTTGCGATCAAAATTTGAAAATTATATATGAACCAGTGCGTCACCTCTGCTTCGCAGAGGCTCGCACTGGCCCTACTTTCTATATGCCTTGCTCATTCCCGCATAATAGTGACATTGAAACTTACCGCGCTATGCAGGCTATCACGAATGAATTGTAAACAACTACTCATTCCGAGAGCTTTTTTGTGTGAGATCGGTATTTTCGCGTGGATGAAACTTTTCCGAGAAGGATAAATGCAAATTTGAACCGATTTTTGGACTTTTTATGGTTTAATAGTCGCTATAATGACGATGATCACCGTGGGCTACATCTCTGTGCAAAAATCTTCCCAAATGATTAGGTAAAATCTTGGCAAATTGAACATTTACGCAACTGATTTTTTTCGGCGCCATTTTTGTAAAGTAATCAACTTTAGTTCAATTTTTTGGGCTAAAGTCCGTGGCTTGCACATTAGCTTGTTAATCATATCCATGACTTTGCAAAAAGTGGTGGTACAGGCCCAATTTTGCTGTTCAGAAGCCAAGTGGATCCGCTTGCAGCGCAGTTTTTGAGGGATCCAGTCAACGGATCCGCTCGTGCTTTTGCATAGCGGACTTTCATGCTGCTAGCATGCACCGTGCAATATTTGGGCTCAAGAGGTTGGCTGGAATTCGCTCTACGAATTTCGTAACGGACAGAAACACACACACACACACACACACACACACACACACACACACACACACACACACACACACACACACACACACACACACACACACACACACACACACACACACACACACACACACACACACACACACACACACACACACACACACACACACACACACACACACACACACACACACACACACACACACACACACACACACACACACACACACACACACACACACACACACACACACACACACACACACACACACACACACACACACACACACACACACACACACACACACACACACACACACACACACACACACACACACACACACACACACACACACACACACACACACACACACACACACACACACACACACACACACACACACACACACACACACACACACACACACACACACACACACACACACACACACACACACACACACACACACACAAAAACACGTAAACAACCCTTAGCCCGTTATTATAAGTTATGATGTTTCTCTTTATCAGCTGAGATCTCACTGATATACCAGCACTGATTCTTGTCTAAGATACTATAGAAAGGTACGGACATATGGAGCAACCTAATTGTTTTTAACATGGGAAGCAGACAAAACGGTAATAAAGATACATCGTTCATATCGGGTTCCGACGACAATTTTTTTTATTCATTCTGTGGTACCTTTAAATTCGAGAGAAACAAGCTTTCGCGTTCTCGTCCATGGCAATTACAGCCCAGCTTCAGCTGTCCTTTCACTGCCACTCAGTCCATGAGTTTGCCAATGAAACGATTTCTCTTAGGTCCTTCTGGCGTTTGGAGCCGTAGCTATGATCGTCGGTTTCTTGGCGCTAGGCCATCGTACCATCAAACTGATCGCACAAGAAATCACCGTCGATATGAGCCCTGTCTCTGGATTCGCTATCGAACTTGGCACAGCTTTCACTGTCCTCGTTTGTGTGAAAGTTGGTGAGTGTTCTCAGTCCAAGAACTTTACAAAAATACACAGAATTCATAGTTCTTTTTTCTTCCAGGCATTCCTATCTCTTCCACTCATTGCGCAGTCGGTGCAGTTCTTTTCGTTGGCATGACGAAATCTACTACAGAAGGAGTATCTTTCAAAACATTCAAGAAAATTGTAATTGTTTGGCTGTTGTGCTTCCCTGTTTCAGCTGCAATATCTCTTTTGGCTACATGGTTGTTAGTTCAGTTTGTCTAAGAACTATACAACTTTCTGCTGCTCTTCCTCCATATTTTTCATCGTCTTAGTTACCATTTACAGTTTATCATGATTTTAATCCAATATAATTCATGCATTTACGAAATTAAGCCGGTTGTTTGTTTTCCGCTTTGATTATAGCCTTAATTTGCTAGGAGTTGATTGCCCTACGAAAGATTCATAATTTCGTGATCTTATTGCACAAATTTCATTGTGTCTTGTGTCTCACTCCATATGTAAGAAATTTTTGTGAACGGATTGTTTCGATTTGATGATTTTTTAGTAAATTTTCCTTGTACTGTGATCAAAATGCACTCGCTTCAGCGACCCAAAGTTATTCCAGAAGTCGTTTGAGAATATTGGGACTAATCGATCGTAGACTTATGCGGGGCCACCTAAAACACTAAAGGTTGAACGAAGGTGTGTGTCGAGGTTGTTACTGTACAGTTTCGTCCCAGAAAGCCAAAACCCGACATTTGTTCAACGCCTTCAAACGATCCTTAAGGCCCGTATGCACGTACATCCCCGCGGGGAGGGGAGGGGATCTGAGAGGGGAAGCGCCATATCTCTCTGCTTTAGATATCTTTCTTCTTTCTTCTCTATCGTGCTTATGAGGGTTCGCATACCCTTATATCTGCGCATAATAGATACCAGGTTACTGCTATACAAGATTAAATATTCACTATTTCGTCTGATCCCCAGGGGATCCCCAGGGGATTACCTCACATTTTCAAAGTTATTTATCTTTCTGAAAACTCGATGAAAATGTTCTAAAATTGTACTGAAGATATACTACGATACTGCTGAGCATGTTTTCAACAGAAGAAATTGAATCTGAAGATTTTGTTTTCGATAATCCCTGGCTCGCGAGCAGCGGTTCATCGAAGATTTTGATATCTTAAGATTTCACTCATTTCTACCATAAATATGTTTAGCAGTGCTGTAGTATATCCACAGTACAATTTTAGAACATTTCATCCAGTTTTCAGAAAGATAAATGACTTTGAAAATGTGAGGTGATCCCCTGGGGATCCCCAGGGGATCAGACGAAATAGTGAATATCTAATCTTGTATGGCAGCAACCTGGCATCCGTTATGCGCAAGTATCAGTGTATGAGAACCTTCAAACCAAGACAGAGAAAGAAGAAGAAAGATACACAGACTAGCGAGATATGACGCTTCCCCTCTCAGATCCCCTCCCCTCCCCGCGGGGATGTACGTGCATACGGGCCTAAGACTTGCTTTCAAGCTGCAGGGTTGAGAAAATGAATGATAGTGATTGTGGTGAGGTAACGAAACGGTTTTGCAATTTTACCGGAAGAAAAACTATTGCATTCATTGCATGATACAGATCTCTGTAAATGTATTGAATTGCAGAGCGGAGAACTTTTGCGGGAACACAAGGAGTCGAAGAGTTTTCCTGCAAGTACATATCCAAGCCAGTGGTTACGGAAAGATCTATGAGGGGTTTGTTATCTTGGAAGAGATATAGACCATTGAAGTCTCTTAAACACTGGAAATCCGCTTTCCACATCTGTGAAACGTCTTCCTAAGAGTATTGCGACTGTATCAAACTCTAGACTCATCAAAATGGTTACCGATATATTGTACATATGTAAATCAAACATCGCCTGAACGCGAAGAAGTAATGGTACAGGGTACTAACTACAAGGAAAGACCAGACTCACAAGAAAGTCGATTACGTGGGGTCTAACCTTTTTGCGTGACATGTATGTCACTAAATTCAGCTTCAAACACTCAAGCCTCATCAGTTTTTTCTGAAAATCGATCTGCAGATATGGAAAGCAAAAAATCATGAAAATATGGAAATCAGCTTACAAAGGCGCCCTTGATAATGTGCATCCTGTCCCAATTAGCCAAAGCGACTTATTGTTAGTATTCTTTGAATGGAGTTATGATTCTGCGAATTATTATGGGTTTCCCTACAGTTTTGATGATGACATAGTCTGACTTTGCAGTCTCAGAAACACAGAAAAGAAGTGAAGCATATTCTCGATACTTAAAAGTTCATTCCTCACAAAGAGTATCACTTTCAAGTTGCTCCTATTGACAGATGACAAAGATTTGTAAGTGGGTAATTTCTATGTGATTGACGAGTAAAGTGACTTTAGATGGGCACAAGACATACATGCAAAGCTGTTCACTTCGGTATTTGAGTTCTCATTAGCTTTCCACTTTTTGGACTGTTGCGGCTCGGTGGACTCAGCACCCCCTTGCCTCGCTCGACTGCCTGCGTGCCCCTCAACCTGCGCGTCCGTGGGCAATCCAAATCCAACGACGAACAACAAAGATATCACACGCGCGATAAACGCGACATCACAGAGAAATACACGACTAGATTAGATGAGTTTATCTACACTATAAAAGGGGATTAACTACAACAAGAATAACGTTAAACTACAAAACTACAAGAAAAACACGGGACTAGCCCGCCTCACTCCGGGTCGCCGATAGTCACAAAGCATCTCTCAACATAAGAAGTTCAGGGGTTGGCCCCAAGGTCGACCGCATAGCGCCTAGTCCTTCCGGAACGGTGCGACCTCTCCACTACTCCCGCGATAATGCTTCCTTTGATTAGTAGACGAACTTATCGCGCTTATGCGCTTACATCCAGAAAAGAACTATTGCTCGACCGCTATCCACAACAAAACTTCTTCTGCGGGAGCTCGCTAACCGGCTGCCAAGATCCTCACAAGAAATCGATAAGAGGATTGAATTGAACCAAGAAAGGAAAGGCGCGCAATGCCGTTGGCGCCGCCTTATATACGCCTTTTCTTGGCAGCGAGCCAGCGGGGTGAGGTCCGAGCGCGAACACAAGAGGCGCGCCCGGCTACAGCGGCATACGGCGCTCCCGGCCGCTGTATCGAGGAGTGGCTTGCATCGCGCGAGCCGCGACATGGACCTATCCAAAAATTCTTGCAATATCAAAAAAGGCAACAGAAGCTATCTTATGCAACATTTTTCCCCTTTAAAACTTTCATGTTCTTCATGTGATTTTTTGAACAACTGCTATGATCGCCAGAGTTTCTACTCGTTTCTATCTGTTATTTGATCAATTTGCAGATTTTTATTTTACACAAAGGAAGAGGAAAGCTTTTGCAATGTTTTATCATTAAAAATAGTACAGAAGTTTGTTTCGTATTTAGGCATAATTATTCAATTTGTTCAGTATGCATAAAATTGTGTCCGAGGCTTTTGAACGGACAACGGCCGAGCTGTTCGTTCACACAAATCGCGATGAGACTCCAATAATTAGCAAGGGAACTCAACCCCGGACATCAACTAACTCACACCCTTCTTAAAGGACAGGATAAGCAGCAACTCGAGCTCCTAAACGAGTAGTAAGCAAAACATAATCTCTCCATTAATGACAGTAGGGTTTAAGCGATCATCAGCTCATTTTAGACCTCACAAATTATTTTCTTCCATTTTTTTCGGTTGACGAGAATGGACGGAGCGGGTCCTTATGTCAAATTTTTTTTGGCAATTTTGAGCATGCATTCGAATGACTTTACATTTGTTTGGACCTAAAATGACTCCTGCCTAGCAGTAAATCGCAAAATATACAGGCTCCCGAAACTTCATTTTAGCAGCTGATTAACGGATAATTATAAGCGGCATCATTCTGAATATTTTATTGGCCATCAAACTTCCGTATGACGTAAATGCTGTAGAAAGGGTCCAAGGTTAGTGACCAATGAACAAAGGTGGACTAGCATCACTCGAACTGAGAAAGGGTATTTTGCAAAAAATCTCAGATTATCAATATATCCGCCTTTGCTATTTGTATGGCGGATTTAGAAGGTACGACGCGCTTGTTCTTAGCGAGTGACGAATTTGATTTTGCATTGCGATAAGGAATCATCTCGAGGACCTAAAAAGGGTTATTTACCTTAACTGATCTATGTTCACTCCAAAGCAGTACAAAATTTTGAAGAGCTTATAGAAATGTTCCTTAGTTATGAGGTTTACGCAATTTCTTGCTCTGCCTTTCAGAAAAATATAAAAAATTTTGGAAGAGCAAATACACTACCGCTCACAGAATATGCAAAATTTACGTGAATGCCGCGAAATTCCGAGAATTCCCGGAATTCCGCCACATTCCCGAAATTTGGCACGATCTGTGAGCAGTATTATAGCTGAGGTCTTGTTAAGCCTTCATAAACCCTAGTGGCACATTTTCTGCTGCTTTACTGAAATTCCTTAATAAGGAGCTTTTTCCACACGCGAAATAGAGTTTCCCAATGTACCGAAAGACACTTGGATTCTTTGGTAAGAGATTTCTACATCTACTACTCCATACTCTATCATTTTTTTGCCATTTCTGGCATGTGATTATCGTTCTGGCAACGCCTTAATGCCCTTTTCCCACAATTCTACGCGAGCGCAGTGAAAAACCCGAACAGAGTTTTCTGAACATCTCCCATTCTTGCTCTGCCATACCGTATAGTTATAAAGCGAGCCACATAGCATTCGAAAAAGCTTTTCATGCTCTTTCAAACGAATTGAGATTTATCATTACTTCCAAATAAAAGGGCAAAAAACTTGAAAAACTGCGAATTTTCGCAATAAGTACCAAAAAATCATGTTCTTGAATCTATCACTTCTGAGGATAGAGGAAATTTGAGGTAAACAGCACATGGATAGAGCGTAAAAAAGCTCAATCAGACTATAGCCAAAAAACGCGGTCACACGCAAAAAAAGTAAATAACACCTATCTTGTATTTAGTAATGTATTCTAATATCTATCAAAACTAGAAAGTTCAATCACATTTATTTCTTGAGAAATTTACAATAATTCTCTAGGTGTTACAATCTCTACCGTTCACCCTAATATTTTACGATTAGCAAGGATCCCAACAGGGGATGAGTGGCGTAGTGGTATGAGGCGCCGCTATGACCAGATCGGACACAGGTTTGATCCCCGCCCCTGGGCCAACCAAGCCCTCTACCCTACGGGGCTGGTAAATTGGTACCAG